TTTATTTATGTTCTTAGTTAATTTTCAATCTTCACTATTATTTTTTAAGCATGGTAAAGTGCCTAATTTTCATGAAAAATCAAATTGGTTTACATCTTTAATTATTTTTCAATTTTTGATAAATAATAAATATAAGAACTTGTACCATGTCTAATGAATAACGTGAAATACATTGTTGCTTAATTACTTAAATTTCTATAATCATTTTCTTTATTTCCTATTTAATTCTTCATTGGATAAATTTATTTATGTTCTTAGTTAATTTTCAATCTTCACTATTATTTTTTAAGCATGGTAAAGTGCCTAATTTTCATGAAAAATCAAGTTGGTTTACATCTTTAATTATTTTTCAATTTTTGATAAATTAATAGATATAACAACGTGTACCATGTCCAATGAATAACGTGAAATAGGGTTACTCATGTATCTTATCATGCAATTTATAAAGCGTAAAATATTGTACTAAAAAATGATAAATAAATTACTAAGGGGTGTTTAATTCTCTTTCATTAATTACTTCAAATTTTCTAAGTCACAGTGTTTGTCAGATCGCAATATAATCAACTTAAATCACACAAACCCACTATGCAATGCATTTCCTTCCAATTTTTTGTGTCAAAATAATAGATGATTGACTAAATAAACTTCTTCTAAAGTTTCATTAAAAATTTCCATGTATTTATCATAATTTCCTTGGTTTTTATCCAATTTTTATCAATATCGATATTTTCCCAATATTTCCATCGATATTTCCATGTTTTTGAACCACCGATATTTCCGAAACTATTGATATTTAAGACCTTGGTTATTACATGCGAAATTATTAGCATAATTTTTATGTGCTTCTTAACACAACTAAAAGAAATAATATATTCATCTTAATGACGGATCCAAATTTGGAACCTCTACTTGGATGTTCTCTGTCATGACCTGCTAGACTTTTGTTGCTTATATGTCACCTAATTTAAATTTCATCCCAAACCAAAAGATTGGGTTGACCCACTGGGTTTTATAAAGAAAAACCGAAATGGTTCACATCAAACTATATATCTTCATTACTCAATTTAATTTTCCTTCAATCTCTCACCATAACCACAAGATTTTCCTACTCTATTCCAAGATCAAAATATGATGGTTTTACAAGAAAGCATATGAAAATCAAGTATGAGAATATGCCCATTAGTCAAAATTTAGGGTTGTTAGGTTCAATGGTCCATGAACTTTGACAAGATTCTCATTTTGATCCCTCAATTTCCAAAATCGTTCCTATGGTCTTGCAACTTCAGTTTTGTTTGGACAAATGGTTCTGCCGTCAATTTTGTTAACTTTTTCTGTTAAATTTGGGCATGTGCATGGCACATGGTGAACAATTGAGGGTCAAAATCGAAAATTAGTTCACTTCTGGGGTAAATTAAAAATATTCAGATGGTGAAAGGAATATTCAGAAGGTTTTTAGTTTTTAGTTTTTATTTTTATTTTTTGGGTGAAAAGAATATTCAGATGGTGGAAATTAAAAATAATACAAAAGTATCATTTTTCCCTTGCATTTAATGGAAAAGATAACAAAATTGATGGCATGACCATTTTTCCTAATAAAACTGAAGGACGACGATGACGATTTTGGAAATTGAATGACCAAAATGCAAATCGGGTCAAAGTTCGAAGACCATTAGACCTAAGATCCCAAAACCTAATCAATGTCATAAGCAATCTTCAGTGGTTTCCTGTATAATAAGCAAATATAATTTTCAGAGCATTTCTTTTCGGACAAATAGGGCTTGGTTCTTTCCCAAAAAAAGAAAAAAAAAGGGCTTGGTTCATGATCTCTCCTTTCCATTTTTATTTATTTATGAATGACCAAGATTGGAGACTTGGTTGTGTCTCAGTGCTTACCCACTCCAAATCCATGGTTGGATATATGATCATACCTTCCAATTTGTTGTTGTAAGAGAAAAATAGCTCACTAGAAAACTGGAAGATGGTCTATCACTCTGAAACCTTTTCTTTTCTTGTTACATAGGCCCAAAGCTCAAAAAGCTAAACCAACCACCAATGCTTATACAAACGAACCAATCCAAAGCAAAAACTCATAAGCCTCGTTTGGTGGACCGTATTGGATTAATTAGGATAAGACTTGGAGTGTTGAACTGGGTTGGACTTTAAGTCCTCTGAGTTGTTTGGAAATTCTATAAGAGCATCTTCAACAGTAGTAGCAAATAAAACTCTTCAAATTGAAGTTTGTTAACCTACGTGGCAATTTGAAAAGCCTTTGCTACTTGAATAAAATTTACTCCAACTGACTCTTCAATTCAATTAATGCAATATCATGGAATTGAATGAAAAATATGAAAACATGTTAAAAATGTCTATGTATTTATTACATAAAAAGAAAAAAAAATGCATGTTTTTAACATTTTCAAGGTAGGTTTTGTTTTTCCAAAGTAAAATTAAATATTTGAAGAGCTAAAGTCAACTTATCAATCCTGAAGAGAGAGAAAGAGGTTGTAACTTTGATGATTGAGGTTGAAGTGGCTGTTTGAGAGAGTTTTTCTGATATGGGCTCACCTATTTTAGAATTCCAAAGATGTTGAAGAGGCTGTTGGAGATGCTCTAATGAGGGGGTTGTGGGAGGGGCTTAATCCCACTATCCAACAAAAGAGAGAAAATATTGGACTTGAACTTTTTTTATAATTGAACGGTTGGATTGAACCCCTCATTGAACCCTCTCACCAAAATACCCCTCATTATACAAGCGCCTTGAGTTGTTTGGTAGATCAATAAGCAGCACTAGACTAGACTTAAGTCCACTGCTCTGTTTGGTACAAGACTATATTGGACTGCATTGGACTTCAATATTTTATATATATATATATATATATATATATTGTGTTTATTTAATTTCACAAATAATTAATTTTATGAAAAAACATGCTCACACATAATTAAAAGTAAGAAAGCCCCATCACATACTACTTATTTGCTTTTACCCCATCACAATAAAACATGTCCAAATATAAAAAAGTAAAAAATCACCAATCCAATCCGGATTAGACCTATGTCCAATTACTTGGACTCATCTAGTCCAATCTGACCCACCAAATGGGGTCATAATTCATACTCTTAGAAATGTTAGTTGATATATGATACTTATTTTATTGTTAAGAAATTCTGGGATTGCATTCATAATTCAACCAAAAACAAAACCATTGGCTACAAAGGGCCAATATAAACTAGTCATGAAGGGCCATTACAATAACGGAGCGATCTAACATCAAAATTAAGACAATAAGATGTTCCTTTAATAACAATCAGGCAGGATTTAAAAAATCTTTGACATAGGCATTCCAACTAGGATTGCAAACTAAAATAATGAAAAAGAGATAAAGCTTGAAAAAACTAAGGCATGACAATACAAATAAAACTCTTACAAAGGAGAGATGAAAAGCTCTCACAAAGGGGAAGTGAAAAGCTCTCACAAAAGAAGAGGTGAAAACTGCACAGAGAACCCAAAGAGCCTTTGCAACTTATTCCAAACATAAAGAAACCTAAAAAAGAATGGTGGTGGAGATTCGACACCGAAATGGATGTAGAGATCCAACGATGAGATGTAACTGCCTGTGAAAATCATAACAAAATGAAGACAAATAGAGGAAACCTTCTCTCTCTGCAAATGAGGGAAGAGGATAAAGGAGGAAGAGAAGAGGGGAGAGGGGAGGGGAGGAAGAACAGTGGCTTCCTCCCTCTCAAAGTAAAAATGGATGTATGAGTGTTTTTTAGGAGAGAGAGGGCTATAGTTACTCTGGAGGTTTACGCACTCACTGATTGTTTGTTGATAGATCTTAAGCTACAAAACTTCACTAATACTATAATTATTAAAACTTCACTGATTTTTTCTTGAGCTATATAACCTTTTTTTTTATAAGATTCGAAAGGTTTGAAGGTGGTTGTCTTTTTTTATTTATGGACAATTGTAGTATTGCTCCTATTTTATTTTAATTTAAATAAATTGTGAATATAATATTTTATCCTTATTTAATGAAATGTTTAATATTTTAGTATTTTCATGAACCAAGAGGAGTTATAAGGATTTTGAATGCTTCATTTTAAGAACTTATTATGCCTTAATATATATATATATATATGTATAGATTAATAATTGGAATCCATAATAGATTAAATAGAAAGAATAAATAACAAAAAATTATTTTCCTACTAGATAATTCACTCAAATTTATTTAAAAAAAACATTTAGTTATCTAATTATAAACCAAACAAAATAAACGAACACGATTTTTCGATGAACAATGAAATTTCCACGATAATAATAAAATGACTCAATGATTTCCCCGTCTTGTTGGTAAAGTTTTGCAAGAACTTTTTAATGACGACTTGAACGAATGACTTTTTCTAATGGAAACCCCCACGGTCTTGATGGTATGTGGTATTTCAGTTCAAAATAAAACAAAGAGAAATGACGTGGGAGGAGAGAGAGATTTATGGGGATAAGTGACCAGAGGAAGAAGAACGTGAATAAAGAGAAGTGCAGTGCATTTTGCTCCGAGTTTTTGTAGGTTTTCGTAATAAAGTATTGTAACCGTCAGATGTAATCTGATCACTGGCGTAGGAAGTCTGAGCTTTAACAAAGTCCGTTCATATGCATGTAAAAGGTGACGTAGCAAGTCAGAGCTTTTAATAAAAATCTGGTCAGATCTATCTAATGGCTGACGTAGGAAGTCCGAGTGTTTACAAAAATCATGTCAGGTCTATTTAGTAGCTGACGTAAGAAGTCCGAGCGTTAACAAAAATCATGAAACTGAGAAACGGTCACTACCCATTTGGCTCCATTTGATTAAAATTTGTATTTTGAAATATGCTCTGAATTCCAACACACACCAGATGCTCCGAGAACCCAACGAACCAAGCTGCCATCAACCTCAGAAAACAGCGCCAAACCCAAGGATCTGCAGATCAACCAGACCCCATTGGAGCATTTGATCACCATGGAAAACCAGCGTAACCTTCCTACGGAGATCGTAAGCGACATTCTTTCCCGGGTACCAGTCAAGTCCCTGTGCCGCTTCAGGTGCGTATCGAAGCCATGGCTTTCTCTGATCACTCACCCTGATTTTGTCAAACTTCACTACAACAGAGCCTTTGAGAAAGAGGACATACTGCACCAGAGGCGACGAGTCCTAATTGATGTACCCGGAAGTAATTCGCTTTTCTCTTTCGGCATCGATGAGTTTCTCAAGCGAAATGATCATGGCGGCGATGCAGAGGTCGAGGAGAGTGATATTGACTGTGTTTATTGCCATGAAGAACTAGATAGTGGCGTTATGCTGGTGGTTCCATGCAATGGGTTGCTGTTTTTCACGGTGAGCAATTTGGACTTGTATTTGCTCAACCCAGCAACCAGGGAATCTAAGAAACTCCCTGGACCTGAAGGGTTTGGGATGGATGGGTGTTCTTATCACCTTTTTGGGTTTGGATTTGATCACTCAGCTGATGATTACAAGGTGGTTTACGGGCGGTGCTTTGATGATGGAGTTGATTTCGGTGTCTACATGCTGAAAACCGGTTCTTGGCGTGTGATCGAAGAGCGCTATCCCTACAAACGCGCTGTAACTGATGATTCAAAGGGGATTTTGGTGAATGGAGGCTTCCATTGGTTGTCAAGGAGAGTTGGAGATCAGTCAATGATGATCATGGCTTTCCTCTTAGCTGAGGAGGAGGTTCGAGAGATTGAAGCCCCGCCCGATTTCACCGAAAGCGATTTGATTTATTTCAGTCTTGGAGCCTTCAGGGAATGCCTGTGTGTATCCCAATGGATTTTGCAAGATGCAGGAAATCATGAGTTTTGGGTGATGAAGGACTATGGAGTGAGCGAGTCTTGGACTAAAATAAAGCTCTCCATTGTGATGTTGGATTCTGGCAACATTTTGCCTGCCCCTTACAGGACCAAATCTCATGATCTGCTGTTTGCAAAGTGGATAAGCGATTTTTATTTGTACAACTTTGATGATCACACCTTTCGCACCGTGTCGATTACCCTATTTCAGGAGTTTCGTGATGCCGAGGCCTACTTGGAGAGCCTTGTTCCGTTGAATTAGCAGGACATTATGGACATATATAGCACATCAAGGAAACCAGGTATTTTACTCATCACAATCCCCTACATTTTAAATGTATTGTTGGTGTGGCGCTTGTATGAGTCTGATCTATATTCAGTTATTGAGCGATTGATTATCTTTTTTATGATACTTCTAGCTCAGACAGTCTTCCTGTCACCTGTAATTTGTTGGAGAAGTGGTGAGTTGCTCTTTTCTTTTGTTTTTCATTACATATGTCTTTACAAGAAGGGAGCTCACTTTTAGTCTTTCGTGATGACATTAGTTGACCACATGATCTGACAAACGATGTACATCTATATGCACTAACTGGCAATCAATTTTGTCACAGGACCAGTCAGCATAACTTTTTCTTCCGCAGAAGTAGAAGGTGAAGAGAAGTCCAAGATCAAAGAAGCAGTGGTGGTGTCAATAACAGAGAAGAAATCAAAACTTGTGCAACAAGTTGTATGCCCTAAGTGAGGAAGTCATCGTGTGTTGGGCCAGACATATATATGGAATCAACTATGTAATGGATGGCTTTGGAGTTGTTTGCAAGAGCTAGCTAATTAGGTCTCTCATGTTCTGTACTCTCTTGTCTTAAATAAAAAAGGCCAAGACTCCTATGTCTGGCTCTACCAGTTTCATTGACATTTTGGTGTAATGTTTAGAGTCATTCGATACTTAGGCCTTTTTCCTTTCAAAAAGTAACTATTTGGGGTTTTGCCCGGATTCAAATCGTTTTTTCTCCCAACCCTCCGGACTCAAATTTTAAGTCCACAACTTTATTAAATTGTTTAAGAATGGTTTAAGTCTAATTTTATTTTATTTTAATGGAAAACTTTTCTTCATTTAATTTTTTAAATAACGTCATAATTTAATTTTTTGAACAATTTGACCTTAAAAAAATTGAAATTCCATAAATTTAATTTCATTCCAAAAGTAAACACACAACATAAAAAAAAACACACACACGAGATAATTGAAACACAAAAGGAGGATTGAAACAATTGTGCACCTATTCACCATCTCCAAAGCTCCTCCAAAAGTGATTGATCAAATCATGTAGGAGACTCTGATACACATGTGGAGATCGAACTCTATTTATAATTAACGAATCATGTAATCAGAGAGAGTCTGCCTATCTTAGTGTTACTCGTATGTAATGCTTGGCTCCAGCTCATATTGCCTTGCTCTGGCCCTCCTAGATCGTTGTGGACACATATCTTCATCATCAGAAAGAAAAAACAACATGTTAATCAAGCCTCAAATCTAATTTCCGAGAAAGAAAAAGCAACAGTTAAGACCTCAAATCTAATTTCCGTCAAACTTCAGGGCTTAGATGAGCTAAAAATGTCCATTCAACAAGGGTAGAAGATGTGCTCATACCACCAAATTTTGCATAAACACATATTGTTGACAAATTACAAACAAAGATATGTACAACATTGAGACATTGAAAGCGAACAACTTAACTTATATATCAAATAAGATCTATAATCTGCTTTATTAAGATTTGATTTTAAAATGGAAATCACAATGTTTGCCAAAATAAGAAAAAATTAGCTTATGGGTTTTTGGGCCTAAAGATCTCTAAACTTTGATCCAATTCGCATTTTGGTCCCTTAATTTCCAAAATTGTTCCCGTAGTCCTTCAACTTCAGTTTCATTAGGACAAATGGTAATGTCGTCAATTTTGTCATCTTTTCCATTAAATGCAAGAGCAAAATTGTCTTTTGTATTATTTTTAATTTCTCGTAGCGGTGGGGGAGTGAGTGGGGTTTAGGTGTGCCAGGAATTGCCCATTTACCCCAGGAGCGAAGCAATTTTCGATTTCGACCCTCAACAGTACACCATGTGCCATGCACATGCTCAAATTTAATAGAAAAAAGCTAACAAAATTGACAGCATAACCATTTGTCCTAACAAAACTGAAGTTGAAGGACCACATGACCTTTCTTTGGTTTTGGTGAACAAAAGTTTAGGAGAGAGATGCTACTCCCACACTCAGAGCCAGGGCAAACTGACCTAGAGCCGATTGGACTGACGCAAGGGACCATTATCCCCTTGCCCTCCGGTATGGGATTACACATGCCATTTTCTAGACTACCCACCAACACGGGATTGCTTACAGCGAGTATTGAACTCGGTTGGGGCTCAACGCACAGCCTCACCTTACCAGCTCAACCAACCAACATGTTGGCGTTTTTGTGCTAACTTGCTTCAGTGGTTGTGTTACCTTACCTTGTTACTTCATTGACAGCTTGTAAAGAAAGTAATCCCGTGACAGTTTCCTCAATAAAAAATAATGCAAATATAAACAAAAATATAAAAATAAAAAAAAAAAAAAAAAAAAAAAAAAAAAAAAAAAAATATAATTGTTGTACACTACAACCAAAATCTGCAAGACGATAAAATATTTCCTGTACACTTCTTATTATGCGCTCCAACCGCACCGACCACATTTACCAACCTTTTAAACTTCACCAACAGATTTTGGCATTTTAGTCCTTGGTCTACCGCGTCTCTTCTTAGTAAGAGGAGGCATGATAACATCTTCTGAACCCTCATGCATAACATTCTTAATGTTAGGTATGGGAGAAATACTAAACGCATATGAACATCTAAAGTAGCTTGACTTGAAGTGGTCATCAGTATACTCATGAATGCAACCAGAATCTTTTTGAATAGCAACAAGTGCATGAACACAAGGAAAGCCTTTTATTTGCCACTCATGACAGGAGCACAAACGATTAGCCAAATCAACCTTAACACAGATTTCAGCATGCACATCATAGACAGAAGCACTACAACGACTAACATTCCAATTCCTACCAACCATCAACCTTTCGTTCAATGTTCTCTCCATCACGGGACATAGAACAGAACACCACTGCTCTGCTTTACGACTCCATTCAGCCATCATTTTCAAGAGTTTACTCCTAATGCCATCAACCATTTGACAGATTGGCAAAGCACGTAGCTCAAAAATCCAAGAATTAAATGATTCAGAAGCATTGTTGCACATTTCACCATATCGATTACCCTTAAAATAGGCATATGACCAACTCTCCTTAGGAAGATCTTCTAAAAAAGTCATAACAGGAGCACCACCCTCATGTTTTAAATTTCTCATATTAACCTCAAAAGCAGCTTTAGTGGGAGCATAAGCGCATTTCAAAAAAAGATCAACAATGTGATCCCGGAAAAATTTGCCATACGTAGAAGGATATTTAGATAAAAGGTTCTGTTTCAAATGCTGCAGACAAAATGCATGATGGGATGTTGGAAACATGTTTGAAACAGCTTCGGTGAGACCTTTGTTATGATCAGATATAAATGTAATCGTCCTACCTTGAGGAGTCAAAACTTTAGCCAAGTTTTCAAAGAACCAGCTCCAATTTTCCTCATTTTCCGAGTCCCTGCAAACCAATAACATAAAATAGAATGGATGAGTAACCTGGTTTTTCAAAGGTATACAAAGACATACATTTAATATGTCACTTATCAAAAATCACAAAATATATAGTAATAAAAATAAAAAATAAAATTTATACCTTGGTTTCCATTCTTTCCCGTGGCACCAATTAGTTGCCCCTTATGCTTACTTTCTAGACCAGTCACATCTATGAACAACAAAGGTCTGCACCACTGAAAGCCCTCAATGCAGGCACCATAACAAATAAACAATCTCCAAAAACGAGAAGTCTTGGGATCACACTCCAAGACACAATGTGACCCCCGATTGGATGACATTAAAGCATCACTATACCAAACTAATCGACTATAAGACGAGGATTCATCACCATGAACCTTTCTCTTGGCCAAATTTTTTGCATACCATGCAGTATGGTAAGAGATATCAAGACCATAGTTCTGCTTAAAATCCTTGACAATATCAACAGGCTTAATAAATGGTTCTTCCTGGATTCGATCCACCAAAACAGAAGATATAATCCTTGAGCTCATCATCTTTCTTTTCTCCTCACAGATAGCACCAGTGCAAGTGTGAACTTTATTTAAAGACTTAATGTAGAAAAAACCATTCAACCGACACACCGAAGCATGTATTCGCCAATTACATCCATCTGAGATCTTCTTAAAACATTCAGCAATAACACGTTCTTTTTCATTCTTTACAAAAGCAAAACGAAATCCAGTCGCAAAGGCATACTTACACAACTTGTTACGAAATTCAACTATACACCCCCTTCAAACTTCTGGCCCACATTATTAATATATTCCTTCCAACCCTGAGAGAAATATGTCTCGCCTTCATGAAATCTTGAGGTCCCCAAATGTTCATTCTCATCAAAAGCACTACTATCTAACATGCATGATGAAGACGCTAAATGATTAGATGCCGCATGATTTGATATTGCATCACCACAAGCTGCATGATTAGATATTGCATCATTAGAGGCAGCATGATTAGATATTACATCATTAGATGCTGTATGATTAGATATTGCATCACTAGACGCTGCATGATTAGATGTTGCATCATTAGAAGTTGTGTGGTTAGACATTGCACCAGCAGACAATGCATGATTGGGAGCTCCAGGCGTTGCATGATTAGACGCTCCATGATCAACCGCTGCATGATCAGATGTTGCATCATTAGATGCAGCATGATCAGGAGCTGCACGATTAGAAACTGCATGACTATAAGGTGCGTGATCAGGCCCCGCATGATTAGACGTTGCATGATTGCCATCCTCATTATTTGAAATCAAAAGATCCTTCACCGAAATATCAACAAAACTACTCTTCAACATCGATAAACACATAAGCATCAAACGCACATCCATATCTGATTGCAGCAAGCAATTAGGATGCTCAGGAAGAGAATATGTCAGCTCAAAACTCCCTACTTTTAGTTCCTTGAACCTTAAACACATCTCATTACAGACATCTGCATATTTACTGTGTTCAAACAATGCAATGACGACAGTAACTGCACCATAACTACACCTTGCTATTCTAGCACTCTCCATTCCTCTACATGTAAAAATGACCAAAACAAATCAACAGTAAGTACCAAAAAAAAATAAAAATAAAAACTGAACAGTGAGTCAGCAACTACCCTTATAACTAATTGTAACTTATCTAAAGCAAATATTAAATTCCTGAACAAAATCAAATGTTAAACAATTATGTTAACAAATCATATTACAAAAATACAAAAACAAAACACAATGTAATTGAGTGAAACTGTCTCACAGTAAAAGTTATTCGAAAACAATAGAGTGTAACAAGTGTAACGAAGACAATTCCTTTTTCCAAAGCACTAGGATGCATCATTATACACTCTATTAACCACAACATAACACAGTAGCTGTAAAACGATTGTTGAACAACAAAAATGACAAAAAACCAGAAATAAAAATAACCATGCCAAACCAAATACCTCAACAATATCTCCAATCAATACGACCCAGAAGCCAAAAAAATTTAAACAAACTAAAAACAAACAGAAACACAGAAATATAAATTTGCACGATGAACAATACCACAATAACTACTTCAACTAAAAAAAAGATATTCTTAATAAACCAAAAACACAGATTTATGTGAATCAACCAAAGAAAATATACAACATGACGACGAAGAACAAACCGAAACCAAACAAAGAAAAATAGCTAAATAGCTTGTGAATGATTCGTATGAAGACTCATCAACTACGCACTCCAAAATAAATGAAAGCTCTGGAGAAACCAAAAATGAAAAACTTTGATGAACAAATCAAGCTGAAATCTTAATTAATTCAACCAAAAATTGACATTTTGAAGAAGAAAAAGAATCCGAATCTTGCAACTGATGATTCGTAACAAACTTGTTCATGTTTCAAGGGTAAAGGAACATCAAAATCTGGTTGACCAACACTAGGGAGGGATCTAGCTTAATTAAATTGTTGAAATAAAGGACAGCGTCCCCGAAATCACTTGCACTGGAAGACTGGATTCTATTTTTAATAATTAAAAGTAGAAAATCTGTATTACTTCAATATAATTTTCCTGTAGAAATTGCAGGAAATCTTAGTTTTGCCTCATACATAAAAAAACATAAATGAAAAATATTTATAAATAATTGATACAGATATAGGACAACTATCCAGGTGATTTATGTAAGTGACTAGTTCATGATGTTGGAGAGCGAAAGGAAAATCATTTACAGTTTCTTTGGTTATCCTTGATTGGATTGTTGATTTGTAAGAATCAAACCAGACTCCCACCTGCACATTGCACGTGTACTGTTGATTTTCTATACACAAAAGAGTATTATATACACTAGTATTACACGGAGATGTTGAATATATGTCGTACAAAGTGAGATAGGACAAGTCTGCATAGAGTATAAATTTAAAAACTATATACATATATGCATGTATAGGGAAATTTTCGATTGGCAAACTGTGAATCTGGACTATTGATCAAGTTGATTCTTGCTTGAATGCGTTGTTCGAATTCGCAGCATAGCAAAATAATGATTTTTTTTTATCATACATTGAAGATTGGCACTAACTATTAGAATCTTATCAAACTCAAATATTTCATGTTGGTTAAATTCTGGGTTTTAGTAATTTTGTTCTTATTTCAAATATTTCTTTTATGGTAATCCCCCTACTGTATAAAGGTGTTTTGTGACTTTATAACTCTGTAGCCTAAAACAAGCAAAATTTGATACTATTGAATAAGAAAGAGCTTTCTCTTAATTTCATTCTTATTCCGCTGGTATTCTCCCTAAATCAACATAGGCTGTGTTCTAATCACACTGACACTGTAGCATAAGCTTTTAAGGAGACAAGGTCAAGTTGGGTACTACTTGTGTATCTCTATTTATAAAGAGATTTTGTGCATTTAAACAGAGAAGAAGACCAAAGCTCTATGGAGCTATTGGGAGCTAGCTGTTTATGGGGTGAAACTGGCAATGACTTTTAGAATTTTCACAGGAAATGCAGGGAGGTTAGATTTCTTGTGAAATTAATCCACAGAACTACCCAGAAATGAATCCAAAATCATTCACATCATAAACTCCTAAAAATTCAACACTGAAAACACTACATAACCATGAAAATCTGCAGAACCCAATAATGTATATTGGTTAATGGCTATATTAAAGAAAATTATGTAGCAATATTGAAGAAAAATTAAAAGCTAACATATCAGAAAATTTAAGAACGAAAACCAGTGAACGGCTTAGGCCTAGTTTGGGATTGCTGTCACTTTTAAAAAAAGTTGCTTCTGCTGTGCTTTAAAAATAATTAGCTGTAAAGTAAAGCAGCTTTATGTTTGGTAAACATTATTTTTAAAGTGCTATTAGTACAAAAAGCAGTGTTAAAACCGTTTGGTAAATTTTAATATAAAATTATTGTAACTGTGAATAATGACTAAAATAGACATAATGTTAAAAGTGTTATGCACTAATCATGTGGTGGTAGTGGTAGTGATAGTGATGGAGTGGAGTTGGTGGTGGAGATGAAGGCGAAGTTGATGGTTGTGGTGGTGGGGATGGCATTTGTGGAGGTGGTGGTGGTGGTGGCGGCGGTGGTGGTTAATGAGGAGGAGGTGATGTTGGAGGTGGTGGTGGCGGAGGATGAGGAGGAGGAGGATGTGGTGGTTGTGGTAGTGGTGGTGGCAGTGGTTGTGGAGGTAGTAAATGTGGTGGTGCAAGTGGTGGAATTGGATGTAAAAGTGGAGGTGGTGTTATTTTTTTAAAATGAATGATGATATTTTGAGAATTAAAAAAATTCATTAAATGTTCATATCTGCTTCTTTTGAAAGCAGCTTTGAAAAGCAACACAGAGTTAGCTTTTAAAAGCTGCTGTCAAAAGGCCACTGCTTTTAAAATAATCGGGATATTTTAATTTTACCAAACACCTTAAACTGCTTAACTTTAAAGTTAAGTAGGTTTTTGACCAAAAAAAGCAATCCCAAACGGAGCCTGTAAGAATAAAAAATACAAAATTTTCGAGAAATAGTATTAGACAAAATAAATTAAGTACCTCAATTGGAGGATTGAACGAGGAGAAACTGGGAGCACTGGCTCGCCGACTTGAATAACGCCATAGAGGAGTAGGCGATGGGAAATGTCAAAACTTCGAACTGGGTTTTAGTTTTCGGATTGTTTTTGGGAAGGTTTTAGTTCTCTCTCTTTTTTTCTCCTAATTTCATGAAGCGTAATATCGGTATTTTGGGGGGAAAAAAATTTAATACTAGAGTAAATAGGGTTTAGGTGTAAAACTGGTAGGATTAAGGTAATTGTAAAACTGGTATTGAGGTAACGGTGAAACTTTTATTAAGGTAATTGGTCTTAGGTTAATAATACTAGCCTCTCTCTCGCAAGTGCTAAAAAAATTTAAATTTATTTTAGAATTAAAAAAGATAATGGGTAGTTGTGTTTCATAAAAATATGATTCATTATCTTTTTTCTTTTTCTTTTTTTTTTTAATATGAAAAAGTGTGAATTTATCATATTATCATCGTTTAATTAATAATTTCAATTCTTAATGTTTGCATTAACCAATGTCATTTTCTAATATTTTGAATGTTTCACCTTTCTTTGTCTTTTGCTTTATATATATATATATATATATATATATAGATAAATTTATTATATTTTATATAAATAAATAAAAAAAAAAAAAAAAAAAAAAAAAAAAAAATAAAGCGGATGTGCTTCCACTTTGCACCTGAGTTCGAATCCCCCTCCCCTTATCGCTTATATCAACAACAAAAAAAGCACTCACATGAATATTGTTGTGTTGGCAATTTATTTTTCATTCATTTATTCAATACTTATTAAGATAAAATTAAATAAACTTTTTCTTTACTCAAATTATTTTTTTTCCATATCCATGTAGAAAATAATTACTCTATACTTTTTTTATTATTAGAATATAGAAATTCAACTTTAGTATATAATTTTTTATTTTTTCTTATTTCTTATTTCTCCATCTTACTGTTTTAGACTCAAGACCATTTATTTCTTCACAATGCCCTTTTGCAATTTCAGTTTGGAATGGTGTTTCTAATTGATCGTCCCCGATTCGTTTCAGTGATCTCCTTTTTGATTGGTTGAATTTATATGGGAATTGGAATGTTAACGGTAGATATATATATATAGAAGCATGGCTTTATGCAAACTTCGTTTGTTAAATTAAACTTTGATGGTCATTGGTCAGTTTGAGATGATTCTGAAGCTACTTTTGGTTAAACATTCTGTGCTTGCTGGTACAAAGAGTATTGGCCTTTCCAGTGTTTTGATGGTTGAAGGGCAAGCTCTAAATGATGGTTTTCCCAATGCTTTTCTGGATCGATATTTCAAAGTCTCGGTTGAAGGCAACTCTAAGCTTCTCATTGGCTGCCTCTCTGTTGATGTTCTATACCATGGAGGTTGTTAATGTGGTGAGTTCATCATATACATAAAGTGGGAAAGGAAACATCATTAGATGCAATCGGACCAGTGCAGTTTTAGCAACAATGGAGGAACAGATAACAGAACAAATTCGATTACCACTATAATCCTAATAAGATCCAAGTGTTTTTAGAGAGAGACTTAAGACAAGATGCAGTAGTAATCTTCTTCACACAAAAGAGTAGCATAAGTTTGAAGCTTTTATCGAAGAGGAACGTCCCTAATGGAGCGCAATGCAGATGCAGCATCACTGATGCCCTTTTGGTCTCTTGGGGATTCTGCAGAACACTCAATTCCAGTTCTAAATATCAAACTCAAACCTCCTCCAATTTTTGTGCAGTTGGGCTGCGTTGCTTGGGAGTGTCCTCGATGCCTCCTTGAAGAAATAATACCGCATCTGCAATCTCAGTAACTCGCTCAGGAAGATTCAACTTCACAAAATTATGAAAGTTCAAGCCATCACTGAACATGTTGTCGGTGGGTTTCTTCCCAGTAAACATCTCTAACAAGAGAATGCCAAAGCTGTACACATCCCCATACGTTGACACCTCACTTCCCATTCCATACTCTACAATTCAAAAATCAGATATCGTTAATGTAATTGCAATTAGTAGAGCTTTCTTAGAAGCAAGTAAGAGTAACATTTCAACCATGAACTTTCCATGATGCGGAAGTTTAACAAGATTTGTGTACCAAAAAAATCCCAGAGAATTGGAAAATTCCAATAATGTGAGTGGAAAAGTGAATGCAGAATCAATTCTTTTTGTTATATGTATTGCAACATGTGACAATCTAATTAGCAGTAATTTTTCCAGGTAGGGTAAAAGGAGAATGCAAACTGTTTGAAAAATGGATATAATTTACCTGGTGCGGCATATAGCCAACTGATCCTCTTTTTCCAATGGAACTTATTTGATTTGCAGAAATCTTACTTGATAACTTTGAGAGAAATCTTGCTAGCCCAAAGTCAGCAACATGTCCAGTCAATTCATTGTCTAAAAGAACATTGTTTGGCTTGAGATCACAATGAACGATTTGAGTTTCGCAATGATTATGAAGATAATCTAGTGCACAGGCAAAATCAATGGCGATGTTCAGCCTCTGAAGAAGATTCATACTCTTGGATTCGTCTCTTACCTCTTCTGTTCCAGTAGGCAGATGCAACCACTCGTCTAAGTTCCCATTTTTCCATCAACTCATAAACCAGAGCCTTGAAATCATTACCTTGAAAATCAGCACTTGAACATGCAATAATAATCTTGATGAGATTTCAATGCCTGATATTTCTCAAAGCCTCAGACTCTGCTATGAAACCCTTCGAAGCCCCCTGACGTAATAGGTTAAACACTTTTATGGCAACCAACTGAGCTCCACCATCATCAAGAACTCCTTTGTACACAGATCCAAAACTGCCCTCACCAATCAAATTAGTCAAAGAGAACCCATCGGTAGCTTTTACAAGAGCGGCATATGACACTTGCAAAATTTTCTCCAAATTGCTTGGGGCATGCTCTTTTCTTAGCTTCTTCCTTAATGGACGCAGATATAGGAAAGACAAGACCAGGATGATTAACACAAGGGCAGGGACTATACAGATTATTAATTTCAAGGCAAGGGTCATCCTCCTTTTCTTGGACTCTTTGGATGGAAAGTTGCATTTGGGCAGGTGGAATTCAGCAACACCGCTGCAGAGCTTGCTGTTTCCAACAACCGAAGTTGAACTGGTATTTTTGAAGGCACCTCCCACTGGCAGCATGCCCACAAAATCATTAAAAGATATATTCAAATTCAGCAAACGTAAACCCTCCAAGAATTGTGGAATCTTTCCCGACAGATTGTTTCGAGAAAGATCCAAAACTTGAATTCCTCTCAATGTTTCGAAAGGCAAAACAATGGTCCCTTGGAAGGAGTTGCCTTGCAACCGGAGGACTTCTAAACTTCCACACTTGCCAAGATTTCTGGGAAGTTCCCCAGATAACATGTTATCAGAAAGGTCCAAAGACCTTAGACCTTTCAAATTTCCAACTTCCATGGGAAGGGACCCAGTCAAGTGGTTTTGAGATAGATTCAAAACCACTGACAAGGATGAGAGACCCCAAACTTTTTGGGTTATTGAACCACTAAGCTTGTTTTGAGAAAGTTTCAACAGAAGTAGCTTTCGACATTGCCCCAAACTTGGAGGGATGCTGCCCTTGAGATCACTTCCTTGTAATTCGAGTGTGGTTAACTCTGTTAAATTCCCAACAGAGGATGGGATGTGCCCTGATAATTTGTTGTTGTCCAAACCCAACCTCCCTATTTTTCGAAGCCTCCCAATATCAGCAAGGATGTTTCTTGTAAATTGATTATAGTTCATAAACAGAATATTCAAGTTAACAAGATTGCCTATCCCATTTGGGATGCCTCCATGTATCTGATTGAAACTAACATCAAATCCAACAAGAGTGGTCGACAAGTTTCCTATAGATGTGGGCAATATCCCTCCAAATTTGTTGTTACAAATATCAACCAACCCCAATTCTGTGGAGTTAGTCAAATCCGAGAGGAAGTTCCTTTTTTACGTCCCCATGTCCCATTCACCCGCTTGCCCATCCACTTCCAAGATAATTAATGGCAATGCTGAATTCCCAGAGACTATAGAGCTTCTGCAAAGAGGGAACTTGTCAAGTTAGGCTGTTTCCTGCAACAATAAATTGTTCCAAATTGGAGGCACTGGATATGGACACGGGAATGGATCCCGGTTATGAATTGGTTGAGGCCAAGGTTGATAATTTGGAGATTGGGAAGAGTTTTGAACATGTCTGAGGGAAGACTCCCCTGGATTTGGTTTCCCATCAAATCCAAAGCAGTAAGAGTAGAAATATTGAAAACGGAACCAGGGACAGCACCAGACAACATATTTTCACCCACTGAAAACAAGTTTAAGCTTGTACTTCGGCCTAGAGACTCAGGGATACTTCCATTTAAGAAATTCTCAAGTGCAACAAAGGATACAAGAAATGTAAGGTTCCCAAATGAAGGAGGGATAGTTCCTGTCAGAAAGCTCTTGTACAAACCAAGTTTTTCGAGCTTTGACAAGGACCCAAGAGTATTAGGAATTTTCCCTACTAGCTTGTTTCCACCGAGATGAATCTCTATGAGGTTGGAGCAACTGGATATATTGGCTGGAATTTCTCCACTCGATGAATTATTAGCCAGTATTAAACTCTGCAGCCTACGCAGGTGGCCGATTTGTGGAGGGATTTCATCAGTGAAGCTATTGTTGCTTAAAATTAGCTCCTTGAGGAAGCTTAGATTTCCTACATATGGTGATATGGACCCTGCCAATTGTTGAGAATGTAGGTGAAGCCCTGTGACCCTTTGATGCCGGCGACCACACATGATGCCTTGCCATTGGCAAAAGTGAATGGATTCATTCCAAGGGCTCAGGACCGAGTTGGGGTCGTGCTTAATTTGAGCTTTGATGGCTAGCAGTGAAACTCGTCCGTCTCATTCCCTCCCAGCCTCACCCTTGTGGGGTTCATGGCTAAGGAAAAACCTGATTGCATGGATCTCAAACAACATATCAGCAGCATATAGAAAAGTGAGCATACTAAGCTGGATTTGATGGAGAAAATCTCCATCTTATAATGATATTAGAGATTAAAAAGAGATATGAGTTGAGATTGCCTTAAGTTCATTTCATGCATGACAAGAAGTCTATGCAAGTGAAAGAGCCAATCTCAGTTCCTGGATGACCAAAGTCTTTTGCTTCCCACAGTTGGGTGGGGGCTCACAAGTGAGACGTTATGCATGAAAACACAAACACAGGGACGTGGAAATTCAAATCATAAGCATTCTTCCATTGGCAGGAAAGAGAGAGGAATCAAAGTGACTTCAGGGTCCCTGGCCTTTTCGTTTTGTTAACATCTTATTCAAAACTTTTTTTTATTTACCGCCCAATACCTTTCAACATCAATTTCTTTTCTAAAAGATAGTTTTCAATTTTCGTTGAATTGATCAAAATGGCACAAAAGAAATCTTTCAATTTTCGTTGAATTGGTCAAAATGGCACCAAAGACGATCTTTGGACACTCCTATTAAATGAGGTCCATATAGAAAAGTTTTGTTCTTTTGGGATAAACCGCTCTGAGTAATGCTAGAGAGACCATATTTTTGCAACACATTTAAATACCACATGATGTGACATGCATATAACCAATGTGCAATGAGATTGATTCATTAATTGACAAGGCATATATACACATTGCCTGTACACTTTTTTTTTTTCATATCATGTGATACTCAAATGTGGTATAAAAATGCAGTCTTCCTAGCATTTTCTATGTAATCACGACTAATGAAGGTTTAAAGTGATAATTTATTATTCTTGAACTAGATATATTTCATTTGATCCTTACTAGCTTCTTCCACAAGGGCTTTTCCTTGTATGCTTGTAGAGATGAGTTTTGTCAACTGATCCCTCTAAATTAAAGAAGATCTCTCTCATTCTAGAGGGGATATAATCAACAGTGCTACTACTTCAGATTTTGTTTGGTGAAAACTGAGAGATAATTCAATGAAGCAAACAACCATTCACCAACTGAAATATCCGAGGGAATGTCTAAGTATACTTTAATAAAAAGAAAAGTTTGAACTCCCAAATTCAACCAAACAACTAAATATACTTCAACAAAATTCGATCATCAAAGCTGACAATCCAAACATACGAAAGTATATTAAAAAGCACAGACTAGGACAGAGAAAGGGAGACCTGATTTAATCAACCAATAAAGAGAAATATAGAAAAGAGAGTGAGAAAAAAGATACACTGTATGTAGAGACTAAGGAAGTAAAAGGGGAGATTGGGATGGTAGATCTACCTGTTCGTCTAGAAAGCTGATATCCGATGCATGGCTGTAAACAGTGTTGAAAGTTGGAGGAAGAGCTTGAACAGCCCCTGTAATTTTCTCTTGTGCATTCCTCATTCTCTAAATACACTGGAAATTTGATTTAGATGTTTTCGAATTTTACAAGGTAAACTCAGACTTATCAAGATGTTTTCTTCAGACAGCAACCAACCACGTTTTACAAATGTCATCCGTTTAGCAAAGCTAAAAACCAAGCTGTAAGCGGAAAGTGCAGGGTACTATGATCTGTTGATACATGGTTCTGTGTGATATCAGTTAATATAATATTTTATTTGTTCCTCTGTGTTTTGTACCTTTTGCTTCAGCAATGCTGTTTTTTCTTACCAATCGAACTACAACTCGTGAAGAAGTAATCATTTGGCAATTTCTTCAATATGAACCATGCAAAAATGAACAAAAATGTTGAAAAAGGTACAAAAACACATCATAGAATTTATGCACACTGCTAAGAAAATACTGTGAAACAAAATCAAAATTTTGCTGTACATGTCTTCTTATTATGCCTGGCAACCGCACCACATCGACTGCATGTAATGGCCCTTGGAACTTTACCAACAGATTTAATCGTTTTAGTCCTTGGTCTACCCTTCTTAATAAGTGGAGGTAGGATAACATCTTCTGAACCCTCATGCATCATATCCTTAGTGTCAGGTATAGGAGAAATAAGAGTTGCATATGACCTTCTATAGTAGCTCAACTTGAAGTAATCATCAATGTAGTCATACATGCAACCAGAATTTTTTTGAACAGCAACAAGTGCATGAGCACAGGGAAAGCCTTTTATTTGCCAATCATGACAGGAGCAAAAATGATTAACCAAATCAACCATAACAGAAACTTCAGCATGAACCTCAAAGACAGAAGTACTGGAACGGCTAGCATTCCAATGCTGACCTACAGTCAACATTTCACTCAAGGTTTTCTCCATCTCAGGACATAAAACAGAACACCACTGCCCCGCTTCACGACTTCTTTCAGACACCATGACCATGAGTTTAATCCTGATGCCCTCAAGCATTTGACAGATAGGCAACGCACATAGCTCCAAAATCCAAGAATGAAATGATTCAGAAGCATTCTTACACATTTCACCATATCGATTGCCCTTAAAATGAGCAGATGACCAATTCTCTTTAGGAAGATTATCTAGAAAAGTCTGAACCGGAGCCCCACCTTCTTCTTTTAAATTTCTCATATTAAATTCAAAAGCAGCTTCCGTTGGAGCATGAGCACATTTCATAAAACGTTCAACAATTCCATCCCGGAACAATTTACCATTTGTAGGGGGATATTTAGATCCAAGTTTCTCTTTCAAATGGTTCAAACAAAACGCATGATGGGATGTGGGAAATATGTTTGAAACAGCTTCAATCACATCTTTGTTATGATCAGATACAAATGTAATGGTCCTACCTTGTGGAGTCAAAACTTTAGCTAAATTTTCGAAGAACCAGCTCCAGTTTTCCTTGTTTTCTGAGTCCACGATAGCAAAAGCAAAGGGGAAAAATCCTAAAAACCAGTCATATAAAAAAGACAAAAATGAGTAATTGGTGCTTCAATGATATATGTATATATAAATATACCTCTACACATACATATAATATATACATAAACATGTGTAACTTATGAACCATCATAATACAGGATAAGGATGCAAGTGTTAACCAGTCTGATAACTATACCTTGGTTTCCATTCTTCCCCGTGGCACCAATTAGCTGCCCTTTATACTTGCTTTTCAGAAAAGTTTCATCTATGAACAACAAAGGTCTGCACCATTGAAAGCCCTCAATGCAAGCACCATAACAAACAAAAAGCCTCCGAAAGCGAGAAGTCTTTGGATCACACTCTACAACACAAGATGATCCAGGATTGGTTGACACTAAAGCATCACGATACCAAACTAATTGACTATAAGACAAGGATTCATCACCATGAACTTCGCTCTTAGCCAATTCTTTCGCGTACCATGCATTATAGTAAGAAATCTCAAGACCATAGTTCTGCTTAAAGTCCTTGACAATATCTATTGGTTTAATTGACGGTTTTTCACGGATTTTATCAACTACAATAGAAGATATCATCTTTGACGTAATCATTTTACTTTTCTTCTCACGACCAACACCCATGCACGTGTGAACATTATTTAAAGTCCTTATGTAGAAAAAACCATTAGCTTGACATAGTGAAGCATATACACGCCACTTACATCCATCTGATTTCTTTTTAAAACAATCAGCAATAACACGTGACTTATCATTGGATTGATAGACAAAACGAAATCCCATACCAACTGCATACTTACGCAACTTGTTCCGAAATTCGATTACCCCGCCCACAAACTTCTGACCTTCATGATTAATATATTCCTTCCAACCCTCAGACAAATATGCAATGCTTTCATGCAATCTGGAGTTATCCAAATGTTCATTCTCGTCAATAGCACTATTTTCTACCATGCATGAAGAAGATGCTACATGATTAGATGCTGAAAGATTAGAAGCTTCTTGATTAGACACTGCATGATTAGATGCTGAATGATTAGAAGCTTTATGATTAGATGCTGAATGATTAGACGATTCATGATTAGAAGCTGCTTGATTAGATGTTGTATGATCACCATCTTCATTATTTGAACTCACCAGATCCTTCACCAGTATATCAACAAAACTAATCTTCAACATTGATAAACACATTAGCATCAAATGCATGTCCATATCCGATTGCAGCAAACAAGTAGGATGCTCAGGAAGAGAATATGTCAGCTCGTAACTCCCTACCTTAAGTTCCTTAAACCTTAAACATATCTCATTACAAATATCCACATATTTACTATGTTCAGACAATGCAATCATGACAGTTACAGCACGATAACTACACCTTGCTATTCTAGCACTCTCCATCCGTCTGCATGTAAAAATCAAGAAAAGAAATAAACATAAATAAGTCAAGAACTACTGTTCTGTTTACGACAACTAGGATAAATATGTGATACTGTAACTGGCACCTATTTTGCCGGTATTCTTCGTAAGTCAACAAATCTACACAAGCCCTTATAATATTGTTTGCTGAGAACCACAGATCCTAGGTGTAGGATGTATTTTAATTGCACTAAAACTATGGTATAATAGTTAGAGTATAGCAAGTAACACACACACACACACACACATATATATATATTTTACGATGTTCATCACAAAAAATGAAAAACAAACAAAAAAATTAGACATGCCAGAAAAGTTTCTATTTCACTTCTGAAAAAATTATTTTATTTAATAATAAAAAGACAAGAACAGCTTCAATACAATGTAAGAGAAATTAAACTATAGAAGTATTAAACAATGAATCAAAAGCCACTTACATCATAAAATCTTCTAAGTTCTACACTTCAAGGCTTAAAGCACTACAGAATACCTGAAAATTTACAAAACACAATAAATGTATAATGGCATATAACCAGGTTTAATAAAGTCTTAAGTAAAAATTGACAAAACTTCAACTCTTAATGGGATGGGATGATGCTTATCATGCTTATACTAGCTAGCAACAATAGCATATATTAAGAACCTAAAACGGTTGAGTTTAGAGAAGATAAAAGAAAGAAAAAAAAAAAAAAAAAAAAAAAAAAAAAAAAACTGAATGAGTAAATTTTGAGTATAGTAAAAGCAAAATAATTAAGCACCCCAATCGGAAAACTTGCAAGAAAATATTTTTTGTTTTTTTGGGTTAGATAATTGAGCAAAAGGCGTGAGAGAGAGAGAGAGGGACGAACCTTAAATGAAGAGGGATTGCGAGCGACGGAGACGGAGGGTGTCTCGCGCCAACTTGAAGAGTATAACAGAGGAGAGAGCAACTGAACTTGCTGTAGTTCGGATTCTTTTTGAGAAATTTATAATAAACCACATTTCTTGCATTGATTTTATATAAAAACCCTACATACTACAAATTAAAGAAAAAAACTAAAAAACGATCTAGCGATAAATATATATATATATAATATATATATATATATAGTAGTCCCTCGGTGCCAATTGATTTTATTTTTTATTTTTAAAATTAAAAAAAGATAATATTGGTAGTTATGTTCTATAAAAATATGAGCTATTATCTGATTTTGTTTTTAATTTTAATATAAAAATGTGAATTTACCATATTATCCTCATTTAATTAATAATTTTAATTCTTAATTTTTGAATTAACCAATGACATTTTATGGTATTTTGAATGTTTCACCATTCTCTGTCTTGGCTATGTGCCAATTGGTTTTTTTTTGTTTTTTTTTATTTTTAGAATTAATAAAAGATAACATGGGTAGTTACGTTCCATAAAGTAGAACCTATTATCTAATTTTGTTTTTAATTTTAATTTTTTTAATATGAAAAATATGAATTTACTATATTATCCTCATTTAATTAATAATTTCAATTCTTATTGTTTGAATTAATCAATGGCATTTTTTGGTATTTTAAATGTTTCACCATTCTCTGTCTTTTGCTTTATATATATATATATATATATAGATAGATAGATTAATTGAATAATGTGTGAATGATTTTAGCAAAACATATGATGGTAGTATTGTAATTTTCAGATTGTTGAAGACTTATAATATATTTAGTCCATTTAAGAAGTCAAATGGGCCTTGTTTTAAAAAAAAATTAAGTATTATAGGATTTTCCTATAATTTGGGCCCTATAAATGGGCTTAAATGTGAAAAACTCATTCTTTTTTGGGCTTTGGGAACTCTTATCACTACCCCTGAAATTTATGCGAGCAAAGACCCAATTTCTCATCATGGCAAAAATAAAAAGACCCAATTTCTCATCACGGACCAAATTTCAGAACAATGTATTGTGTGTGTGTGTATATATATATATATATATTCCCAAAATGATAGGAGGTTTTCTCACACACATTACCAATACTAAAGTGCTAAATGTTCAAACTTGAAACCATTTGTCAGCAAGTCAAGACCTTTTTTCCACTAAGCAAGACCATGTTAGCTTTAGAATAATGTAATTTATTACTCTTTAGTTTTTACTAAGGTTATTTACCAATTTTAAATATTGTAAGTCTACAAAGGACTCCTAATGTAGTAGTTTGGAGCAAATGCTCCCCCCCAGGAAAGGTTCTAGGTTCGAGTTCTAGCATCTGTGTAATGTATGTAAATTTAGTATGTTATCGCTCATCTCAATAGGAAATGTCCTAAAAAAAATCTAGCTCTAACTTTTTTTTTCAATAAATTTTAAATATTTTTGTTTCTTTTTGTTAAGAGGATAACTTTATTAATTCCAAAAAAATCAATACAAGATTTATAAGTAAATTAAAAAATAAAAATACAAAAGAATATCCCAAAGTTATCCTCAACCCCATGGTGAACATGAAAATCAGGATACAAGCACATCCATCCTAAGTAGAGGTGTACTTCAGTTTAAAACCAATGCAATTTCATCAATCCAAATCAGAGCCAATATAGATTGGATTATGATTTTTCCAATCCAATCCGATCACATTAGAGGTTTAAATCCAATTTGATCCGATCTAATTGATATTGAATTGGATTGGATGATCAATTTTCATAATGGAAAAGATAATAATGAAATTTGCAACATTTATTGTCAAGTTTAATATAATCAAACACTTTAATATATTTAAATGTAAAATATAAATGAAATGCTAGAGAAAATTATTTTGATTTATAATATATTAAACATATCTCCATCAAATTATTTAAAATATTCATAACTTTCTTATCTTAATGACAATTATCTAATAAGCAAAGAAGCATGAAATTAACTAGATTTGATTGGATCCTCACAAGAAAATCCGTCATCCGATCCAATCGTGTCGGTTTTGGAAATTAGAGATCCAATTCAAACCGCAAAATCATCAAAGTCGATTAAAATTGGATTGGATTGGATCGGTTAATTTGAGTGGATTGGATTGAATCTTGTACACCCCTAATCCTAAGAAGATGGTTGCCTGAAACACACAGACAAAATGCTGCACCTGCAACTGAACCTGACAATCTATACCGTTGAGATGAGCTAAAAATGTTCATTACTGAAAACAATATTTTCCTCCGTCTTCTCAGCAACAAAACAAGGGTACCAAGATCTACTAAACCAGAACATGCATGAACTTTATAAAACAAATCAGACACCTACAGATTGAAAGCTAAAACCTTGAACACAAAAACAATCATACAGAGTTAAACTTATGTAGTCAGCAAAGAGGGATAACTAATTTGCTATCTAATGAGATTTAATGTAAAATCAATTTAATTCTCAAATTTAGCCTAAAAGAAAATTGATTTTAAAAATACCGTCAGAATAAGCCAACAAAGCTAACAAAATTCCATAAAACATTCCAAAATTATAATAAAAAAACACACTAGGAGATAACAAGAGGGCTGATTTAAAAGGTACTTTCTTCGAAAGGAAACCTGACATATCCATGCACGGTTCTGTGTTCTATCATGTGAAGTACTGTTATGATTGTGGCTCTGTGGCTTGTGCTCTACCTTTTGCTTAAGTGATTGTGTTATATCTTAACAATCGAATAACAACTCAAGAATCATGCAAATATGAACCTAAAAAAGTTGAAAAGGTTAATAAATAATAAACACCGCAAAACAGAATCACATATTTGCAGTACATGTCTTCTTATTATGCCGTCCAACTGCACCACATCGACTGCATGTAACAGCCCTTGAAAACTCACCAGCAGATTTCATCTTTTTAGTCCCTGGCTGCCTAGTAAGTGGAGGAAGGATAACAATATCATCTGAACACCCATGCACCGCATCCTTAATGTCAGGTATGGGAGAAATAAGAGTTGCATATGAACTTCTAAAATAGTTCAACTTGAAATAATCATCAATGTAGTCATATATGCAACCCGAATTTTTTTTAACAGCAACAACTGCATGAGCACAGGGAAAGCCTTTTATTTGCCACTCATGACAGGAGCAAAAATGCTTATCCAAATCAACCATAAAAGAACCTCCAGCATGAACCTCAAAAATAGAAGCACTAGAACGGATGGCATTCCAATGCCGACCAACAATCGACATTTCATTCAAGGTTTTCTCCATCACAGGACAGAGAATAGAACAACATTCCTTTGCTTCACAACTCCTTTGAGACATCAGTCCCATGAGTTTAATCCTGATGCCATCAACCATTTGACAAATAGGCAATGCATAAAGCTCCGAAATCCAAGATTGAAATTATTCAGAAACAGTGCTGCACATGTCACCATATCGATTACCCTTAAAATAGGCATATGACCAATTCTCCTTGGGGAAATTTTCTAGAAAGGTCTTCATAGGAGCACCGCCTTCATCTTTTAAATTTTTCATATTAAACTCAAAAGCAGCTTCAGTTGGAGCATATACGCATTTTGTAAAAAGCTCAACAGTTCGATCCCGAAAAAATTTACCAAAATTAGCCGGATATTTAGATGAGAGGTTCTGTTTCATATCATTCAAACAAAATGCATGATGGGATTTTGGAAATATGTTTGAAACATCTTCGGTCGCACCTCTGTTATGATTAGATACAAAAGTAATCGTCCTACCTTGTGGAGTCAAAACTTTAGCTAAATTTTCAAAAAACCACCTCCAGTTTTCCTCGTTTTCTGAGTCCACGATAGCAAAAGCAAATGGGAAAAATCCTAAAAACCAATAACATGAAAAGGCAATGGATAAGTAATACGATATTTTAGCAAAATATAAATTTGTCTTATCAAGAATCACAATATATACAACATATAGATGTAACTATCAAGCAGATAACTACCTATGAGAGTTTCATTTTCTATTCTAAAAATCCATGTACAGTGACTCATCACTCATCATAGTAAAAAACGTAACTAATTGTACCTTGATTTCCATCCCTCCCGGTAGCACAAATTAGCTGCCCATTATACTTACTTTTAAAATAGGTTGCATCTATGAACAGCAAAGGTCTGCACCATCTAAATCCCTCAATGCAAGCACCATAGCAAATAAACAATCTTTGAAAGCAAGAAGTTGTTGGATCACACTCCAAGACACAATGTGACCCTGGATTAGTTGACATTAAAGAATCTCTATACTGAACTAACTGATTATAAGACAAGGATTCATTACCATGAACCTCACTCTTAGCCAATTCTTTCCCGTGCCAAGCACTATGGTAAGAGATGTCAAGACCATATTTGTGCTTAAAATCCTTGACAATATCTGCTGGTTTAATTCGGTTTCTCGCGGATTTGATCCACGAGAACAGAAGATACAACCTTTGAACTCATCATCTTACTTTTCTGTTCATCGACAACAGGCGTGCATGTGTGAACATTATTCAGACTCCTTATGTTGAAAAAACCATTCCCTCGACATAGAGAAGCATATATACGCCAATTACAACCATCTGAAATCTTCTTAAAACATTCAGCAAGGACACGTTCTTTCTCATTCTTTACATAAGCAATACGAAATTTCATATGAGCAGCATACTTACACAACTTGTTACGAAATTCAGTTACACCCCCCTCAAATCTCTGACCGTCATGACTAATATATTCCTTCCAGTACTGAGACAAATAGGCATTGCCTCCATCCAAGCTGGAGTCCCCAAAATGGTCATTCTCATCAATGGCACTACAACTTTCTAATGTGCATGATAAAGGTGCTGTACGATTAGAGACTTCACGATTAGACATTGCATGATTAGACGCTGTATGATCAGACACTTCACACTTTTGATCACCATTATCATTATTTGAACTCACAAGATCCTTCACCAATATATCAACAAAACTACTCTTCAACATTGTTAAACACATCAACATCATATGCAAATCCATATCAGATTGCAGCAAACAATTAGGGTGGTCAGGAAGAGAATACGTCAGGTCAAAGCTCCCCACTTTTAGTTCCTTAAACCTTAAGCATATCTCATTACAAATATCCAAATATTTACTCTTTTCAGACAATGCAATGACAACAGTTAATGAACGATAACTACACCTTGCTATTCTAGCACTCTCCATCCGTCTACATGTAAAAAAGAACAAAACAAACAAACAGTAAATAAGTCAGCAACTACCATCTGGATAACAATTAGAATAAATGTCTCAACATATTCTTACTGACACATAGTAGCATATCAAATATTTCAACAAGATATAACCTTTAATAACTATATTAACAGTTACTATTACGAACATACATAACAAAACACAAAGTAAAGAGTGCAGCTGTCTCACATTTACATTGTTTTTCCAAAACAGTATAGTTTTTCTTACAACCACGCTTTTCCCTTCTCTCCTCTCCTCCTCATTCAAGTTTCATTGAAAACCACAATCCCAATCCATCAACCTTAGAATTCTGCAAACTAGACAATCTAAATAAACTATGAAACTAGAGCAAAATGGTTCTTCACCACCCCAACAATACTTCCGCAATCTCACCTTTACCCTGTCTCCACTCACAGCAAACAAAAAAAGCTTTCCATTACTTCATAAATACTCCAATTCCACCTACTAGAACCCCTAACCACCTGCTTAGCATCCTAACTAACATTATGTAAGTCATAGTTACTCTTAATAACAGCAACTTTTTTATTTGGACCAAATCGCCAATCTCCCAATCCCTTTCTCCCTTGTTCGAGATACCACCTCCCGGTTCATCAAGCAGTCTTTCTTCCTTCCCACACGAAATCCCTCATCAAACATTCTAACCACTCTGCCCTTTTCGGCTTCAAGGTGGGCATCAAGTTCTATTGAGTTTAGAGATATACATCACATTTCCTGTTTATTCATGTGAATTGGGGAGCTGTCGTTTCTGAAGATTTTAATTTGTGCCTGCGTCTTATGTATTTCCTGCATTAGTTTTGAGATTGTACATTGGCTTGACTGTCACTGTTGTACTTGGAGCTAGAAATTATTTCATTCAATCACAAAGGCAAAAGCAGCTTGAATTTTACAACGCATTTAGAAAATAATCAATAGAACTATTCAACAATGAACCCAAAATCATTTACATCATAAACTGCAGAAACTTCAACCCATAAAAAGCTGCATAACTAATATATTAATAAATTAAAAATGAAAATAAACAAGATTTATATCAACCAAGAAATCTTGAATGTTTATAATTCAACGAAACCAGTTAACAGCTTAAGAAGAATGAAAAATAAAAAAATTCGAAAAATAGTGGAGGGAAAATAATTAATTACCCTAATTCTTTCATAAGTTTTCTGCTTTTGCGATTAGAACCTGCAGAGGAGAGAGTGAGAGGAGACTCAGGCGTAGACTATTTTTGTGGTCGCTTTTGCGAGGCCGGTCTGGTAACTGGACCGGGTTTGAAGGACCTGCCCAATCACTCAACCACTGTGAAACGCAGAAATATGGAGTTTGCTTGCTTGTGTATACGATTTAATATTTTTCGCATCCCTAAAATACCCCCAATTAAATCATTATTGTATTTTGTATATTAATATTGAAATTAATATGGAAAGTTTTTAAAATTTGGTTGTAACTAATGATATACCTTGAATTTTGGAAAGATTACATACATTTCTCTCCATCAAATCTGGTTGTAATAGGTGGATTTAATTTGGAAAGTTTTTTTTAATTTCGACATTAAATTTCAGATTTAAAGTACATAATAGGTGGATTTAATTAAAACAATATCTCTGTTATTTTGTATTTATGAATTCTATGTGATTTAAGAAAATCTACTTACCTTTTATAAATAATAGTGTGCATACTAATGATTTCGAAAATATAATGTATCTATTATTTAATTTTTATGAACAAAAAATTACTTATTATCTTATAAATAAAAAATAAAAAATATTTTATTTATTATTTTTATGGACAATAATATACCTAAATTTTTTTAATGTACCTAGGACTTTTTTGTGAATACCATATCTACTACAAATCAATTTACCTCTTATAGAGGAGAAATTATAGAATGATACGGTAGAATTAGTGTGTGCGCAAAATATAGATAACATAGTGTCAATATTCGATATAGCTAAATTAGTTTACATACATAATATACATGGAATAGAATTAGTATGAATGTAAGGTAAAACAAGTCTCAAAATTGACAAAAACATATTGATACTGTTATTTCTTGTTAAGTTCTCACCCCTCATCAAATTGAATTCCCAGGAAAGTAGGAATTAAAGAATAGCCAAAGCTAAGGCTAAAAATAAGGGATTTCAAAAGGAAAAAGAAAAGAGAGATTCATTATTATGTATGGTGGGTCTTATGGCATGTATTGTAAATAACTTATAATACATGGACAACTTGTATTCTTGATGGCATTTAATTCAAATTTTGGGCTTATATTGGAAGTAAAAAAGTAGGTGGATTTTTGTCTAAACTATTTAAGTTGAAAGGGTCTAAATTCAAATGGTAAAAAACCTAAAGGAAAAATTAATGAAGAGGGTAACGAAATTCAGTTGGGCAATAGGGACAAAAAGGACAAGCAAGAATGGTTCAACCGAGTTGGACCCAAACCGACGTAACCCAACCAGCCCATCAAGAATATAATTTGATTTTAAATTTCAACGTTGCAGTATTTCATTTGTATATTTAGGCTCACTATGAACAATAAAGTGCCACATTAGGCCATCTCCAGTTATAGGGCTAAATATAGTGTATGGCTAAAAATTTAGCCCCCTAAAATATTAATTTTTTAAAGAATAGTGCATGGCTAAATTTTTCCATCCCTAGCCATGCAGGGCTATATTTTAAGATCCTTCATATTTTATTATTTTGAAATGGGGAGTGGAGAGTGCTTTAATGATTGGTTGTTGAAAAGCACATGGATAGGGCCCACTATAAATTTGGCCTAGGCCAAAACTATGCTACATTTGGCGCAGTTAGAGGACTAAACCAAAATTTATTTAGCCCATGACTGGAGATAAGTTTTGCATTAATTTAGAGCTATATTTGACATATAGCCCATGGCTGGAGATGGCCTTAGTTGGTAACTCTGTCTTTAAAGAATCTGCGAAAAAATATCAGCTTTTCTTCATGCTATGTGCCACTTTAATAGTTCAAGTTAATTCAAGTTTCTGGTTTTGTTCCAACTCTAAGTACATGAATTTCTTTGTCAATGTTAATTCTATACAGAGGGGAACGTGATACCATTTTAAATCTGGACACCCAGCATGTCGCGAGCAGTGAACCTGGGGCAATTTCTTCCGCCGGAGAAAAGAAACATATGCTGACAAAACTTCTAGCAAACAATGGTAATACTTCAGATGTGAGTTTTTAGGAAACATATGTTGCAGCAATAAATACTAGCCTAAGCCAGTTTTGGAATCATTTTCCATAACTAAACTCCAATCTCCAAACACTGGCAGAATAACATTTTACATCGGCAGCAGCTGCTTCAGAAATATCACCTCTAATCTTGTAGTAAGTAAAATCTACCATCTCTAAGTTAGCTCTAATAGCATGCAGCATGACTTTCAAGCTCATATAGGAGACCTAAGCAAACTCTTCATAGTTGAAGGGATTTTTTACTAATGAAATTTCGCGAGACCAGTCCTTTACGTTTCTAGAATAAGAACAGAACCTCAAAACTTTTTCCCAATTTGTTCAGTGAAGAGGCAATCAATAAAAGTTAATTCCAAGACTGAGATGACTCAAAACATACAAAAGAGCATTTCCACAGAAAAGTACACCTAACCTGCCCTGGAATCATACACAGAAGCAGCCTTTTTGACGATTTTCAGTTCATTTCTTTGCAAAGCAAAAAATATCTAACTAGTTCTTGGCCTTAAGAGAGTTGTTGTCCTTGATCCTTGCTCGGTTATCCAGCTTAACAAAACGTTTGAGATCTTCGTATGGGAGAGTTTCAATGTTCTTCCTACTTAATTCACTCAATGCTGGGCGTTTATCAAGTAGACGCCACAACCAATCAGGGTACTCAGCATCTGGCAAGATCTTAGGATCTGTTCCGTCTTTGAGAATATTGGCTCCGACAACTGTAGTAGACTTAACTTCTTTGTCCAGATTTGATGCTTTTGGTGCATCACCTTGAGAAGCACCTTTTGAACCCTTCTTTGCTTTACCACCCCCGATAGCAAATGTTCGTCGTGACACTATCCCAACTGCTTCGCTGGTATTGATAATGCTTCTAAATGTTTTGACATGACTCATAGCCATGATTTTATCCCTACAACATGAGTGTTAATAATTAAATGAGGAAGTTTCAACAACAGACTGATCAAAAAATGAGTTTCAGAAAGGCTAAATACCAATTTCAACTAACTACAGTCCAAGTTCCTCATAAAACACAACCCACATTTCCAATTGCAACTCTGTGAAAGAGATTTTTGAAAAGCAAATACCGATTGCTGTTACTTCATGGGTACGAGTCATATAAAACTTTTGACAAAAAAATTTCATCTTTATTGTAAGAACCACCCGAGTTAAATTTTCTCAATACCACATACACGAATCACGATTGTATTCCATTAACCAAGAAGCAACTACACCAAACACCAAAATATCTACTTGCATGTAATAATATGAGAACAAATTTGACGCTTGAAGCTGAAAATAATCCAAAAGCCAAAAACAAATCTAAGTAAACAAATTTCTGAAACATTTTCGGAGCTGAAACGCCTAAAACCCCCCACGCAATTTAATAATTCATACAAAACCTCTACCTAATCAGAATGCCTCTCTGAAAAGAAAAACCCAGTTCATGAATTCCCTGAAATCGCAGAAATAACCAACAAAAAGTTTAAGCTTTCAAAACGAGACACAGACATCGCAGACAAGATAGTGAGCTCAATCAAATAAAAACAACAAAGCATAATTTGCTAAATAAGTTAACGAAAGCTATAACAGAGAGAGAGAGAGAGAGAGAGAGATATTTGAACCTTAAAAATGAAGAGGGATGATGGGATGCGATGGAGATCTCGTCAAATTCAGTCTGTTGTAAAGAGCGAGACGGAGGAGAGAATGAGAGATGTTAGGGTTTACCGGGTAGTCTGGTAAGTTAAAGGGTCGGGTTTGACAGAACTTGATGACATATTGAAAACAAAAGCCCAACCCCAACTGCTGCTTGCTACGGTCAATCCGTTCCTAAATTGAGACCAAAACAAATGGTGAAGGGTGCACCCAATTTATATATTATTTTCTTCAAATAAATTGACATTTATATTCATCTGCAAATGAGTGTTACTATTTCCACCCCCTATCTTATTTCTCCACTCATCTTATCTTCTCACCCAACATGTAAATTTGAAAAAATACAATCATATATTTTTACCCACCATTATTCATAAAATACCATTTATAAACCACCTTATGTGGCATGCCAACTCATCTAATACAGTTAAGTTTTTTTTAATTTGTTTTTTATTATGTCCTAATTAAAGCAATAATTACCAAAAAAAAAGTCTTTCCATCTCCCTCTTTCTTCTTCCTCCTCCCCCACCTCCACCTTCTTCCCACAAAATTTCCATTATTGCCAAATTTCTCACCGACGCTGCTAAATCCATCTTGCTCACTCATTCTCCCATGATGGTTCCCTCTCTTCACCATGGCAGTTGTATTGGATTTCTCACTGCTACTGCATCATGATTCATGCCCCTCTCGTCTTCTATATTTTCTAGATCTATATATGAAGATAATTTGGTTTAAATAATTACATTGTTCTGGGTGTTTGGGATACAATAACTAATAATTATAAAACCTATCATGAACCGATTTGTTTTAAGACTTCAACTAGGAAAGTTATTGAGATATTTGTTGTGGTAATGAAAGAAAAGATTTTTTCATATTTGCAGGACGAGTTTAGTTGAGTTTGTACCATATCTAACCCCCCACTCACGTCTTAACACGTGGAAAAATTTGCACGGCCATACCAGCTTAGTGAGCCATGCCGAAACTTTGATCGGCATGCTCCACCAATTCATACTGTCAAATTGGTGGAGTGCCTACAAACTGACAAAAGACACCAACATTCGGTAGACGATGCCGAGCGACCAGTCAACACATTTAACCGATTCTGACAGATCACCTCGGAACTCCCACTAGAACCTGTTAGGGCACGCGTCAACCACTGAAGACACTCCCACGAGTCCCACATCAAAACTAAATACTAAGAGCATCACAAATGCTCTCTATAAATAAAGTCCCTTGGCCTAGCCAAGAGGTAAAACTATTTCTTTACTTGACTTGTGCTTTCACTGTGTCAATAGAATCGCTCTTAGTCACTAACTTTGGCATCGGAGGACCTTCGGCCGGCATCACACTAGTGTCTTAGGCTTCACCTGCCGTTTCTTTCCCCAGGCAGAATCTGGCATGACCCCTTGTGGGAAGACACCACAGACCGAAGGCTTCTCGAGTCCAAACCTTCCATGTCACCCGTAAGTTAGCTTTATTTCTATCTATTTAGTTTTAGCGCTAACAGATTGGATCCGTCTGTGGGAAGCTCGATTAACAATCATCCCATATCTCTTTTTCAACCTAACTATGAACCCACCTTCGCCCCTTGCGACCGATGGTCCTATCCTCGACCTCGTTAGCAGAGCGAACCCCGCTGCGCTGCCCGGCACACCCCGAGTGGAAATGCCTGGTCGGCCGAACACCCTGGAGGATAAGATGGAAGCCCTATAGCGGGAAATGGCCAAAATGCAGGAACACAACAACATCTTTTCTTCCAAATTGGACGACACTCAGAAACAGCTTCATGAGCAACAATCATATTCGGCCCAACAACAGGACGATTTGGAATATACCATGCAGCTTCGGCAGGAACAATCGCTCACAAGCATGTCAAAACCTAGCGGTCAGGAGAAAGGAAAACAACTGGCCGCATGCGGGCTGTCAGCCTCCCGAAGGTTGTTTGTGCCTTCTCCAGAAAAACGCTACCAGGAATATCAAGTCTACTCCAACTGTCGCGACAGACTCAACGATCGGCGTAGGGAACAACGGACTTCCCCAATTCCCGTCCAAGCAAAGCTCAACAACCGGTACCTGGACGTACTTGAACCAAAATCTCCTATTCGTCGGAGGTATGATGCGATCGGTCTAAAAGAAACCAACGAATCCGACTACGTTCCGACTTCTCCTGGAACGACGATCTCATGCCAATCGACAACATCCAGATCAGCCAGAAGAAGTGATTAGCGAAAATGAGGCCCAGTCAAAAACTCCGACCCAGCCGTAGGGCGCGAAACACAAAGACTCAGCGTTCACCTCCCAACCGGCCCCCCAAATGTCAGAACCCTTCGGCAACAACCTCCCTCCTACCGATCCCACTATTCACCTCCTCCTTCAAAAAGTCAATTGGATCGAGGAAGAACAAAACCAGACCCGGACACCAACTTGGGGAAAGGTACAACCAGGACCGTTCACTAGCCGAATCCGAATCTACCGACATAAAAATGAGGTCCAAGCACTCTGAATCTCATTCTACACGGGAGTAGAAGATCTTTTGACACACATTCATACATTCCAGTCGGCCCTAGGTTGCAAATGACTCAATGACGAAGGCTAGTGCCTACTATTTTCGTCCACCTTAGCCGGAGCAGCCTTGAATTGGTTCTACCGACTAGAGCCAGGTATGGTAGACTCTTTCGATCAATTAAAACAAATCTTCCTCAATCATTTTATGATACAGACTGATCGCCTTTACTCCGCTGACAACCTTTACACCATTCGGCAATGAGACAACGAGCCTGTTCGAGAATATGCTGCCATATTAAGCCATGAATACTCTCGGTGCCCGGACACCTACGACCGAGCAGCCTTCGGCACTTTCAAAAGCGGCCTCCGAACATCTCAATTTCGCTATCTAGTCCACAGCAGCAATTGGACAACCTATAGCGAACTAATGAAACATACATCCATTCACACTAAAGCAAAGCACTTCAACTCCAAAGGAGTCCATTCGGCAGCTCCCGGCCAGACACCGAACGTAGGTCAAGCCCCGGCACCAGCCTACGACCGATTCCTGCCACACCAAATCACGAATCAAACTCCCTACCGAACGGCACCTGCCGTGTCAGCCCTTTACACAGCAGGAGATAAGCGAAGGGACGGATTTCAGGGTCAGCATGACGGAGGCAAACGCAATAAGGAGCCAAGTGACCTAGTCGATTTCCAAAGCCCAAAAAGGGCCCGACTAGAGGAAGTTTTTACTGCGCTCAACTCAACTTACGAACATGTTCTCATGGCCGAAAATCAGATGATTCTGAAGCCCAGCAACCGGAAGCTTCCTCGACAAGTCGACAAAGATACGGGAGTGTTCTGCCGATACCACCAGTACAATAGCCATGATACCGAATCATGCATCGCCCTCCGAAAAATTGTTGAAAAACTAATCAGCGAAGGCAAGCTAGACCAGTATCTGAGTGCACACCCAGCTCCCAAACACCTGCGCAATCGCCAGATCAACATGATCAGCGGCGGTACACCGATTGCCGATTCTAGCAATCGATCCGTCAAAAATTACTTGCATGCCATTCGACATTCTCAGGTCCTCAGTATCACTGAAGGGCACAGCAACAAAATCCGGCGACTCGGGTCGGAGCCCATCACCTTTTTTGAGAAAGAAGAAAAATGCATCATCTTCCCCCATACCGACCCCATGATCATTCGGGCAGACATTGCCGATTTTAACGTAGGTTGAATCCTCATCGACACTGGAAGTTCGGTCAACATACTCTTTACCGATGCTTTCACAGGCCTCGGAATCGAACGCCAAAGCCTCAACAAGGACATCACCTCCCTTTTAAGCTCCTCAGGCGATGTGGTGACGCCAATCAGAAGCATCCAACTTCCTCTCGCCATCGGCACCAGCCCCTAGAAGGACGTTCATCTACACTCACTTCTTGGTGGTCGACTGTCTGACAACTTATAACGCCATCATTGGCAAACCCGCCCTCACCCGAATGAAGGCCATTTTATCGTCGCCTATGCTGCTGCTCAAATTCCCAACGCACTCTAGGGTCGGCCAAAGACGAGGAGAACAATTGAGCACGCGAGTATGCTATGTGTTGTCCACACGAGAATCGGCAACCCGAGTATTGGAGCGGAAGGCACCAGAGTCACTAGTAGTTTCCACGATGACCATGCTGAACGGCAAGGAAGAGTCAGTGCGTCCCGACGACCCTCGAGATAAGGGCATAACGCTGCAAGCTCAACCTATCGAGGAGCTAGAAACGATACCCATCACCGACACACAAGACCGAATAGTTCAGATTGGCACTTCCCTCAGCCTAACTCTTCGGACCGAATTCATCGCCTTTCTGAGGGCCAACTCGAAAGGTTTTGCCTGGTTTTACAACAACATGTCTAGCATCTCCCTGGATGTCATCTGCCACAAGCTCAGCATCTCCTCTTCTGTCAAACCGGTCTGACAGAAGCGACGATCATACGATGCCGAACGGTACGAAGCAATGAAGCACGAGGTGGACAAGCTCCAGGTAATCAGCTTCATCCGTGAGGTAACCTACCCTATCTGGCTTGCTAATTCGGTTTTAGTCAAGAAACCTGGTAGAGCCTAGCGAATGTGCCAAGATTATACAAATTTGAACAAAGCGTGCCCAAAGGATAGCTTCCCGCTTCCAAGAATCGACCAACTGGTGGACACCATGGCCGGCCATGAGCTCCTCAACTTTATGGACGCCTATTCCAGCTACAACCAGATCTTCATGCATCCGGCAGATCGTGAACATACGGCATTCATCACAGATAGGGGCCTCTACTGCTACAACGTCATGCCGTTCGGCCTAAAAAATTGCAGGGGCAACATATCAACGCCTGGTCAACAAAATCTTTGCCGAACTCATTGGCATTTCGATGGAAGTCTACGTTGGTAACATGCTAGTCAAGAGCAGGACTGCTAATGACCATCTTCGGAATCTCTCCCTCATGTTTGGCACCTTGAAAAAGTACAACATGCGCTTGAACCCAAGCAAATGCGCCTTCGGCGTCTCTTCTGGCGAATTATTGGGCTTCATGATAAGCCAGCAGGGCATTGAAGCTAACCCTGAGAAAATCCAGGCGTTATTAGATATGCAGGTGCCGAAGACAAAGAAGGATGTTCAGAGCTTCACTGGCCGAGTTGCGGCCTTGGCTTGCTTCATATCCAAAGCCACCGACCGATGCGCCCCCTTCTTCAAAGCCCTCAAAGGGAGCAAACGACAGGTTGTTTGGACTTCTGAATGCGACCGTGCGTTCGCAGATCTCAAAGCCTACATGAGTAGACCCCCTTTGCTGTCCAAACCTCTTCCGAGAGAGAACCTCATCATCTACCTCTCGGTATCGACAACAGCATTAAGTTCCGTCCTCATTCGTAGCCGTCAATTACTTTACCAAATGGACCGAAACCGAAGCACTCGCAACAGTCACGGCTGCTAAAATTGAACATTTCGTATGGAAAAACATCATATGCCGATTCGGCCTACCCAACGCAATCGTGACAGAAAACGGCAAACAATTTGACTGCTCTCGGTTTCGGCATCTTTGCTCCCGATTTAACATCAACATATTCTTTGCATCTCCGGCACATCCACAATCCAATGGGCAGGTAGAGGCCATCAACAAGATCATCAAGAAAACACTAAAGAAGAAGCTCGGAGCCACCAAAGGCAACTGGCCAGCCATACTACCTAAAGCACTATGGGCCATCAATACCTCTTACCGAAAGTCAACCGGCGACACCCCGTTCTCACTAGCCTTCGGCACCGAAGTTGTAGTTATGGTAGAGGTACATGCTCCTACATGTCGAACGACATCTTATGATCCCAGGCAAAACGGGCACCAACTCGCCCTCAACTTGGATCTCATCGATGAGCACCGATCACAGGCACAACTTCGAAACGCTGCCTATAAACAGCGAACGACTTGGTATTACTACTCACACGTCAAACACCGATCGTTCAAGGTCGAGGACTGGGTTCTGCGAAAAGTATCTCTAGCAACGAGAAACCCCACCGACGGTACCCTCAGACCCTTTTAGGAAGGACCCTACGAAGTTGTCAGCATATGCCGACCCGACACCTACCGATTGCGTGGCTCCGATGGTCAAACTCTCGACCATCCTTGGAATGTTGAGCATTTAAAATATTATTATAAGTAACCCAACCTTTGGTTAAAACTGTGGATTTTCCCTTTTTCTTTGGGCATCATTGTTCTCTTTCATGTCCTATGCATTCAACCATGCCTTAGTAATACCAACACATACACTATCTACGGCAAGCATGCAATCATATGAACACAGTGGAAATACCAAACCAATCGCAAATTAACTATAGATAAAGGCCACAGGTGGGCACTTGTCCTAACAAAATTGGCCAAACGGCCGAATTGTTCCAAAATCACTTATATATTACAAACAAAAGAAGCAGGCGAAACACAGTTAAGGCGTCGGAGGATCGGCAGGCACGATGTCAACTAGAGGTGTCAAACGGGCCGTGCCGGGCCGGCCCAACCCATTTAAGCTCGTGCCTTTAATGTATTCGTGTCGTGCCGTGCCGGCCCATTTAATTTATCGGGCCGTGCCGTGCTGGCCTATTTAGTAAAATCATTTATCCCAGCCCGGCCCAAAGCCCAAGTCCATATTGAAACGGGCCGTGCCGTGCTTGGGCCATGCCCGTGCCCGTGCTCAGGCTCAAGAACAAGCCCATTTAATTTGAATTTTTTTTACTTGATTTTTTTTCCCACTAGATAATTAAAATTATAAACATAAAACATATAATTAGAAGCAAGGAATGATGAACTATTTGAAAACATTAATAATCAATCATCCAAACAATATGAAAAGGTGGAGGGCAAAAATGTGGCCTCGTTAAAACCTTGCCTTAAAAAACCCCCAAAGGAGGAAAATCCGGTCAAGGAAAAAGAGTACCACTGCCCTCCCAAATTACACAAAAAGGAAAATAAAATTAATCTAGGACACCGGGTAAAATATCAGCATTTGTCATCTCACGTTCCTGCGTTAGTCAACCGAAAAATAATAATAATTTTCTGGGGTAAAAGAAGATACTTAGAGCATCATAAATCTTCAAAAAGACATGCAGTCTGATGCACAACATACAAACCTGTAATTAAAGGTGGATCTGGCTCTCATGTACTATGCAATATAGCAGTCCCAGATAACACAGTGATGAACCCGCAAAGTTCTAACGCTATGCTGGTCACGCTTCGACCAGAATAATCCTACCAAAAGATTACGTACATTAGATTTATAACAAACACTAACACACAAACACAACATGTTCACGTGATGACACCTTAAGTTTTAATCCTGTAATAGATCATAATTAAAGGAATCAACGGAACATATAATATACGCACCTAGGCCAATGGCATATGAGCTCTTCATAATCCTCATCCTTTTGCAGGTATCAATGAACATGCTGCCAAAGTCCAAATTTTCAATCAGATTTTAAAATTAAAATATAAAATGCCTTGGAACATATTCAAAATTCAGAACACTATATATTAACTTTACTGAAGCAATATGACCTGATGCAAAATAGCAATTAAATGGACAATGACACATAGTAATATAACAACCCATGGAAGAAAATTAAAGCACACCAACCATGATACCCATATTTTGAGACATCAGAGGTCAATCCTAATAAAATTAGCTTTACTGAAGCAATATGACCTGATGCAAAAAAGCAATTAGTAGAGAAACATATGTGCAAGTAAATGACAGAGAAACTAAACAAAATTATAACCATTAAAACTAAATCCGTGCATTTTGTGAGACTAGGGAGAACAAGAAAAAAAGCCATGAAATCTGGAAACTAAACTACTCATTGTGCAAAAAGATTAAGATTAAAACCCAATGTTACCTTCAGTTCCTTCCCTTCGAAGTCCGAGCTACCAAAAACCAGGGCAGAAGAAAGGAAGAGAGAGCTGAAACCAAAACAAAAAAGAAGAAAAACCACTGTCACTGAAAGTGAAGATTACCCAGAAACCAAAAAATTTCAAAACGAAAAAAGAAAACAGAAACAAATCTGATTGAATATTGCAAGTGAAGTAGAGGAGCTGATTGGAGACTAAGGGGAGTTTACCTGAAAAGATTGGGTGGATCAGTGGCTGAAGAAAATGAGAAACGACTGGAAAAACAGAAAAGAAAGCAAGCAAATTTGTGATTGAAGAAGTGGAACTCCAACCATTATTTAAGTAGGTATTTTGTTTGTTAATAAGTTTGAGTGTCAATATACAGCAAAAACAAAGTACCAACCTCAACTAACTTCATTAAGGGAACTTGTGCTGTCATCTTCAAAATATGAGAGATCTTCATCTACAAAACTTTGAGTTCGAAAATCAGCATCTTCCCAATCCTTCAAACACATAAGTGCCTCGCATATTTGAGGAGTAAGCCTCGTCCTCTTTTCGTCCAGCACACGACCACCTGCACTAAAAGCAGACTCCGAAGCTACTGTGGACACCGGAGTTGTTAGTACATCACATGCCATAATGGAAAGCACAGGAAAGTTCTTTTCATGTGCTTTCCACCAATCCAAAATATTGAAATTATTTCTTTCTTCCTTAGTCATAAATTTAACAAATTCAGTATCCAAATACTTAAAAACTTCAGTACGAGAACTTATTACACTCTTTTGTTTTCCTTTGCTAGCAAGCATACCAAAAATAGCTGCACTACTAGATGAAGATGAACCAAATAAATGAACAGTTGGAGCAGTTTGTGTAGCTATTGTACCAACACTATATTTCTTCTCATACAACAAATAAGTATCATTGAATGTCTTCTGAATATTGGATATTGTAAGTGGTAAAGTAATTGATAAATTTTTTGAAATTTCAGTCAATATTACTTCCAAACCACTTACTTTAATTCTAGGATCCATTATTGCACCAAAACAAAAAGTATAAGGAATCTCTGTCCAATACTTTTTATATTTAATTTCCATTTGCTCACAAATCTTTGTAAAATTACATGTAGTATCAAATATGTATTTAGCAAAGGTAGCACTAATTGAAAATAAATCATGAAGTGCAACAGGAGATGTCGGATAATAAACACCAGAACAGTTACATGTAGCATCATAAAAAACTTTGAAAAAGTCCACCAAAGTAAAGCATACATTCCACTCTTCATCCCTCAACAGATAGTCATTCATTTTATTATTGTAATAAAAATTGATGACATTGGTGTAACCTTTACAACTTTTAAGCATGTGATAAGTTGAGTTCCGACGAATATGCATGTCTTTTTTCAATTTTATAGGTTTCAAGCCATGAGACATACAAAGGTGAGCAAAGTCTTGCTGCCTAGAGCTACTAGAAGAAATATAACCAATAGCATCCCTAATCAATTGAAGCTGGGTTTTAATAACTTTTAATCCATCTTGCACCATTAGATTAATTATATGACACACACACCTCATATGAAAAAATTTGCCTCCGTAAGGAGGATGTAAAACATGTTTAAACTGCTCAATAGCAGAAGAATTATTGGAAGCATTGTCAAAAGTAATAGAAAATATTTTATGAGTAATGTTATACTCCTTAAACACATTCATCATAGCATGAAAAATAGAACTACTAGTATGTGGAAATTCAAGAAGACGAAATGCAATAATTCTTTTCTGCAACAACCAATTTTCATCAATATAATGGGCAGTAACACAAATAAAAGGCAAATTATTACCACCATCCCACATGTCAGAAGTCACAGCAATAGAACCCTTTAAATTAGAGAAAACATTTATCAATTTTTTCTTTTCTTCATCATACAGTTTCACAACATCACTCCTATTAGTATTGCGAGAAACTTTCTTAAATTTTGGTTGCAAAGCCACTTGAACAAATCTTTCAAAACAACGATTTTCAGCAAAACGAAAAGGCAATTCAGCACATGCAATAAATCTAGCTAACTCAACTCTCATTTTAGCTTGAGAGTACTTAAATGAAGAGATACCAGTATTTGCAGATAGTTGAGATTGCCTAAAATGATTATGACCTTTTTTTTTAAGACATGCATTAAAATGCCTATGAAGATGCCCAGTACCGTTTGCAGTTTTACAAGTCAAAGCATGTTTGCAATAAATACACACAGCCTTTGGAAGAATAGTCCCATCATCAAGTTTTTGGTCACAAACTTTAAAATGTTTGCAAAATTTTTCTTTTTTTAACCTCAGTTTGATCAATGTTTTCTTCTTGAGTGTTTGATTCGAGAGGCATATTAGCATGCATAGGTTGCTCCACATCGTTAGAGGTTAAGTTATTCTCATTATTAGGCATGTCATCAGGATTAAGATGTTCAAAATTATTATCATAAAGCTCACCAAAATCAATATAATCCTGAGGATCCATTAACAGAAAAAATAAAAAATAAAAAAATACCTCCCTTGGTGATTACAGAATCTCCAATAGAATTTCACGCCCTCAAATACTTGTTAAAAATGCACACCTCAGAACGTTGGCTGCATTAAAAATACACACATCAGCAAAACAAAAACAATATGTTATAGTTCAAGATTTACGATTAAATCAATGATAGCATTCCACAAAACAAATTAATCTGTTATGTTTCAAGCTTGTTAACATCTAAATCCTTTAAAAGTAGCAACATTCATAAACAATTGGAACACATAAGGGAAACAGAAACACACAAGTCCTACTCAACTTTGGTCTGTAATACCAATTTATTTTGCATCCTACAGAGCATGCAATAAAATACATAAGTACTACTGCCAAAAAAGTGTTCCCAAGTCAATTAAGAACCTAATTTTTTTTTCCTCCATTCTCCTGGTATGTTAGTAGCACGATGCAGAATCCAGGATGAGGACAGCTAGGAAGATCAAACCAAAATTGAAAAACTATTTCCCAATGCTTTCACCTAAGAATTGTTGGATGATCTTTGTAAGGCTTTTCTCGTTGAAAGAAGTCCTCCCTTTGTGTCTGACAGAAGTAATGTCCCTCAAAAAGTTCCTGCAACAATCCAGCACCAATAAAAAGAAAAGACCACATATAAACTATCACAATTTGCATTCAATCATAAGTGTGATGAAAAAAAGAAGAACAATTATAGACTTAATCACAATGCTTCTCGCTCTCCACCTTTTAGGCTCACGTTGAACTTCGCAATATAACTCTAAATTGGAATTTGGAATATCAAATCATAATAACTTTGAGGATGTATCAGATTTGAAGTGTCATACCTGTATAAGAATGATGTTTGCACCCTTTGCACGAGCAGCTCTAACCAACCTGAATGGAAATAGACTATGAATTCCACTTAACAAGATGACTTCTTTAAAAATCAGGGCAACACCCAACCTAAGAAGAACCAATTGACGGAACTCGTAAGCCGCCAGTATCGCAACAGTAACAACGCAAAAGAATTGGTCCTTGCTGATCGTTCTCAAGCTATTTAGATGCCTCCAACACATGTTTTGAGTTTTTATGATGCTATATGGATCTTCCAACACAGATTTGGGGTTTTTATAATTGGGGGTATTTCCTAAAAATTTATGATATGTTGAAGAGGAGATGCAGAAATCGAGAGGAAGAGGAGGAGACCCTGCTTTGTTTTCATCGCTTCTTCACACACGGCTCCTCACGCTTCCACAGCTGACAGACGCTTTGAGTTTGAGTCCAACTCCAACTCCCTAACTCCAAATCTATTTGTTAAGTCATTAAGGCTGGGTGGTTGTTTGTCAATTGTTTTTATTAAGTCTGTTTGGTAAGTAATTGGTCATTGCATCAATTTTTATTTTTATTATTTTATTTTATTTACTTGCTGTTCCAACTTGGTACGGTAGTGATAAAATGCAGTAGATGATTTAAGCGGGCTCGGGCTCGTGCCGTGCTTGGAGCGGGCTCGAGCCAAGCCCGTCTCATGTCGGGCCACGGGCCGGCCCGGTCCATTGGACCTTTTTTTAAATCCCGGCCCGGTCCAAGCTTTCGTGCTGTGCTGAGCACGGCCCATTAATATTCGTGCTCGTGCCGTGCCGTGCCTCATTTAAATGGGCTGGGCTCGTGCCGTGCTGGGCCGGCCCGTCCCGTTTGACACCTCTAGTGTCAACAGCTTCGGTCGAAGGGGCTGACGCCTCGGTTTCAGGAACGGTCGGCGGCTCGGCAGAGGAAGTGCCTTCTTCCTCTTCACCGCTCGACTCCGAACCACTTGAAGAATCGACTTCCGCATCCTCCCTCAGGTACACCTCCACCATTTCTTCGGTCACCTTTTCGGGCAACGGTGGAGGATCGCAAAGGAAGTTGAGGTTCAGCTTTTTGTCGGCGTTGAAGCGCTTGAATCGGTATATAAGATCCTCGCATTGCTTCATCACCTCCTTATCCAGCAACACTGTGAACTCCTCCATGCTTCGATTTTCGGCTACGGCTTTTCTCTTTGCCTCATCCGCTGCTGCCCTCACCTCTTCGGCATCCACTGCCGCCCTCTCGGCCTTGGCCAGCTTTGATGACATCTCTGCAATCTTCGCAGCCTTTTCCTCAGCATGCCAATCTGCGTCTTGGATTCGCTTCCCCGCCTTGGCAATCTTGGCTCGGCTATCATCGTATTTTTTCTGGACGCGCTTGGCAGCATTAACGGCTCGTTTCATGGAGAGCCACATCTCCATATTAGCCTGCAACAAACATCAAGTCAATACATAACGATTGCATATATACTTAAACAAAACAACTCACACACTTACAGTAGCCTGAAAGCGGAAAGCTTGACCAGCCAGCTCGCGCACCGTCTTCATCGGCAGCTGCTCCAGCTTCGGGAGCTCCATTTGAGCGCCGTCGATGAAGCAATTCACGAACGGGACCACCTTCTGGGGCCAGGCCACGTTCACCGGCTCGGCGTCCGCATCCTCCTCCTCGTCAGGCACGAGGACGGTCGCATCCTCATTCGGCCCCATTGGCCTCTTCGGAAGAGGGGTCACGTCGAGGGCACCTTCAATCACCCTTTTCCCCGTCGCCTGAAGGTAGGCCTCATGGACGGTTTTGGCCTTGACCACCCGTTTTTCAAGACGACAATCGGTCGTCGTCACCTCTGGCACAGAAGCCCCCTCGGCCTGACGAGGCGGTTTCGTCCTTGGCCTTTGTGAGTCGTCCTTCTTCTTCTTCTGGGGGGGGCCCGCGACTCTAGCCACTTCCTTGTAGCTTCATTCATCGCCCTACAACCAGCCACTGCACAAAAAAATAAAAATAAAAAAAGACAAACTCAAGTTAAGGATCGATCGACCTACGACAACATGGAACAAGACATGCCGAACGGCAGTCACTTACTTTTCCTCCTTTGCTCTTCTTCTTTCTCCTTCTGCCTCCTGGCGTGCTCGGCCTCACTGATCAAGCCCACCTTGAAGAAATTGCCAAAGTCAAGTAGAATCCTGAAGACACGTTCTTCTTCGGCAATTTTTGACCGTATTCGCTCGATTATTTCAACCTCCTTCTTTGTTGCGATCGGTCTTTTCAAGGACACTGCAATACAAAAGTACAATTCTGGTTCACATTGGGAAAAAAAAAAGGGCTACCGAACGGCATTCTATAGGCCTACCGACTGTTTGAAAGGTTGTGGGAATGTGCCTCTCTACAATCACACCTAGTGCCGATTCCCAGGCTCCGAACACCAGCACACGACGCCGACGCCATGTTTTCTGGGAGCTCGGCACCCCAACCACGAAGTGCCCCCTCTGCCCTGCCGAAAGACAATTCGACTGCACCCATCCCCCCTGATCGGCACTCTTCGCCCTTGTCACGCTGTAGAGGTGGGCGAATTGCTCATAGCTCGGCTCTCCCTCACCAGCCATGCTGAACGCCGTGATCATCCCCAGAAATGTAATCCAAAAATTCATATTAAACTGCCCGGGGGCGTAGCCGATCTGAGCAAGGATCTTCTGCACCGAATGCCTTAACGGTAGCCGAAGCCCATGCTTGAAGGCATTGGTAAAGAAGACTACCTCACTGTACGGATTGCTCAAGGACTCTAACGGCCCTGGGATCCGCATCACTACCGACTCCGAAATATGGAATTCCGCCCTAATCTTTGCTAGCTCCGTCTCGTTCAAGGCATTCGGCTCTAAGAAATCCACCTCGAAGGCGAGGCCCTTTGGCTTCGCCATCGGCACCCTTTGACGTCCGGTAACCACGGTCAGCACCCCTTCTCCAGGATGGGCCACCAACACACTAGTCTCAGTCACCTCGGCTCGGTGACCGGATGTCGATGGTTGGGTGCCATTCACCTCAACCACCTTTACACTTGAAGTGCTCCCATATTCGGTAGACACCTCTGCATCCCCCACCTCTACGAAATCGGGACTCTCAAGCCCTGCCGTTGAGCTCTCCGACGCCGATTCTTCCTCAAAAGCTCTTGGGCTATCACTATAGTCTGATTCGATGTCTAACATCTACAAACAAAACTAAAACGAAACTAAACACCATGCTCGAATCAAACCACTATCCTAAAGCCCAAGAGCTGATGTTTATCTATGTTCTTACATATTCGTACATGTTCATACAAAATGGAAGGTTTTGATTCAGTTTAGAAGAAAACACACTCGCATACCTTGTTTGTAAGGTGGTTGGAAGTCGTCGGAAATCGCCTCCGCCTTCAATTCCTTCTCCGGAAATTGCCCCTCACGCTCTGATTGCTCTTCAAAATCTCAAAGTCTTTTCCCCATCGTCCCTCTGGATATTTATAAGACAAGCCTAGCATCGGGATACGAAACGATGCGACCCTTCGTAACTCTCCCGACGTGTGTCGCGCATGCACATGGGAGCCCAAGAGTCATCGCAGCCTAAGCGTCATCACACCCTACTTGACTGTTTCGATTCTCACTTATTCGATCCTCCGACTTTTCAGAGAGCAAAGTCCACTAGCGAACGGCAGGTGCACACGGTGGTCGAGTTTTCACTCACCTCTCATGCCGAACGACAGGCGCACACGGGATAAGTTTTCACTCACCTCTCATGCCGAACGGCAAACACGCGGTGGTCGAGTTTTCACTTATCTCCCCTGCCGAACGGTGGCACATAGTGGTCGAGCTTTCACTCACCCTCAGCTTATATTGCCGTTCCCTTCCAATCTTCCAACCTCCCCTCTTGCTTGGGGACTTGGGGGACTACATGATCACCATCAGCATGATCAAACGACGAAAGACGCTTGTACCCGAGTCAGAATGCCGGAGCTCAGTGACAAGCAAGTCTCCAACCAAGAAGTCCCTCCTCGATCGGAAACTTGGCGGACTCCTATTTGTACCATATCTGACCCCCCCACTCACGTCTTAACACGTGGAAAAATCTGCACGGCCAGACCAGCTCAGTGAGCCATGCCGAAACTTCGATCGGCATGCTCCACCTATTCATACTGGTCAAATTGGTGGAGTGCCTACAAACTGACAAAAGACACCAACCTTCGGCAGACGATGCCGAGCGACCAGTCAACACATTCAACCGATTCTGACAGATCACCTCGGAACTCCCACTAGAACCTGTCAAGGCACGCGTCGACCGCTGAAGACACTCCCACAAGTCCCACATCGAAACTAAGTACTAAGAGCATTACAAATGCTCTCTATAAATGGGGGCCCCTTGGCCCAGCCAAGAGGTAAGACTATTTCTTGACTTGACTTGTGCTTTCACTGTGTCAATAAAATCGCTCTTAGTCACTAACTTTGGCATCGGAGGACCTTCGGCCGGCACCACACCGGTGCCTTAGGCTTCACCTGCGTTTTCTCTCCCCAGGCAGAATCCGGCATGACCCCTCATAGGAAGACACCACAGACCGAAGGCTTCTCGGGTCCAAACCTTCCACGTCACCTGTAAGTTAGCTTTATTTCTATCTGTTTAGTTTTAGCACTAACAAGTCGGATTTTTTAGATGGTCTCAAGAGGATATAAGGTTTCTATTGGATTAGCCTTTCGAATTTTCTAGCAGTACTTGAATTGATGTAGGGAGAGAATGATGAATGTATTGATGTGATTTGCGGTGCCAGTGAAAATTGCAGATATAATGGAATTTCCAAGGAGAATAAGAGGGTGAGGGAATGAGGAGGAAGATGGAGGGTCGGACATAGAAAAAAAATTAATGGGTAATTGTTTAGTGATTAATATATAATAAAAAATTAAAATACCCTACCCTTTAATTATTTCTAAAATATCTTCTTTTTTTTCCTTCAGTCCCTAAAAGTCATTTTACAAAGTGATAAATTTGTCTTTGAAATTTTGAAAATAAAGTGGGTGGGGAAATATGACAGGAGGTGGGTGGAAATAACAGCACTCTTTACAAAATTACTATAATTCAATTAATGATTTTTATATAAAATATCCGTTTCTCTTTCTCTATCTTTCTAATCCCTAACTTACCCATTTGGTTGTTAATGGGGTATATGTTAGATGGTTGAGTTTGAGCTCTTCCATCTCCACCCATGTGGGTAAAGGTTTTGAAACCCCCAGACGACCGATGAATATTTTTATGTAAATCCCCTTTTCTCAATCACTAATATTAAAATATATATAAAAAAAACTTATTCATTTGTCTAACTACTTTATTCCTACATTATAGGGAAAGAGTTGAGTAACTACTTTATTCCTACTTTATTCCTACAAAATCAAGGTCTATGATAACTTCCAAGTTCTTCCTCAAGAAGCACCTAGCATGTGATTTGTCAGAAAGCGCTTTTATCACCAGAAGCACTTTTACGGGTCTATTTGGCACCGCTTGTGTAGAAACCATTTCTGCTAAGTGTTTAGAAGTGCTTTTATGTAGAAAGCATTCAAAACCATTTCCCCAAACCACTTTCTGCTAAGTATTTAGATCGGGTACAGATTCAATGACCATTGTCATAATTTACCCTTTCATCTTTATCAACTACTAGACATTTATCACTAAATGAATTGAATTTGGGTCTACGATTTATGTACAAACCACATCATTTGATTACTAGGGTGGTGGCCTCAACCTAGAAATTGGACAATGGGAATCTTGGCAGACGGGGACAAAGGATGACATAAATAGGTTATACACAAACAAAATTACAAACCTCCACAAGATCTACAATAGCAACACTCAGTGTCATCTCATAGCTCCGAGTAAATTGGCACCGTCAAGCTTTGCACCTTCCAAATGCTGTTCAAAACATAAAAATAACAGTCACATCCTCAATTTCTTGCCTTGAAAGATACAACTATCAACTATCAACTAAGTTATCAAGAAAATATCTTGGCCTTCTCAATGCTACAATGGACCTTAGATTACGCACATGTAAAAATATATCTACAATTTGAGAGTTGAGACGAACAAAAGGAAAGCTATAAGCCCAGGCATTCCTTGGTTTTGGAAACAATAACCAAAAGAAAAGTCACAGAATGCCGATCAGCTTTCATTACCATATCTCGAAGATTCACTTGTCGTAATATAAGCTCGTTGAAGGTTTGCATCCTTCAAATTGGTATTGCTCAACTTGGCACCCTAGCACACAAAAAATTCAGCCAAACAAATCAATTATGAGAGTGGTAGGGAGCATATTCATTTTAGATTCATTTATGCAAACATAATGTGAAATAAGATGAAACTACATATTTTTTTCTTTGATATTCATTTTAGGTAAACATGGGGTATTTCTCCATAACAACCTCTTATATACCAGCTTATATGATTGTCATACATATGAACATTCTTAATCACGGAATGTTTCAAAAAATCATGCTGAGTTATTTCTTTCAGCATTAAATCAAATAACGTATAAGAAATGTGTGCCTCTCTCTCACATGCAATTATACACAAATATTCCAGTAGCCTGACGAATGAGCTTAGGGTGCCGAAAAAGAGAAACAGGTGAAGTTGCCCCTTTGTCTGAGTTCAAGGATCAGGCCCCAAGAGTGTTTCGAAATGGTAGTTGAGCCTTAAGAAACACTTTGGTCTTCTTCACCAATGAAACCAACAGTCACTTACAAATAAATTCTTGGATTGGCATGAGAAGCTTGTGGCGTGGGAGCTGAGCATTCATGAGTTTAGCATGAGAGAGAGAAAGAGCTGTGATTTCCAGAAGAGAAGATGGGAGGAGATGGAGAAATATGGCTTGAAATTGCAGGGGTTTCAGGGATGACAGATGATAATTGCTCTCTAGATGTGTGTTTATGGAAAGAGAGGAAGAAGATGGAAGCATGGGTGGCTTTAGCATATTTCCAGCAGCTTGACGAAAGCTTCATCAAGCTCCTGGGTGATTTGACAGAAGAGAAAATTGGAAGCAATGGAAGAACAAGGCTTGAAATCGAAGGGTTCCACAGATGAGATGATGTTTGCTATCTCTGGATGTGAGTTTTGAAATAGAGAAAAGAGGAAGATGGAAGAACAAAGCATGAAATTGAAGGGTTCTAGAGGGGATGCTTGCCTTCAATGAATTCTCATGGTTGCTGGGAGACTTGCAACAACCAAGGTGAGTTGTCTTTACTGGGTAGAAAGTGGCTCCTTTTATAGGCACTGAAAACCTTAATTTTGTCAAGCCATCCTCTCCACTTTTCCTCACTTTCTTCCATTTACTCTTGTTTGGTGAAATTTCCCTAGCCTGAACCCATAGGCACGCAGCTTTTTGGGGTTCCAAGGTCCTCAGGCAACTAGACTTCTCCATGTGGGTGGGGACCCACCCACTTTTGTTTCTTGTTTTCTCACCAAAGCTTGAAGAGGAAAGAATGGGTAAGGGTGCTTGGTCAAAAAGGTGATCAACACATGGGTTTGCTTGGTTTTGATGGTTTGGCTGCGATCTGGTTTTAACAGAGATGCACGACGTTGGATATTTTATAAGGTGCTAGGCTGAGCTGTTTTGTTTCCAGCGGCTAATGAGTTTGCTTCAAGTTGCTGGTGGTTTTGGCTGATGTGGGCCTTTTTCTAAGGTGATGGGATGTTGGGTTTTCTTTCATGCTTACCCATATGTTTGGACTCAAAGAATGGGCTTGAGTTTTGGTGCTCCCAAGTAGCCCAAAACTTCCACTCCTTGGACCATTAATGGGCCTCGTGAACGCTCGTAATCATCCATACCACAACCCGCTCAGCAAGCCCTAAGCATTTGCGTGGCTTGGGCCCACTTAAGCTTGTAGCGTGGCATGTTACTTAAATAAGGATTTTTCGCTTGGTGTTGTACTGGGCCGAAAATACATTTGGGCCCAACTTGGAATTTTTTGGGCCTCAACAACTATGTTAAAGGTTGGAGAAAGAGAATCAAATCCACTTCTACATTTAATTTTTAATTTTTTAATCTATACTCTATACACACAGAACTTAATAATTTTTAAGGAGATTTGAGCATAACATTCATCTGCCAAAGATGAATCGGGTTATTTACAGCAATGGTCCCTCAATTATACTCGGAGTTACATTTTGGTCACTCAACTCAAATATTAGTTGCAGAGGTCACTCAATTGGGTGTTGTGTTGCACCATTAGTTGCTACTGTCAAGTCTCTCTAACGGTAGGGACTAATAGTGCAACACAACACCTAATTGAGTGACCTCTATAACTATTTTTTGGAGTTGAATGACCAAAATGTAACTCCGAGTATAGTTGAGGGATCATTGCTACAAATAATCCTAACTGAAAAGTCATATTTGCCCATCAATAATTTAAGAAATGCTTGTCATGTCATCATTTTAAGCATAAAAAGTCACAGACTTAATGGTAGGGACTAATGGTGCAACACAACACTCAATTGAGTGACCTCTGCAACTAATATTTGAGTTGAGTGACCAAAATGTAACTCCAAGTATAGTTGAGGGACCACTGCTACGAATAACCCAAGATGAATCATATTGGCCCACCAAGAAGCTCGGCCTGGTCATCAAGTGGGCCACTTGGCCCACATTAAACTATTGTATAGGCTAGAGCCCACAGTTAAATAATGAGGACCATTTGGGGGCATCTTGATGAGTTTTGGCACCAATATATCACGACATAGTAGATCTCTACTTGTTTGAATCCATCGAAATTATATTTTTCCTTTTATTTTTCCCCTAATGTTTTTCTGGATAGGGATTAAAGCTTCACTAAAACCTTAGCATTATTCAAAACACCAAATGTTGTACATTTTTCTTATTTTTATTATTGAAAGAATAATAAATAGTCATACTCTTACCGTGAATGTAAAGATAAATACTCTCCGCATGTGCTTCTGAGCCTGCAAGCGGCTTTTTTTTAATTTTTTAAATTTATTTTAGAATTAAATAAGATAATGGGTAGTTGTGTTCCATAAAAATATGATCCATTATCTTATTATTCTTTTAATTTTAATTTTTTTTAATATGAAAAAGTGTGAATTTATCATATTATCCACATTTTATTAATATTTTTAATTTTTAATGTTTGCATTAATCTATGACATTTTCTGGTATTTTGAATGTTTTGTCATTCTTTGTTTTTTGCATTATATATATAGATCATAAGCCCAACAAAGGAAATATAGGCTGAGGCCTCCTGCTTTGGGTCACAAAGAGAACAAAAAAAGTGTGTGTGAATTGAGCTTGTCGTCAATGTCATGCGTCCTCTCCAAGAAACAAGTTTCTGATTGCTTGAAGTTGGATGCTTTTATGGTGATGGGTTATGCTCAAATCACCCTTTTTTTATTTATCAGGGACCATCCAGAATTTAATATGCATGACATAAAACGATGCTAAATGAATTAACAATGCTAAAGAGACTTGCTAATCAATATTAAGCGATGATTTAAAGAAAATTAATAATAAGCGAGTTGTTCTTGAGCATCACGGTGTCAACCCAGAATTTAATATGCAGGACATGAACAATCAGAGAAAAATTCAAACAATCAGAAACTTGTTTCTTTGAGAGGACGCATGACATTGACGACAAGCTCAATTCACACACACAATTTTTTTGTTCTCTCTGTGACCCAAAGCAGGAGGCCTCAGCCTATATTTCCTTTGTTGGGCTGGGCTTATGATATATATATATATATATATATATATAATGCAAAAAACAGAAAATGACAAAACATTCAAAATACCAGAAAATGTCATAGGTTAATGCAAACATTAAAAATTGAAATTATTAATTAAATGTGGGTAATATGATAAATTCACACTTTTTCATATTTAAAAAAATTTTGATTTGCAGACTAGTGATCTTAGGTTCAAACCTTCATGGCACCTCGGTAGTGTATGTGAGAAACCACACTCTCATCTAATTTAGACTATCGCTTGTACTAAAACAAAAAAACTGAAAATATAGCACATGTTATTTATTAATAGTAATACTATACATGAAAGTATAAATCGGCCACCAATCACATATTATCATTTAGACTGTTCATGATATGTGTCTTTTTGTACACATATGTACATATGTCAACTTCAATTTCAGAATCATTGAAAGTAATCACATGCATTATAAATATAATTCACATGCAAACTTACCAGAAAAAAAAAAAGTGGGCATGAATGGTCGACTACATCTATTCAAGCACATATATATATGTGTCCATGAAGAAAGGGTTAAAACATACCAAATGTATCTAAGATGTCGTTTATTTCTTGAAAAGGTGGGACCTAAGGAGATACGACTCCAATTATGTCATAGCTAGCAATGGTGCCCACGTGATACTGCGGGTTTTGAAATCATATGAAATGTGTATAAAGTAGTAAAAATATGCAGGGAAAATGGTAAACATGGAGATGTAAATAATGGTATCATGCTTAGTTTAGAGGTGGAGGGCATAATGGCCAATTCACTGCCCATAAGTCAACTCAAGGAAGTAGACCATCACTTAATCGGGGGCAAAAACGTAATTTTACTATTCCTAATGAACAGCTTAGGAGCAGTGAGTTTGGATTCAGTTTTAGTACATATATATAATTTGAAGATCGGCGGTACGGCGGTGGAATTTTACTCATACTCTCCGTGATTGAAATTGCATGTTCCCAGTTAATTTATGATATAATTTATTAGATCAGTATTTTTCTGTTAAATTATTTATAAGAAAAAAGAAAAATGGTACAGCCTGTTGCATTATACAAAAAGGAAGAGGGCTTAGTGTGCATATTATCAATGTAAACCAGAATCTGAAAGCAAAGCACAACGGTTGAAACCCGTCCAAGACTTCTTGCTGAGTTTATGCTCCTGAGTTGGCAGTTTGGTTTTAGGCATGGATCTTCGGATACAACCACTTATTTGGATCTTGATGAAGGTTTACGACTGTTTTTGTTTCTCATCCGTCTCTGTTTTTCATTCATATTTCTCTCATTTGAATTAATAAATATTTTGTTATGATTTTATATTTCATAGAGAGCTACTTATTCAGCCCAAAGTCAAGAAAAAATTGAAAGATGTGACATATTCCTTGTTGTTTATGCTATTCTCATATTGAAATACCAAACACATTTACATTATTTTTGTTTTCTGAATATATTTTCTAATTAAGTTACTAGACACATTCTCGGATCTTGAAAATGCAAATTTGTTTCTCATTTACATTTTTCAAAAATGCATTGGGAAAGGGTTTAGGATTTAGGACTTTTACTAAAACCCTCATATTTCTTTTAAAAGGCTTTTACAAAGATTCGACTACTCTGACAAGTGAGAAATGCACGGTCCCCCCTCATCTCTGACATGTTGCTTTATAAATAGCGAAAATTCTGTGGTGCCTAGCTGATCGCACCTTGAGCTACTGGGGTCGGTATTAATGTCACTTACAGAACTTTTACTGACAAGTCATTTCCGCCGCTGCACTTGTGAGAATCCTTATTATTAAAGGACTTTTACTAAAACCCTCATATTTCTTTAAAAAGGCTTTTACAAAGAGTCGACTACTCTGACATGTGAGAAATGCATGGTCCCCCCTCATCTCTGACATGTTGCTTTATAATAGCTCAGTATTTGTCTGTTAAATTATTTATAAAAAAAAAAGAAAGAACTATATAAATCAAATTACATCATAAAAAAATATAGAGCTCGCCATGAATATAGAGACTCCCATTGTAAGAGAAATTCCTTTAAAACCCAAAAGATTTTATTGAAACTCTAAATGGGACTCTATAAACCATTTTTAGAGCCCAACATTAGGGATGGCCTCATGAGGTAATTTAGAATGGAGGAGAAAGCCACGACCGTCACTTTATGACCTGTGTCAGAGACAAGCCTATATAGACTAATTTGCAAAAGTTGGTCAGGATTAATGTCACGGACAGGACTTTTACTGACAAGTCATTTCGGCCGCTGCACTTGCCATGATGATGAATTTTCGCCAGTGATGATGATGTTTCACATAGGGTTGTCGGCGTAAGCTAAAATTGTAGTAGTGCCAATTTCCCATTAATTAGGAAACATCACAGCCCTTAAAATATTGTAAGTTCTTTGCTCACCTTTGTTGCACCTTACAAACACGCTCTCTCTCACACACACATACAGAGAGACAAATTATGTACATATATTCTAAAGCTTTCGACTGAGAATAAATATCTGAATTCGTCTTTCTTTTTTTTTTTTCTCCTTCTGCTTTGAGAATTTTGGATCAGAATCGACTCTCTGGTCGTCTTCCACCCTCATTTAGTAATTTGAGCAATCTTCAATACTTGTAAGCTTCTTTCAAACAAAATTATATATATATATATATGTATTATATATGGTGATGGGTTTTAGTTTTACAAAGACCCTAAAATTATATATATATATATATATATATATTATTAGTATTATAAAGGATTCTTAAACAACTAAAACCCTCATATTTCTTTAAAAAGGCTTTTACAAAGAGTCCACTACTTTGACATATGAGAAATGCATGGTCCCCCCTCATCTCTGATATGTTGCTTTATAATAGATCAGTATTTGTCTGTTAAATTATTTATAAGAAAAAAGAAAGATGGTACAACCTGTTGCTTTATAAAAAGGGTAAGAAGGCTTAGTGTGCGTATAGCCAAAGTGAACTAGAATCTGAAAGCAAAGCACAATGGTTGAAACCCGTCCAAGACTTCTTGTTGAGTATATGCTCCTGAGTTTCCTCCTTTCGCAGTTTGGTTTTAGGCATGGATCTTCAGAGACAACTACTGAGTTGGATCCTAAAGAAGGTATACAACTATTTTGTTTCTCATCCCTTTCTCTTTTTATTCACATTTCTCTCATTTTGAATTAATAAATATTTTGTTATGAGAGCTACTTAAGATCGAAAAATATGCTCGGGTATTCGCCGCCTGCTTCATCCACCCGGGCCAGCACGAGACCGTGCTCGACTCATTGCTATACTTTGTGCTCAAAATAGAGGACGGCACTGGAAAGTGCTCGTTCATCGGGTGATCCAGGTGGATCTTCCGTATGTAATAAAATATAATATTAAATCCATATCATATTATGTTACTTAATTATCATTTTATTTCATTATTATAAACCCATTAAAAGTTTGCGGTTCAAACCTAATGGATTTGAAACCGCTCAAACTTAAAGGTTTATATTAATTAAACTTTTTAAACCATACATGATGTAAGGAAATCAATTGTTATTTTTAGTTTTCCATTTTTAGAAAAACTTATTCTGTATATATATCGAATGTTAGACTGAATTAATCAATCACATTTCATTCGATTCTATTCCATTCTCCATAATCATCTGGCTATGACCTACAGAGCGAAACGAAGCGTTTGATTTCAAGGTGGCCTTATCGGACCACGAGAAGGAGAGCAATGACGGCTAGACTAGTGACGATGGCACTATCAATATTCTCTCGCCCATGATTTTGGTTTTTTTTATTTTTTTATTTTTTATAATTCAAAATTTTAAGATTTAAAAATAGTTTTAAAGTTGGATACCAAACAAGTTTTTAGATCTTAAAAATGAGTATTTGAAAACTATATTTTTAGAAAGAATCATTGTTTTTTATTTCGATTTTTAAGTAAGATACCAAACGGGCCCTGAAAGATGTGACATATTCATTGTTGTTTATGCTATTCTCATATTGAAGTACCAAACACATTTCCACTGTTTTTGTTTTTTAAAATATATTTTCTAACTAAGTTATTATAGGCATTCTCGGATCTTGAAAATGCAAATTCATTTCTCGTTTTCATTTTTCGAAAATGTATTGTGAAAGTGTTACCAGACAGACCCTTGTTTTGTTGATAATACATATATGCACGTGGACTCATTTTAGTTTTGCTTTATTTCACAATCCTTGACGCTACAGCTCGAGTTTGAGATATTAACACTCTCTCTCTTTTTCTCTCTCTCTCTCGCAGTGGTCGTCCTCGATTTGATCCTAGATAAGTTAAAGTATAACGGGCCATCATACTCCAATAGCTTAATTTGCCATCATGCAGGCTTGGATGCTAACAATTTGAAGATCAATTGCACAGATGACTGTGGACATGGCAAAAACAGCTATTGCCATATCAAAAAGTTGTAAGTCACAATTAAATTAATATAATATATATAGAGCACTCGTTCGGGCTTTTTTTTAACAATGTCATCTCATGATGCGCACTGTTCGAGCTTTTTTTAATAATAATATTCTAAGAAGAATTTTTCTCAAATGATTTGTGTTGCAGTTCTTTTATTGGCGCCGCTTTAACTGGTTTTATACCTAAAGAGAGTAGAGGAGCTTAAGCATTTGGTAGACGCTTTTTACCACTATTTCCCTATCATTATTCTTTCCAACCATATTTTTTTTTTATATTGCATAAAATCAATTTTTTTTTTTTTTTTTTTTTTTTTTTTTTTTTTTTTTTTTTTTTAAAGAGTTCTGAGAATTGAAAAAAATAAAATTACAAGCTTCAGAAGTTGTCTTTGCCGGTGCCTTTTCTTTTGGGGCGGGATCAAGTTGAGCTTAGATATTTTACATCTTTCTTTTTTAAAAAACTCTTTCAACCGATCCCTTCTATTAATTGTCACGAAAGAGGGAAACCATGACAAGACCTGCCCCGAATTCCTCGGAATCCGTGACAAATCCTGTGGTTTTTCGAACATCCAACCGATGACCAGCCCACTTACTAATTTCAAAAATCCTCTTCCCCTAAAACAAAAGAAAAGAAGGCCGAGGCTTCAACTGAAATTTCGGCAGAGTCTCTCTTGAAAATCGGATTTTACCAAAATTTTCAACCTGTAAAGAACAAGAGAAAAAGAATACCAACTACAAGCAACACAAAGCAACAACACAAAGATTACAAAATAGGCCTCCGGTCTTAACTTCAACCCTACACGGGAAATGTCAAAGCAGTCTAAGAATCTCTAGTTAAACAGCCAAAATAAAAGTTTCAAGAAATGGACAAGTGTTCGACAATTAAGCAGAGGCACGAGAGGAGGAAGGCTCGGCCTGACTACTTGGTTCGCGTCAACTTCAGCCTCACTCGATGAAAATGGCAGTCGGAGTCACTGGAAACGGCGTCGAAAACTTTGAAAATCACCCGAACTTCCAGTCATTCTAGTTTAATTTCCTTGGGTTTTTTAGATGGGAAAATGGGTGGGTTAGATAGAGGACATCAATACGAAACTTTTGCAACCAATTGAACTCGAATTGGATATCGGACGGCGACGAATTGCTGTCTAAAAATTGCTGCTGTGTGCATAGAGATAGACAGCGTCGGGGAGAGATGGAGGAGAGAGAGACTGGTTTGTTTTAAAAATCCAACTTTGAAATATTTACAGTTGTGCCACTGCACTTCCTTTGACCACAACTTCTTCGTTAAAACTCCAATTTGGCCCCACTATATGTTTACGAACTCATGAGAGCGAGCTCTAGGCAATGGTGCCACTCATTTCCCCAAAATCCTTCTGGATTAAAAAGTGACCAAAGTACCCCCACTCCCAAGGGTAAAATTGTAATTTCACAAAAGAATTAAATCGATTAAATTGAGTCAGAGATGTGACAAACCAAGCCACTAAATATATTAATTTTCTTATTTATTAAGTATATTAACTTGGTATACAATTTAATTTTCTTATGTTCTTCTTTAACGATGAATCCGTTGCATGTATTATATGAAAAGATTAATGTTGATTTTGTATGCTTATATGCTAAACAGTGATTTATCCGGCAATCAGCTTACCGGTTCCATACCTGATACCTTGTGGAATTTGTCATCCCTCTTTTCATTGTAAGTGTATATACATAAATATAGATAAGGATTCACTTGAGAGCCAGACCTTACCTCAAAACATGTACATATTTATTGAATTTATATGAATGCATATTAATTAAGTTTTCATATATTCAGAGACCTTTCAAGCAATCAACTGACAGGAGGCATATCAGAGCACATTGGACACTTGCGCAATCTTACTGCTCTGTAAGTATATATTCAATATTGGTTTCTTTCTTTTTTCTTTTTGCTTTGGTTACAAGGGAGACCAACAACTACTATAACTCACATCAATTGAGTATCAAGGAATGTACAACAGCAACTGTTAAGTCAGACTTATACTTGTTTTGGTCATTGTAGTTTGTCTGTGAATTTCTGATAGGTGTGGAGTGTGGAATTGGCATGTGTACTTCCCCAAACGTTCTTTTTTCTGTTTTAAGGGAAAATCTATTGACAGAATTTAAGGTTCTTTTTACCAAAAAGAAGAGAAAAGAATTCAAGGTTTAAATACATCGGTTCAATTAACTTCGATGAATTTAAACATGGTTTTTTCCTCCTTTTTTCTTACATGGGCTGACTTTTTATCTAATCTTGAATTCTATATTGTAATTTGTATATATCTATATCTAATTTCAGTATTTCTTACAACTCGGCTTAACTCGACTTTAAGTTTACTCTGTTTCTACCCCTCTCTCCGACCTTTAACAAGGTAACATCTAATAATTTAACTCCATTGTTTTCTGGCCAAAAAGCTATCTGGATCACAACTTCCTCACCGGACAGATACCATCATCTTTGGGTGCTCTGCGTTCTCTGCAAACGTTGTAAGTAAACTCTCTGCAACTTGTTTTCACCATTGCACTGAATTCTTCGACTTTTTTTGACTTGATATGATCAGTTGGTTCCTTTGTATAACGTTTCAAATTCTTCTTTATAATCTGTGAGTTTTGCAGGTCTCTTCATTATAATAACTTGTCAGGTCCAATTCCCCGCCAATTAGGAAACATCACAGCCCTTCAAATATTGTAAGTTCTTTGCTCGCCTTTGTTGCACCTAATGAACACTCTCTCTCTCTCTCTCTCTCCCCATCACACACACACATACAGCGAGAGAAATTATGTACATATATTCTAAAGGCTAACACTTTCTACTGAAAACAAACATCTGAATTCGTCTTCCCTTCTTTTCTCTCTGCTTTGAGATTTTTGGATCAGAATCGACTCTCTGGTCGTCTTCCACCCTCATTTAGTAATTTGAGCAATCTCCAATCCTTGTAAGCTTCTTTCAAACAAAGTTACATATATATATATATATATATCATGAGAAAAGAAGGAGAAAATTTTGGTACTTAAATCTCTACTGGGATCACATTGTTTTGTTCTCATGTTGTGGAAGCTGGGCGGCATCCAATGATCTCACTGGGGAGTTCCCGGATTATGGCAGTCTTAATCAGTTGCGCTTATTGTAAGTGTTTCTCATTTAATAATGTCAAAGTCAAATTTGCTTACCAAGTGATGTGTTAGTTCGCATTTTATATCTTGTTGGAAATAAATGGGGTCAATAGTGGACTCAGATTTGAATAAATGAGACACGGCACATCATTTGAGGAACAAAATTTGGTAAAGGAATTTGGTGAGTGTAGCAGGAGTCTTCTTTATGTAATGTTCTTGATGCCTGCAATCTACCTTAAGGTGAATTTATTAATTTTTAAGAGACCCTAATTGGCCAATGCAGTTCAATATCTGGCAACTATATGTCTGGTCGCTTCCCAGCTGACTTCATCAGAAAATGGACCCAAATCAATTATCTGTAAGTTTTCCTTTACGTTACTGCACACAATTCGTAAATCTTTGGGAGAATAGATGTAAATGGTACCAAGAGCAAATTGAACATCTAGATTAAGCTTCTACTCTATGAAAGTTATCTCATAGAGACATCTGAATTTGGTACTACTCTGCACTGCTCACAGGTCAATTTTGGGAAACAATTTTGAAGGGAGTCTACCTGCAGAACTTTTTAGTTTCTCCAATCTTGAGTATTTGTAAGTACACCGTCCCCTTCTGTTTCATTAACCCACTTTTTCAGGAAAAATATAAAAATAAAAATAAATCAGTAGCTCTGTTTTCGTGATGAATTTTTTGTGTCCATTTTGCAGAACGATCAGTGACGTAGCAAACTCTGGTTTCCAATTCCCACGATCTGCGAACCTGAGCAATATAAAAACTCTGTAAATGGTTTTATTACATGTCGCACGCACACATCTATTCATTTTAAAAGCCAAAGAGGTTGAATACAAAAAAAATGTTAACTGGCCAGCATAGTGAATGCAAGCAAGCTTTATTTTGCTCTGCAAGAGTCTTTGTGCTAGGACAAAACCCAACATTTCTTTAAGTTGCAGAATGTCTTATGCAGACAGCATCACTAGATGTAAACATCTCATGTTCATAATGTATCCACTCACTCACCTCTTCTCATGGTTTCTATAGGATATTAAGGAACTGTTCCATCACCGGTGAAATCCCTAAATACATTGGTAAAATGTCAAATTTAGAATACTTGTGAGTCTCTCTCTCTCTCTCTCTCTCTCTCACACACACACACACACACACACACACACAACACACACAACACCTTCTCAAGTCCCTAGAGTAATGGTTTACTGATTTGTTTCAATTCCTACTTCGGTACAATTTATCTCACAGACTAGTTAATTAAGTTCCCAAGTTGTTAATGCCTCTATGTATTCTTAACAGGGATTTGAGCTTCAACAATTTAACCGGACGAATCCCACAATCCATGAGTGGTTTAAATTTAACTCACTTGTAAGTGAATGTTATTCGTGTGTTTTTGCTACACAAAAGACAACCGAACTCTTGTTGATGTTAGTATTCTATTATTAACTTTCTCTCTCCTCAGGTCCTTAGCAAAAAATAAACTTAATGATACAATCCCTGCCTGGGTTGGTGCAGTCAAGACTAGATTGTAAGCTTCTGTATTCAAAATCTTAAACTATATATATACAGTTATTTTTATCTTCATGCATTGGCTGTCAAGTAAGTCCGAAAGCTTAGTATCTTGAGAATTGATCTTTATTTCTTCAACAATGATTGCCAGAAAGCTTAGTATCTCATAATTTCCTTTAACATCTTTGGGATTAAAGTAAGACCAGTTTAAAGATGTTTATGACTCAAGTTCACTATTAGAATTAGGATCGTTGCTTTTTGAACCTGCAATTGATGGCAAATTCAAATATGCTGGATTCGCCTTCAGTTGGACGGAGTATGTATCAGTCTGGTTGTTTACATGCGGTAGTAAACCTTGTGTGCGCATACATATATGAAAGAACCATGCAACAACCTAGCAAATAAAAGGAAACTATTTAGGAAGTACTCTCTATAATGAGGAATTGTTGGTAGCATCGTAGTTATCTTTTTCAGTGACAGCAGGGGTGACCTTGAGGGTGTGCAAGTGGTGCCACCACACAGGTCCTCCAATTTTTAAGGGCCTCGAAATTTTTTGACTTGTATATTAATATATTAATATTACAAGTATTATATATATTTAAGCGTGTAGAAAAATAACACAACTGTATATTTGGTTTTGTTTGGTCTTCATTGCCTCAATTTTCCTAAAAACTCACCAAATGACTCTCACCATATTATGATGTTACCTAAGTTTTGGAGTGAATCTGAAATCAATTTGTCAAATAAATTGGACACTTCATGTTCGTACGAAGTTCTTGTGAAGTTTATCAAGTGGTTGGAACATTGCCTAGTTTTATTGATTGGATTTCACTAAAAACTTACAAAATGAATCCTTCGACCATATTATGATGTTGGCCAAGTTTTGGGCCAAATCCGAAATCAATTGGTCAAAGAAATTGGACACTTCAAGTTCGTACTGTGGTTGGAACATTGCACAGTTTTAATGATTGGATTTCACTAAAAACTTACCAAATGAATATGTCATTCAAAAGTTGTATTTTTACATTTTTACTCTTTTTTAATTTATATCAACACAAATACATACAAGCAGTATATATACGCTTTCTCCAATTAACCAAAAAAAACATATATATATATATGTATATATGTTTTCACCCACTCAAAAGAAAATAAAATAAAAAGTTATTATCTTCTTCTTCCTCTTCTTTGTTCTCAAATTGAAACATTAAAACTCTTATAAATTTGATTTATTATTATCATTGTATGATAATTGATGATGAATTTTAGTTGTTAAAAAAGTTGTTTAAAGGTATTAAGTCATGGCAAATTTTGTATTTTCTTTAGAATTTTCATATTAGATTATGTGAGGTCCCTGTTTAAGTTTCGCACAGGGCCCTCAAAATCTCAGGACCGGCCCTAAGTGACAGTTGTCGGTAGTAATGCTAGTTTCTTAAAGCCATTGTGCACTTGATTAAGACCAAAAAGGCGCTATTTGAATTCTGAGACCTTTGCCCCAGTAGTCAAGATTAACATTATCAGAGTTCTATTGTCTCTAGTAGCAAATCTCGATTTTGATCTCAAAAATGCATTTCTACATGGAGACTTGGAAGAAGTATATATGGACCTACCACTAGGATGTAATTTAGCGCGTGACAAGAAGAATCACGTTAACAAGCTCAAAAAGTCATTATATGGAGTATATTAATTTTGAGCTGATATTTGAGTGTCTTCTTAACTTCAATCATATCAATGCAATGAAATATTTATATGAATAGTTGTTGTGAAATGACCATTCTACAAAAAGTCACTCAGTAATTTAGATACTAGAATACTTCTTTCATCAGACAGCTACTTCGATTTGACACCGGAATGCTTAATGATATGCAAAAGAAAAATCCTTATCTAAGCGACCATCATTTTCTAGGAGCGTATTATGTTCCCACGTTCCATTAGCTATGATATTTGACCACATGTCTTTTCAGGGATCTGTCGTACAACAGCTTTTCAGACGTAGTGCATAAGCGAGATCATCTGTAAGAATTGGCATTAATTTTCTTTTTCTGTTGCTACCAATCTAGTTGCATGTGGAATTATGATGAGATCGTTTTCCATACATTTCAGGAACTTGTTTGCCTGCTGCAGCAGTTCAAGTTCAACCGATCCAGATCAACTGTTTGTGTATGTTAATATTTTTATCTGTTCTAGTATAAGAAAAGCCAAGGGCCATTTCTTACAAATTCGGTGGTTTATTCAGGGATCCAAAGAAACGCATGCATACGCATTGTCCTGGACGAAAATCTAAATGTGAGTTTGGTTGGTTCTTCAGACGTGTATACAACCACACAGAACTTTACCCAAAGGATTCCTGATTGAAAATTGGCACCGTTAAATAAAATATAAAAAACAGCACCGTTAAATACTTCAACAATATCATTTTGTCTGGTGAGGACTTGTATATTATCTCTTGGAAGAAGTTTGTAATAGTTTTATAAAGCATGATAAGAGGGTATGAATATTGTAAATGATTGGTTACATAAGCATAATCTGAACTCTAACAATCCCTTTCTGACTAACATTTGCAGCTCCTTCCTTGTTTATAAATTGTGGTGGTGAGGGATTAAATGTTGGTGACAAGTATTATGAAGCAGATAACTCAACTTCACTCTATTATATTAGTCCTTCCAAAACCTGGGGTTATAGCCTTTCTGGAGACTTCTTATCACCGGATTCAAATTCTAGTAATTTCATACAGACCCAGTCATATGGAATTCATGTTGCTGAGTCAGAGTTATATTTAAATGCTCGGATTGCCCCCGTCTTCCTAAGTTATTATGCTTTCTGCTTACAGAAAGGCAAATATAACGTGGCCCTTCACTTTGCTGAAATAGTATTCAGGGAGAAGGAATCATACAGTATACTAAAGAGACGGGTATTTGACGTTTATATCCAGGTAATTAAGAGCTGATGTCATTCAATTATTTGTCACTAAATTGAGTACCATCAACTGAAATCTTTATATAAGAAGCGTTTGTTGTAGGATGAGAGAAAGCTAATGAATTTCGACATCGCAAAAGAGGCAAGGTATTTCATAGCTGATGTTAATGATAGTGTATTGAAGATCTCCTTCTACTGGGCTGGAAAGGGAAGTACAGACTACCCGCCTACTCTGAATGGACCTCTTATTTCTGCTATTTCCATAACTCCAGGTGATTCAAAAGGCTATGACTTTAGTTTCTTCTGGTTGGTGCCAAGCTACAGTTGAACCCCTCATGTGTGCTTCAAGGTTGCAAGCAGGCAGTTTTCATTTCAGTTAATTAGTTTAATCTTGTTAGACAGCATATATACTGAATTAATTTGACAATCTTTCAAAGAAGTTTGACTTTTCTCTTGCTGTTATCCCCTCCTTGGATGAAATATCACTTCGAAGGTCCCCAACGCTCTGCATTGTGGCGAAAATTGAAGAAAGCATTGATTATTACTCTACCTTCAAGTGTAGTTGTTCTATTGCTTCTATTAGCTTTCATGTGGAAAATGGGCTGGCTGGGGAAAAGAGAGTTGAGAGGTGAGTGAAGCTAAAACTACACTGCACCATGCCCTTTTTCAAGAATTCTTATTGCCTAGTTAACATGCCATATTTGATTTTTCCCGGAACAGATATACAGATAGGCCAAGGTAAACATGTTACCCTTCAAGAATTAATAGGTGCAACTCGAAAGTTTAGCCGCAAAATGGAGATCGGTAGAGGGCATTTTGGAAGGGTTTATAAGGTATACTTTTACATTGTGAACTTAATTTGTGGTAGAAATTTGATATTAGGGTGGGGTATTTTTTGAATGTTGCAAATTTATTCAGATATATAACATTTGTCTATTGTGTTGATGCAGGCTGAACTGGAAGGTGGTCAAACTACTGTAGCTGTTAAAAGACTTTCTACTCACTCAAAAGAAAAAGTTGAGGAATTATTAAATGAATTTTATGCCTTGAAGTCATTGAGGCATGAGAACCTTGTTCAATTGTTGGATGCTTATTTTGGAGAAGGGTTGCATTTGCTCATCTATGAATATATGCCAAACCTGTCCATTGCAGACGCATTTTTTGGTAATTCATCTTTTCTCCTCCCTTTTCTAATTTTTCAAGCACAACATCAAATTGTTTTATTCTATATTACAGGAGCAGTATACTTCCTCCTTTTGTGCACAAATAGGGATACTTACATTCATTTGAGCTTAGCCAACATATTCCTCTTCCTACCGTGTATTGCTTTTATATTAAGAAATAAGATCCGGTACTCACTCATCATTGAAATACCATCGAAATACTATTAGGTGACGCATACCAGATGTCATCTTTTGAGAAAAACTTTCCAGGACACCCCCATTTGACGACGCATATTACGACACTTACCCCAAGTCATTAAATGCCTTCCATGATGCAAATCAGGTGTCATGAAAGGGTTTTCTGTTGTAGTGACTTGTGTTTTCTGTGCTGATACAGTGTTTATGACAAAAACAAAGTCGTTTACGGTTTAGACTAAACTGGAGGAATATATGCATAGAATGCTAAAGCGGTCATCATTCATGTGACTTGCAGGCTCGAAGTCCAGATTGAAGTTTAGTTGGGAAAATAGATTTAACATTTGCCTGGGAATAGCGAGGGGTTTAGCTCATCTTCATGATCACCCTAGACTCAAGATGGTTCATAGGGATATCAAAGCTGAAAATATCCTCCTTGATGGAGCTCTTAATGCTAAGATCTCAGACTTTGGAATGGCAAGCCTGTATACCGAGGAAGAACAACTTATGATCATCAAAGTGGAAGCACCAAAGTAAGTGTACAAAAAACAAATACCTTTCGCTTTCTGAAACTCTGTATAAAATAATACCATGAAATTCAACTTTACGGGTGCATTATGCAAATATAATTTGAATTTATGCTTTATTGTTGTTGACGCAGCGGACATATGGCACCTGAGTATGTAGTTCAAGGTTTTGTAACAAGCAAAGTTGATGTTTACAGTTTTGGGGTGGTTATACTCGAAATTGTTAGTGGGAAGAAAAATGCAGGATACAAATTTAACCATGAGAGTGAGTATCTCTTGGACATGGTAAGTAAAACTGACAGGACGTACGGTATTTTGTAATTCCTCCTACTTTAAAGTGAACATGCACACTTTGAATTCTAAACCCACATCATTTTACTGCAGGCTTATGTTGCATATAAAAATGGAAGCCTCGTGGACTTGGTGGATAAAAATTTGTCCGGTATTTATGATGCAAAACAAGCCATCACCATCTTAACCTTGGCCGTGATGTGCACGAATATATCTCCTACTTTAAGGCCAAGAATGGCAGACGTTGTGAGTATTCTTGTTGGTGAGAAAACCTTTGAGCAGATTAATCCCCCTAAAGCGGATGATCATCAGCTTAATGTTGCCATGGCTCATGGTGAATGTACCAAAGCTGATTCTTCTACTTCCACAGACGTGACCGCAACTGCAAGGGCATCAACTTCAACTAAATTAATCAAGGGGATAGATGAAACAGAAACTCATTATGCAGAACCCGATCTTGAAATATTGAAAGAGAGTCAGAACTCACATTAGATATGCATCGTATTTGGATTTTGGTGTTGCTGAAACCATCTTTCAGCGGATGACAATTATGGCGGAGTATTTATGTGGAATAAAGGCAGTTGCAGTTTGTTTTGTGTTAGATTGTTGAATATTGTTCTGCATTATGTACATGCAGTCGGACTTCTTTATAGAGCCAATAAGGATATTGTTTCAGGTTTTGTTCTCTGCATTATGCATGTCACATATTTTGAACAACTACAATGAAACAGAAAAAAGCGAGAAAAACCATTTATTGGACTTGAGAATTTAGTAATTAGCATGAGCATGTATGATCCTTGTCTCTTTTTAGGACAAATGGGGGATTCAAAGGTGTAAAAGAAGGATTTTCCTTTAATAGACATGACAAGTCTCTACTTTACTCTTGTCTTATCTCCCTCATTTCCTTCTTTCAAGTGACTGGAGGTTTTCCCAGCCGCCCTTTGAGGCGGCTCCTCCCCTTTTTCTTTTTCTCTTTGGTTGGTTCTTCTTCTTCTCCTCTCTTCTGTCTTTTTTGACCATACCCTGTAAAATCAGCCCAAAATGAACTATGGGATGGCTCTCAACCGGTCGCCTAAAACAAAACTAGTACATTGGCACGCACATCACACATGTCAATTAGCCTTTTTTTTGGTTAAACAAATAAAATCTCTTTTGTATATGGGACCTTTCTTTATTATAGAGGTGATCAGCAATGTAGTTCGTAAATATAGTACAAATAATATTATTATTATCCTCTTTTACTAAATTAAAATATTAAAATTTATTAATATTATCCACATTTAATATATTATTTTCTTCCTTAACATTTTAATTAGCTAAGAGTATTTTGGGATTTTAAATATTTCACCAAAGTTTTTCCCTTTATATATACTAGAGCGCTTGTGTCAATTGACAGTTTTTGTTTTTTGTTTTTTTCATTTTAGTTTTATGAAAGGGAAAATAAAAGCCATTTTTTAGTTTTAACAAATGGTTTCTGTTTTTGACCCAAAAATAGACGTCTAACCAATCTACATGAGACGAGAGATTGAACTCAAGTCTCGTCTCAAGTGCAAAAGTGGACTCACTGCCTTAACCCTTTTTTTTGTTTTTTTTGTTGTTGTTGTTGTTGTCAAGGAGTCACTGCCTTAACATATGTGGTTTCGTTTCTTAGCTAACCATATCTTTTGAATTTGAAAGTTTTTTCAATCCAAAAAAAATAAAAGAATTATGAAAGTTTCATTTTAAGGCATTAACAGAAGAAACTCACATTTTCATAATATCCGAAATTCTGTGTACAAATTCCCACTTGATCAATAAATAAAACAAGCTACAACAACTAGTGGTTTTATTTTCTGTATATATTGATAATCAAGAATATGAAGAAGAGGAGAGTATGAAGATCGAGGATAAGAGGTAGTGGCGTTATGGTGGGTTTCTGGCACAGATTGGGGACCAAAGGCAAAGCCTTTTACTCAGCGACGCTCTCACCGCCATGTTCAAGCCCTCTCACTCTCCCTCACATTTGGGTTCCCACCCAAACCTCACTCTCCCTCTCATCTGGGTTTCACCGTAAGTGCATTTCTACACCACATTTATGTTCCTCAGCTCATAGAAAATCATGGGTCTCTCTGTTTTAGCTTCATTGATTGATTGATTGAATGAGTGGTTGTTGATTGTTGTTGTATCCAAAGCTGTGAAAACAGGAGCTACAGGGCAGACTCGGAGTGCTGCTGAAATAATGAGCGGAAAGCCAATTGCAAAAGACATAAATTTGAGAGTAGCTGCTGAAATAAGCAGAATGAAAGCTGCCATTGGAAGACTTCCTGGGTTGGCTGTGGTTTTGGTGGGCTACAGAGAGGACTCACACGCTTATGTCCATATGAAGTTAAAAGCTTGTAATGAAGTTGGGATTGAAACTTCCTTTGTACAACTGCCTCAAGATTGTACTCAAGATCGACTTATTGATGTTGTTTCAAGTTTTAACAGCAACGCATCTGTGCACGGTATAATTGTTCAACTTCCTCTGCCACAGGTACCAACTCCTTGGAGTTAATTTAGAATTATTGCTTCAAATTGGGTTTTGTATTCTTAATTTCTTCTAGTTCTAGTCATGTGATTTGGTTTTGGCTTTTTGGGTTTCTAAAAATATTGTACATTAACTTGTTTGATTCAGCATTTGGATGAGGAAACGATTATAAATTTCGTGAGTCCGGAAAAAGATGTGGATGGCTTTCATCCCCTCAATATGGGGAATCTTGCATTGCGGGGAAGGGAGCCGTTATTCATCCCTTGTACCCCTAAGGCTTGCATTGAGTTGTTGCTCAGATATCGTGTGGAGATCATTGGGAAGAATGCAGTGGTAATAGGGAGAAGCAAGGTTGCTGGGTTATCCACTTCTTTCCTCTTGCAGGTGACACATATTTTGTTCTCTACTGTATAGACATCATAATGTTTGAATAATTTTTCAATGATGCTCCATTTGTCCTGGACAGAGGCACCACGCGACGGTTAGCACTCTCCATTCATTCACCAACAACCCAGAACAAATTACTCGTCGAGCTGATATTGTTGTATCAGATGTTGGCATTCCAAATATAGTCGGATGCGATTGGCTGATGCCAGGGGCAGTTGTAGTCGACATGGGGACAAATTCAGTTAAGGTAAATTATCTTGTTTCTATCTAACTTTCAGATCAAATGAGGATTATATCTGTGCACAGTCATAAACATTTCTTTCTTAGGTTGTTGTGAAGTTTGGTAAGTTTTCCTGTCCATTTAAGTGCAATAACAAAGGAACAAACTACTGTTCATCTGCCAAGAAAGCAGTCATTTCTGGTTGCGATTACCATAAAATACTCAATGCACCAGCATTAGAGGGTGCATTGGAAAAAAGTATCCCAAATCTTTTTATTCTATATCTTTTGTCCAAAACGGAACATTGAAAGTATATATTACTTCAAAATCCCCTCCCGCAAAATGCATTTTAAAAATAGAATTTTGCTAGAGAAACTAGATTTGTATGATCATAAGAATTTGTATCTATCAGATTTTACCTTCTTTACTCATGTGTGGTCATAAAGGAAGACTCAACTGCTTCAGCCTCAGATGAGTCATGACTGTATTAGACCATAATGATATTTATTGTTTCATTAAATGTAGAAAAGTACTTTTGAAGGCCTGATGGTGGACTGAATCAATATCCATCTAGAGTAGACATTAATCTCTAAAGCAAGTCTAAATTCCAAAGAGTGTAAGAGTTTACTCATCCACATATTTAGATGAAGTTTCATATAAGTTCTTTAGTCGTATCATTGCATTAGGGGTTGGAGCTAGGACTATATCCTTAATTATGCCTTACCTTCTAACCATTAGTTGTCACTATTACTATATTACCTAACTGTCACTAGTTACTGTATTGTTGAACATCTATTAATATGTAAATCAACCAGAACCACATGAGTAGTATAGAAAACTGCGGCCATAACTTGGTTTGAGAAAATTTATCCTTTACATAGGCCCTAGACCTCTAACTTACAAGAGTTTTGTTCCTTCAGTGGTTGTCTTTGATAAATTGTAAAAATGCTTGTTATTTTTATTTTAATATGGGAAATGACTTTGCATGGCCATAGGAGTATGTTACTATTAGTAAGTGTATTCTGGGTCTTTGTGTTTTTTATAGGGTTTTAAAGGATGGTCATGATTAGTTTGATTTTTAAGGACTAGGATCATCTTGGCGAAAGTCTGATCGAGTTTGCTGGTCGCCCATGCACCCCCATTTACCCTTGATTTGGTACATGCCTACACACCAGATCACTAGTCCAACACCATACTCGACTGGTCGGTACACAGGTGATCTGGTCTGTCGTAGCCATAATGGAACTTCTGATGGGCTCGGCTCATAGAGATGGTATGAGATATCAACAACTCTAAATATAGAGACTCGGGATCCTTAATGTATGAGAACTTGAATTTTGAAGTTTTTTTTCTTATCCACAATTTTTTTCTTAATTCTTTTTAAACATACTCAGCTCGACAAAACCTGGTAGTCAACTCGATCAAAAGAGGGTTGAGCTGAGTTGGATTGGTCTAATAATAAGCGGGTCTTGGGTTTTAAAGGATGGTCATGATTAGTTTGATTTTTAAGGACTAGGATTTATTATTAACCAGCCGAAGTCTACAAATAAGCTTGTGATCTCTTGTTCTTTGTAGTAAATGAATTTTGATGTAAAATTAGGCTAGTTGTGTTTCAAGGCATAGCTACCTACTATTAAAGACTAGGATATTATTATCTAGAGGTGTTAGTCTAAATGTTGATAAAGACTACAACATGCTTATGCACAAGTGTATGCATTGTTGTGTCTTTCCCGTCTTGCTTATTTTTCTCAGTTGCCTTCATTTCTTTGTCCTACTTGCCCTCTGAATTGCCTGATATCCAATTGAATTTCTCATTCTTAGTAGATCTGGTTCACCTGTCATAGATCCCTAATTTACCCCCAAATTCTTTCATAAGCCAAACCCTAATTGGACTCCTCAGTTTCACATCAACCCCTAACCCTAAAGTTTACAGTTTAGAGCTAGAAGTGCCGATGGTTTGTGCTGTTTTGAATCAACTATAGATCATCAAGTATGTTATGTCAAGGATTTTAAATAGCAGAGGGTAAGTGGTAATCCATGTTCGCTTCCCATTATTAATAGACAAACTGGACTGCAATGTGCTCAATGAGAAAGCCATTTCTCAATGAGGGCATTGATCTTGTTCTCTCGATGTGCAGCACCAATTTGTTTTGGCATATGGACAGATATTGTATTGCATGATAAGTGCCAAAAAAAAACAATGCATTACATAGAGTCTTCAATGTTATATCACAAGTACAGAAGCCATCAAGGAAAATCAATTTTCACTGCCACATCTCATGTCAAAGGAAAAGGGGAGGAAGAAGAAAAGGAAAGGGGAAAGAGGAAAAAGACAAAAAAGAAAGAAGAAACAGACACGGAAAGAAGGAAACTAAAGAGGAAAAGGGGAAGAAGAAAAGAAAAGAAAAAATATTTTGCAAAACTACCAAATTACCCTCCTTAACGGGTGGATGCGAATATTCGCGAATTGACCCAACCCAATCCATTAGCTTAACGGGTAGCTAACGGGTTCACCCGTTTTCAACCCAACCCATTAAGCTCAACCCAAATACTGATAATTTCGTGCGAATTCGTGTCGTGTTAACGGGTCGTGTACAATATTGCCAGGTCTATTTCCAACAATCCAACTACGAATAACAGCAAACTATGCCAATTGAACAAATTTGACAAAAAACAAACTCCTTCAAATTCGAGGTAGAATTAAATTAAGAGAAGATGAGAAGTTTATGGTAAATAATTTGCAGTACGGTAACCGGTTAAACATCAATAGCTGCAGATTTCAAGACTCGTACACAAATAGTTTGGAGAATTTATAAAAAATAGTCCAAACTTGATCTCTAATTTCAAAAATGTCAGTTTTTATAAAAAATTTCAAGTGTAACGACAACTGTGGACGGAACCGCGGATATTGCTATGTCAAAGAGTTGTAAGTTCGACAACATATAATACAGAAAATAATTGAATTGACAAACAACCCTGGCGAATGTTTGCCCGCTGGTATCCAAACAATAATCCTCACAAAAGTTTGTTTAATACTTGGCCATTTGTTTTGTTAGTAACAAATTGAAGTCACTTTATGACTTGTGTCAGAGACAAGCCTATACAGACAAATTTGCAAAAGTTGGTCGGTATTAATGTCACTTACAGGACTTTTACTGACAAGTCATTTCCGCCGCTGCACTTGTGAGAATCCTTATTATTAAAGAACTTTTACTAAAACCCTCATCTCTGACATGTTGCTTTATAATAGCTCAGTTTTTGTCTGTTAAATTATTTATAAGAAAAAAGAAAGATGGTACAACCTGTTGCTTTATAAAAAGGGGAAGAAGGCTTAGTGTGCGTATAGCCAAGGTGAACTAGAATCTGAAAGCAAAGCACAATGGTTGAAACCCGTCCAAGACTTCTTGTTGAGTATATGCTCCTGAGTTTCCTCCTTTCGCAGTTTGGTTTTAGGCATGGATCTTCCCAGACAACTACTGAGTTGGATCCTAAAGAAGGTATACAACTATTTTGTTTCTCATCCCTTTCTCTTTTTATTCACATTTCTCTCATTTTGAATTAATAAATATTTTGTTTCATTTTTCGAAAATGTATTGTGAAAATGTTACCAGACAGACCCTTGTTTTGTTGATAATACATATATGCACGTGGACTCATTTTAGTTTTGCTTTATTTCACAATCCTTGATGCTACAACTCGAGTTTGAGATATTAACACACTCTCTCTCTTTTTTTTTCTCTCTCTCTCTCTCTCTCTCTCTCTCTCGCAGCGGTCGTCCTCGATTTGATCCTAGATAAGTTACAGTATAACGGGCCATCATACTCCAGTAGCTCAATTTGCCATTATGCAGGCTTGGATACTAACAATTTGAAGATCAATTGCACAGATGACTGTGGACATGGCAAAAACAGCTATTGCCATATCAAAGAGTTGTAAGTCACAATTAAATTAATATAATATATATAGAGCACTCGTTCGGGCCTTTTTTTGACAATGTCATCTCATGCTGCGCACTGTTCGAGCTTTTTTTAATAATAATATTCTAAGAAGAATTTTTCTCAAATGATTTGTGTTGCAGTTCTTTTACTGGCGCCGCTTTAACTGGTTTTATACCTAAAGAAGTAGAGGAGCTTAAGCATTTGGAGACGCTGTAACTATTTCCTATCATTATTCCAAAAGATTTTTTTTTTTTAATGCATACCTATATTTATAATCAGATTTTTTTATTTTTTATTTTTAAAGAGTTCTGAGAATTGAAAAAAATAAAATTACAAGCTTCAGAAGTTGTCTTTGCCGGTGCCTTTTCTTTTGGGGCGGGATCAAGTTGAGCTTAGATATTTTACATCTTTCTTTTAAAAAAAACTCTTTCAACCGATCCCTTCTATTAATTGTCACGAAAGAGGGAAACCATGACAGGACCTGCCCCGAATTCCTCGGAATCCGTGACAAATCCTGTGGTTTTTCGGACATTCAACTGATGCCCAGCCCACTTACTAATTTCAAAAATCCTCTTCCCCTAAAACAAAAGAAAAGAAGGTCGAGGCTTCAACTGAAATTTCAGCAGAGTCTCTCTTGAAAATCGGATTTTACCAAATTTTTCAACCTGTAAAGAACAAGAGAAAAAGAATACCAACTACAAGCAACACAAAGATTACAAAATAGGCCTCCGGTCTTAACTTCAACCCTACACGGGAAATGTCAAAGCAGTCCAAGAATATCTAGTTAAACAGCCAAAATAAAAGTTTCAAGAAATGGACAAGTGTCCTACAATTAAGCAAAGGCACGAGAGGAGGAAGGCTCGGCCTGATTGCTTGGTTCGCGTCAACTTCAGCCTCACTCGATGAAAATGGCAGTCGGAGTCATCGGAAACGGCGTCGAAAACTTTGAAAATCACCCGAACTTCCAGTCATTCTAGTTTAATTTCCTTGGGTTTTTTAGATGGGAAAATGGGTGGGTTAGATAGAGGACATCAATACGAAACTTTTGCAACCAATTGAACTCGAATTGGATATCGGACGGCGACGAATTGCTGTCTAAAAATTGCTGCTGTGTGCATAGAGACAGACAGCGTCGGGGAGAGAGAGACTGGTTTGTTTTTAAAAATCCAACTTTGAAATATTTACGGTTGTGCCACTGCACTTCCTTTGACCACAACTTCTTCGTTAAAACTCCAATTTGGCCCCACTACATGTTTACGAACTCGTGAGAGCGAGCTCTAGGCAATGGTGCCATTCATTTCCCCAAAATCCTTCTGGATTAAAAAGTGAACAAAGTACCCCCACTCCCAAGGGTAAAATTGTAATTTCACAAAAGAATTAAATCGATTAAATTGAGTCAGAGATGTGACAAACCAAGCCACTAAATATATTAATTTTCTTATTTATTAAGTATATTAACTTGGTATACAATTAATTTTCTTATATTTTCTTATATTCTTCTTTAACGATGAATCCGTTGCATGTATTATATGAAAAGATTAATGTTGATTTTGTATGCTTATATGCTAAACAGTGATTTATCCAGCAATAAGCTCACCGGTTCCATACCCGAGACCTTGTGGAATTTGTCATCCCTCATACAATTGTAAGTGTATATGCATAAATAGAGATACGGACTTAAGGATTCACTTGAGGGCCAGAGCTTACCTCAAAACATATACATATTTATTGAATTTATATGAATGCATATTAATTAAGTTTTCATATATTCAGAGACCTTTCAAGCAATCAACTGACAGGAGGCATATCAGGGCGCATTGGACACTTGCGCAATCTTACTATTCTGTAAGTATATATTCAATATTGGTTTCTTTCTTTTTTCTTTTTTGCTTTGGTTACAAGGGAGACCAACAACTACTATAACTCACATCAATTGAGTATCAAGGAATGTACAGCAGCAACTGTTAAGTCAGACTTATACTTGTTTTGGTCATTGTAGTTTGTCTGTGAATTTCTGATAGGTGTGGAGTGTGGAATTTGCATGTGTACTTCCCCAAACGATCTTTTTTCTGTTTTAAGGGAAAATCTATTGACAGAATTTAAGGTTCTTTTTACCAAAAAGAAGAGAAAAGAATTCAAGGTTTAAATACATCGGTTCAATTAACTTCGATGAATTTAAACATGGTTTTTTCCTCCTTTTTTCTTACATGGGCTGACTTTTTATCTAATCTTGAATTCTATATTGTAATTTGTATATATCTATATCTAATTTCAGTATTTCTTACAACTCGGCTTAACCCGACTTTAAGTTTAATCTGTTCCTACTCCTCTCCGAGCTGTAACATAACATCTAATAATTTAGCTCCATTGTTTTCTGGCCAAAAAGCTATCTGGGTCACAACTTCCTCACCGGACAGATACCATCATCTTTGGGTGCTCTGCGTTCTCTGCAAACGTGGTAAGTAAACTCTCTGCAACTTGTTTTCACCATTGCACTGAATTCTTCGACTTTTTTTTGACTTGATATGATCAGTTGGTTCCTTTGTATAACGTTTCAAATTCTTCTTTATAATCTGTGAGTTTTGCAGGTCTCTTCGTTATAATAACTTGTCAGGTCCAATTCCCCGCCAATTAGGAAACATCACAACCCTTCAAAGATTGTAAGTTCTTTGCTCACACCTTCGTTGCACTTTATGAACACTCTCTCTCTCTCTCTCTCTCTCCATCACACACACATACAGCGAGAGAAATTATGTACATATATTCTAAAGGCTAACACTTTCTACTGAAAACAAACATCTGAATTCGTCTTCCCTTCTTTTCTCTCTGCTTTGAGATTTTTGGATCAGAATCGACTCTCTGGTCGTCTTCCACCCTCATTTAGTAATTTGAGCAATCTCCAATACTTGTAAGCTTCTTTCAAACAAAGTTACATATATTTATATATATATATATATATATCATGAGAAAAGAAGGAGAAAATTTTGGTACTTAAATCTCTACTGGGATCACATTGTTTTGTTCTCATGTTGTGGAAGCTGGGCGGCATCCAATGATCTCACTGGGGAGTTCCCGGATTATGGCAGTCTTAATCAGTTGCGCTTATTGTAAGTGTTTCTCATTTAATAATGTCAAAGTCAAATTTGCTTACCAAGTGATGTGTTAGTTCGCATTTTATATCTTGTTGGAAATAAATGGGGTCAATAGTGGACTCAGATTTGAATAAATGAGACACGGCACATCATTTGAGGAACAAAATTTGGTAAAGGAATTTGGTGAGTGTAGCAGGAGTCTTCTTTATGTAATGTTCTTGATGCCTGCAATCTACCTTAAGGTGAATTTATTAATTTTTAAGAGACCCTAATTGGCCAATGCAGTTCAATATCTGGCAACTATATGTCTGGTCGCTTCCCAGCTGACTTCATCAGAAAATGGACCCAAATCTATTATCTGTAAGTTTTCCTTTACGTTACTGCACACAATTCGTAAATCTTTGGGAGAATAGATGTAAATGGTACCAAGAGCAAATTGAACATCTAGATTAAGCTTCTACTCTATGAAAGTTATCTCATAGAGACATCTGAATTTAGTACTACTCTGCACTGCTCACAGGTCAATTGTGGGAAACAATTTTGAAGGGAATCTACCTGCAGAAATTTTTAATTTCTCCAGTCTTCAGTATTTGTAAGTACACCGTCCCCTTCTGTTTCATTAACCCACTTTTTCACAAAAAGGGAAAAACAAAAAAACAAAAATCAGCAGCTCTGTTTTCGTGATGAATTTTTGGTGTCCATTTTGCAGAATGATCAGTGACGTAGCAAACTCTGGTTTCCAATTCCCACGATCTGCGAACCTGAGCAATATAAACACTCTGTAAATGGCTTTTATTGTTCCAATTCCCACGATCTGCTCATATGATTTATCCACTCACTCACCTCTTCTCATGGTTTCTATAGGATATTAAGGAACTGTTCCATCACCGGTGAAATCCCTGAATACATTGGTAAAATGTCAAATTTAGAATACTTGTGAGTCTCTCTCTCTCTCTCTCTCTCTCTCTCTCACTCACTCACACACACACACACACAACACACACAACACCTTCTCAAGTCCCTAGAGTAATGGTTTACTGATTTGTTTCAATTCCTGCTTTTGAATGTACTTCGGTACAATTTATCTCACAGACTAGTTAATTAAGTTCCCAAGTTGTTAATGCCTCTATGTATTCTTAACAGGGATTTGAGCTTTAACAAATTAACCGGACGAATCCCACAATCCATGAGTGGTTTAAATTTAACTCACTTGTAAGTGAATGTTATTCGTGTGTTTTTGCTACACAATAGACAACCAAACTCTTGTTGATATTATTATTCTATTATTAACTTTCTCTCTCCTCAGGTCCTTGGAAAAAAATAAACTTAATGATACAATCCCTGCTTGGGTTGGTGCAGTCAAGACTAGATTGTAAGCTTCTGTATTCAAAATCTTAAACTATATATGTACAGTTATTTTTATCTTCATGCATTGGCTGTCAAGTAAGTCCGAAAGCTTAGTATCTTGAGAATTGATCTTTATTCAAATTCAAATATGCTGGATTCGCCTACAGTTGGACGGAGTATGTATCAGTCTGGTTGTTTACATGCGGTAGTAAACCTTGTGTGCGCATACATATATGAAAGAACCATGCAACAACCTAGCAAATAAAAGGAAACTATTTAGAAAGTACTCTCTATAATGAGGAATTGTTGGTAGCATCGTAGTTATCTTTTTCAGTGACAGCAGGGGTGACCTTGAGGGTGTGTAAGTGGTGCCACCACACAGGTCCTCCGATTTTTAAGGGCCTCGAAATTTTTTGACTTGTATATTAATATATTAATATTACAAGTATTATATATATTTAAGCGTGTAGAAAAATAACACAACTGTATATTTGGTTTTGTTTGGTCTTCATTGCCTCAATTTTCCTAAAAACTCACCAAATGACTCTCACCATATTATGATGTTACCTAAGTTTGGAGTGAATCTGAAATCAATTTGTCAAATAAATTGGACACTTCATGTTCGTACGAAGTTCTTGCGAAGTTTATCAAGTGGTTGGAACATTGCCTAGTTTTATTGATTGGATTTCACTAAAAACTTACAAAATGAATCCTTCGACCATATTATGATGTTGGCCAAGTTTTGGGCCAAATCCAAAATCAATTGGTCAAAGAAATTAGACACTTCAAGTTCGTACTGTGGTTGGAACATTGCACAGTTTTAATGATTGGATTTCACTAAAAACTTACCAAATGAATATGTCATTCAAAAGTTGTATTTTTACATTTTTACTCTTTTTTAATTGATATCAACACAAATACATACAAGCAGTATATATACGCTTTCTCCAATTAACCAAAAAATATATATATATATATATATATATGTTTTCACCCACTCAAAAGAAAATAAAATAAAAAGTTATTATCTTCTTCTTCCTCTTCTTTGTTCTCAAATTGAAACATTAAAACTCTTATAAATTTGATTTATTATTATCATTGTATGATAATTGATGATGAATTTTAGTTGTTAAAAAAGTTGTTTTAAGGTATTAAGTCATGGCAAATTTTGTATTTTCTTTAGAATTTTCATATTAGATTATGTGAGGTCCCTGTTTAAGTTTCGCACAGGGCCCTCAAAATCTCAGGACCGGCCCTAAGTGACAGTTGTCGGTAGTAATGCTAGTTTCTTAAAGCCATTGTGCACTTGATTAAGACCAAAAAGGCGCTATTTGAATTCTGAGACCTTTGCCCCAGTAGTCAAGATTAACATTATCAAAGTTCTATTATCTCTAGTAGCAAATCTCGATTTTGATGTCAAAAATGCATTCCTACATGGAGACTTGGAAGAAGTATATATGGACCTACCACTAGGATGTAATTTAGCGCGTGACAAGAAGAATCACGTTAACAAGCTCAAAAAGTCATTATATGGAGTATATTAATTTTGAGCTGATATTTGATTGTCTTCTTAACTTCAATCATATCAATGCAATGAAATATTTATATGAATAGTTGTTGTGAAATGACCATTCTACAAAAAGTCACTCAGTAATTTAGATACTAGAATACTTCTTTCATCAGACAGCTACTTCGATTTGACACCGGAATGCTTAATGATATGCAAAAGAAAAATTCTTATCTAAGCGACCATCATTTTCTAGGAGCGTATTATGTTCCCACGTTCCATTAGCTATGATATTTGACCACATGTCTTTTCAGGGATCTGTCGTACAATAGCTTTTCAGACGTAGTGCATAATCGAGATCATCTGTAAGAAAAATCCTTATCTAAGCGACCATCATTTTCTAGGAGCGTATTATGTTCCCACGTTCCATTAGCTATGATATTTGACCACATGTCTTTTCAGGGATCTGTCGTACAATAGCTTTTCAGACGTAGTGCATAATCGAGATCATCTGTAAGAATTGGCATTAATTTTCTTTTTCTGTTGTTACCAATCTAGTTGCGCGTGGAATTATGATGAGATCGTTTTCCATACATTTCAGGAACTTGTTTGCCTGCTGCAGCAGTTCAAGTTCAACCGATCCAGATCAACTATTTGTGTATGTTAATATTTTTATCTGTTCTAGTATAAGAAAAGCCAAGGGCCATTTCTTACAAATTCGGTGGTTTATTCAGGGATCCAAAGAAACGCATGCATACGCATTGTCCTGGACGAAAATCTAAATGTGAGTTTGGTTGGTTCTTCAGACGTGTATACAATCACACAGAACTTTACCTAAAGGATTCCTGATTGAAAATTGGCACCGTTAAATAAAATATAAAAAACAGCGACGTTAAATACTTCAACAATATCATTTTGTCTGGTGAGGACTTGTATATTATCTCTTGGAAGAAGTTTGTAATAGTTTTATAAAGCATGATAAGAGGGTATGAATTTTGTAAATGATTGGTTACATAAGCATAATCTGAACTCTAACAATCCCTTTCTGACTAACATTTGCAGCTCCTTCCTTGTTTATAAATTGTGGTGGTGAGGGATTAAATGTTGGTGACAAGTATTATGAAGCAGATAACTCAACTTCACTCTATTATATTAGTCCTTCCAAAACCTGGGGTTATAGCCTTTCTGGAGACTTCTTATCACCGGATTCAAATTCTAGTAATTTCATACAGACCCAGTCATATGGAATTCATGTTGCTGAGTCAGAGTTATATTTTAATGCTCGGATTGCCCCCGTCTTCCTAAGTTATTATGCTTTCTGCTTACAGAAAGGCAAATATAACGTGACCCTTCACTTTGCTGAAATAGTATTCGGGGAGAAGGAATCATATAGTAAACTAAAGAGACGGGTATTTGACGTTTATATCCAGGTAATTAAGAGCTGATGTCATTCAATTATTTGTCACTAAATTGAGTACCATCAACTGAAATCTTTATATAAGAAGTGTTTGTTGTAGGATGAGAGAAAGCTAATGAATTTCGACATCGCAAAAGAGGCAAGGGGTCCAGATGGACCTCTAACCAGATATTTCATAGCTGATGTTAATGATAGTGTATTGAAGATCTCCTTCTACTGGGCTGGAAAGGGAAGTACAGACGACCTGCCTACTCTGAATGGACCTCTTATTTCTGCTATTTCCATAACTCCAGGTGATTCAAAAGGCTATGACTTTAGTTTCTTCTGGTTGGTTCCAAGCTACAGTTGAACCCCTCATGTGTGCTTCAAGGTTGCAAGCAGGCAGTTTTCATTTCAGTTAATTGGTTTAATCTTGTTAGACAGCATATATATACTGAATTAATTTGACAATCTTTCAAAGAAGTTTGACTTTTCTCTTGCTGTTATCCCCTCCTTCGATGAAATATCACTTCGAAGGTCCCCAACGCTCTGCATTGTGGCGAAAATTGAAGAAAGCATTGATTATTACTCTACCTTCAAGTGTAGTTGTTCTATTGCTTCTATTAGCTTTCATGTGGAAAATGGGCTGGCTGGGGAAAAGAGAGTTGAGAGGTGAGTGAAGCTACAACTACACTGCACCATGCCCTTTTTCAAGAATTCTTATTGCCTAGTTAACATGCCATATTTGATTTTTCCCGGAACAGATATACAGATAGGCCAAGATAAACATGTTACCCTTAAAGAATTAATAGGTGCAACTCGAAAGTTTAGCAGCAAAATGGAGATCGGTAGAGGGCATTTTGGAAGGGTTTATAAGGTATACTTTTACATTGTGAACTTAATTTGTGGTAGAAATATGATATTAGGGTGGGGTATTTTTTGAATGTTGCAAATTTATTCAGATATATAACATTTGTCTATTGTGTTGATGCAGGCTGAACTGGAAGGTGGTCAAACTACTGTAGCTGTTAAAAGACTTTCTACTCACTCAAAAGAAAAAGTTGAGGGATTATTAAATGAATTCTATGCCTTAAAGTCATTCAGGCATGAGAACCTTGTTCAATTGTTGGATGCTTATTTTGGAGAAGAGATGCATTTGCTCATCTATGAATATATGCCAAACCTGTCCGTTGCAGACGCATTTTTTGGTAATTCATCTTTTCTCCTCCCTTTTCTAATTTTTCAAGCACAACATCAAATTGTTTTATTCTATATTATAGGAGCAGTATACTTCCTCCTTTTGTGTACAAATAGGGATACTTACATTCATTTGAGCTTAGCCAACATATTCCTCTTCCTACCGTGTATTGCTTTTATATTAAGAAATAAGATCCGGTACTCACTCGTCATTGAAATACCATCTAAATACTATTAGGTGACGCATACCAGATGTCATCTTTTGAGAAAACTTTCCACGACACCCCCATTCGACGACGCATATTACGATACTTACCCCGAGTCATTAAATGCCTTCCATGATGCAAATCAGGTGTCATGAAAGGGTTTTTCTGTTGTAGTGACTTGTGTTTTCTGTGCTGATACAGTGTTTATGACAAAAACAAAGTCGTTTACGGTTTAGACTAAACTGGAGGAATATATGCATAGAATGCTAAAGCGGTCATCATTCATGTGACTTGCAGGCTCGAAGTCCAGATTGAAGTTTAGTTGGGAAAATAGATTTAACATTTGCCTGGGAATAGCGAGGGGTTTAGATCATCTTCATGAGCACCCTAGACTCAAGATGGTTCATAGGGATATCAAAGCTGAAAATATCCTCCTTGATGGAGCTCTTAATGCTAAGATCTCAGACTTTGGAATGGCAAGACTGTATACCGAGGAAGAACAACTTATGATCATCAAAGTGGAAGCACCAAAGTAAGTGTACAAAAAACAAATACCTTTCGCTTTCTGAAACTCTGTATAAAATAATACCATGAAATTCAACTTTACGGGTGCATTATGCAAATATAATTTGAATTTATGCTTTATTGTTGTTGACGCAGCGGACATATGGCACCTGAGTATGTAGTTCAAGGTTTTGTAACAAGCAAAGTTGATGTTTACAGTTTTGGGGTGGTTATACTCGAAATTGTTAGTGGGAAGAAAAATGTAGGATACAAATTTAACCATGAGAGTGAGTATCTCTTGGACATGGTAAGTAAAACTGACAGGACGTACGGTATTTTGTAATTCCTCCTACTTTAAAGTGAACATGCACACTTTGAATTCTAAACCCACATCATTTTACTGCAGGCTTATGTTGCATATAAAAATGGAAGCCTCGTGGACTTGGTGGATAAAAATTTGTCCGGTATTTATGATGCAAAACAAGCCATCACCATCTTAACCTTGGCCGTGATGTGCACGAATATATCTCCTACTTTAAGGCCAAGAATGGCAGACGTTGTGAGTATTCTTGTTGGTGAGAAAACCTTTGAGCAGATTAATCCCCCTACAGCGGATGATCATCAGCTTAATGTTGCCATGGCTCATGGTGAATGTACCAAAGCTGATTCTTCTACTTCCACAGACGTGACCGCAACTGCAAGGGCATCAACTTCAACTAAATTAATCAGGGGGATAGATGAAACAGAAACTCATTATGCAGAACCCGATCTTGAAATATTGAAAGAGAGTCAGAACTCACATTAGATATGCATCGTATTTGGATTTTGGTGTTGCTGAAACCATCTTTCAGCGGATGACAATTATGGCGGAGTAGTTATAAAGGCAGTTGCAGTTTGTTTTGTGTTAGATTGTTGAATATTGTTCTGCATTATGTACATGCAGTCGGACTTCTTTATGAAGCCAATAAGGATATTGTTTCAGGTTTTGTTCTCTGCATTATGCATGTCACATATTTTGAACAACTACAATGAAACAGAAAAAAGCGAGAAAAACCATTTATTGGACTTGAGAATTTAGTAATTAGCATGAGCATGTATGATCCTTGTCTCTTTTTAGGACAAATGGGGGATTCAAAGGTGGAAAAGAAGGATTTTCCTTTAATACACATGACAAGTCTCTACTTTACTCTTTTCTTAACCGAGAGTGTTTAAACATAGAGGCTCTGCCTTTTCTGTAGTCTTATCTCCCTCATTTCCTTCTTTCGAGTGACTGGATGTTTTCCCAGCCGCCCTTTGAGGCGGCTCCTCCCCTTTTTCTTTTTCTCTTTGGTTGGTTCTTCTTCTTCTCCTCTCTTCTGTCTTTTTTGACCATACCCTTTAAAATCAGCCCAAAATGAACTATGGGATGGCTCTCAGCCGGTCGCCTAAAAAAAAACTAGTACATTGGCACGCGCATCACACATGTCAATTAGCCTCTTTTTTTTTGTTAAACAAATAAAATCTATTTTGTATATGGGACCTTTCTTTATTACAGAGGTAGTCAGCAATGTAGTCCGTAAATATCGTACAAATATTATTATTATTATTATCCTCTTTTACTAAATTAAAATATTTAAATTTACTAATATTATCCTCATTTAATATATTATTTTCTTCCTTAATATTTTAATTAGCTAAGAGTATTTTGGGATTTTATATATTTCACCAAAGTTTTTCCCTTTATATATACTAGGGCGCTTGTGTCAATTGACAGTTTTTGTTTTTTGTTTTTTTCATTTTAGTTTTATGAAAGGGAAAACTTGATATGCTTGCATCCCGTGAAAATAAAAGCCATTTTTCAGTTTTAACAAATGGTTTCTGTTTTTGACCCAAAAAAAGACGTCTAACCAATCTACATGAGACGAGAGATCAAACTCAAGTCTCGTCTCAAGTGCAAAAGTGGACTCACTGCCTTAACCCTTTTTTTTGTTTTTTTTGTTGTTGTTGTCAAGGAGTCACTGCCTTAACATATGTGGTTTCGTTTCTTAGCTAACCATATCTTTTTGAATTTCAAAGTTTTTTCAATCCAAAAAAAATAAAAGAATTATGAAAGTTTCATTTTAAGGCATTAACAGAAGAAACTCACATTTTCATAATATCCGAAATTCTGTGTACAAATTCCCACTTGATCAATAAATAAAACAAGCTACAACAACTAGTGGTTTTATTTTGTCTGTATATATTGATAATCAAGAATATGAAGAAGAGGAGAGTATGAAGATCGAGGATAAGAGGTAGTGGCGTTATGGTGGGTTTCTGGCACAGATTGGGGACCAAAGGCAAAGCCTTTTACTCAGCGACGATCTCACCGCCATGTTCAAGCCCTCTCACTCTCCCTCACATTTGGGTTCCCACCCAAACCTCCCATCGTCCCCTCTCATCTGGGTTTCACCGTAAGTGCATTTCTACACCACATTTATGTTCCTCAGCTCATAGAAAATCATGGGTCTCTCTGTTTTAGCTTCATTGATTGATTGATTGAATGATTGAATGAGTGGTTGTTGATTGTTGTTGTATCCAAAGCTGTGAAAACAGGAGCTACAGGGCAGACTCGGAGTGCTGCTGAAATAATGAGCGGAAAGCCAATTGCAAAAGACATAAATTTGAGAGTAGCTGCTGAAATAAGCAGAATGAAAGCTGCCATTGGAAGACTTCCTGGGTTGGCTGTGGTTTTGGTGGGCTACAGAGAGGACTCACACGCTTATGTCCATATGAAGTTAAAAGCTTGTAATGAAGTTGGGATTGAAACTTCCTTTGTACAACTGCCTCAAGATTGTACTCAAGATCGACTTATTGATGTTGTTTCAAGTTTTAACAGCAACGCATCTGTGCACGGTATAATTGTTCAACTTCCTCTGCCACAGGTACCAACTCGTTGGAGTTAATTTAGAATTATTGCTTCAAATTGGGTTTTGTATTCTTAATTTCTTCTAGTTCTAGTCATGTGATTTGGTTTTGGCTTTTTGGGTTTCTAAAAATATTGTACATTAACTTGTTTGATTCAGCATTTGGATGAGGAAACGATTATAAATTTCGTGAGTCCGGAAAAAGATGTGGATGGCTTTCATCCCCTCAATATGGGGAATCTTGCATTGCGGGGAAGGGAGCCGTTATTCATCCCTTGTACCCCTAAGGCTTGCATTGAGTTGTTGCTCAGATATCGTGTGGAGATCATTGGGAAGAATGCAGTGGTAATAGGGAGAAGCAAGGTTGCTGGGTTATCCACTTCTTTCCTCTTGCAGGTGACACATATTTTTGTTCTCTACTGTATAGACATCATAATGTTTGAATAATTTTTCAATGATGCTCCATTAGTCCTGGACAGAGGCACCACGCGACGGTTAGCACTCTCCATTCATTCACCAACAACCCAGAACAAATTACTCGTCGAGCTGATATTGTTGTATCAGATGTTGGCATTCCAAATATAGTCGGATGCGATTGGCTGATGCCAGGGGCAGTTGTAGTCGACATGGGGACAAATTCAGTTAAGGTAAATTATCTTGTTTCTATCTAACTTTCAGATCAAATGAGGATTATATCTGTGCACAGTCATAAACATTTCTTTCTTAGGTTGTTGTGAAGTTTGGTAAGTTTTCCTGTCCATTTAAGTGCAATAACAAAGGAACAAACTACTGTTCATCTGCCAAGAAAGCAGTCATTTCTGGTTGCGATTACCATAAAATACTCAATGCACCAGCATTAGAGGGTGCATTGGAAAAAAGTATCCCAAATCTTTTTATTCTATATCTTTTGTCCAAAACGGAACATTGAAAGTATATATTACTTCAAAATCCCCTCCCGCAAAATGCATTTTAAAAATAGAATTTTGCTAGAGAAACTAGATTTGTATGATCATAAGAATTTGTATCTATCAGATTTTACCTTCTTTACTCATGTGTGGTCATAAAGGAAGACTCAACTGCTTCAGCCTCAGATGAGTCATGACTGTAGTAGACCATAATGATATTTATTGTTTCATTAAATGTAGAAAAGTACTTTTGAAGGCCTGATGGTGGACTGAATCAATATCCATCTAGAGTAGACATTAATCTCTAAAGCAAGTCTAAATTCCAAAGAGTGTAAGAGTTTACTCATCCACATATTTAGATGAAGTTTCATATAAGTTCTTTAGTCGTATCATTGCATTAGGGGTTGGAGCTAGGACTATATCCTTAATTATGCCTTACCTTCTAACCATTAGTTGTCACTATTACTATATTACCTAACTGTCACTAGTTACTGTATTGTTGAACATCTATTAATGTGTAAATCAACCAGAACCACGTGAGTAGTATAGAAAACTGCGGCCATAACTTGGTTTGAGAAATTTATCCTTTACATAGGCCCTAGACCTCTAACATACAAGAGTTTTGTTCCTTCAGTGGTTGTCTTTGATAAATAGTAAAAATGCTTGTTATTTTTATTTTAATATTGGAAATGACAGTGTCATTAAAACAAAGTGACTTTGCATGGCCATAGGAGTATGTAACTATTAGTAAGTGTATTCTGGGTCTTTGTGTTTTTTATAGGGTTTTAAAGGATGGTCATGATTAGTTTGATTTTTAAGGACTAGGATTTATTATTATTAACCAGCCGAAGTCTACAAATAAGCTTGTGATCTCTTGTTCTTTGTAGTAAATGAATTTTGATGTAAAATTAGGCTAGTTGTGTTTCAAGGCATAGCTACCTACTATTAAAGACTAGGATATTATTATCTAGAGGTGTTAGTCTAAATGTTGATAAAGACTACAACATGCTTATGCACAAGTGTATGCATTGTTGTGTCTTTCCCGTCTTGCTTATTTTTCTCAGTTGCCTTCATTTCTTTGTCCTACTTGCCCTCTGAATTGCCTGATATCCAATTGAATTTCTCATTCTTAGTAGATCTGGTTCACCTGTCATAGATCCCTAATTTACCCCCAAATTCTTTCATAAGCCAAACCCTAATTGGACTCCTCAGTTTCACATCAACCCCTAACCCTAAAGTTTACAGTTTAAGCTAGAAGTGCCGATGGTTTGTGCTGTTTTGAATCAACTATAGAACATCAAGTATGTTATGTCAAGGATTTTAAATAGCAGAGGGTAAGTGGTAATCCATGTTCGCTTCCCATTATTAATAGACAAACTGGACTGCAATGTGCTCAATGAGAAAGCCATTTCTCAATGAGGGCATTGATCTTGTTCTCTCGATGTGCAGCACCAATTTGTTTTGGCATATGGACAGATATTGTATTGCATGATAAGTGCCAAGAAAAACAATGCATTACATAGAGTCTTCAATGTTATATCACAAGTACAGAAGCCATCAAGGAAAATAAATTTTCACCGCCACATCTCATGTCAAATTTGTAAACGTGTGTTTTTGCATGCCAATAAAGAAATACAGTGATATTTCACTAGGATATAAACTTGTCTGCGTATTTGGTTTGAATTCTTGGGCTTGCTTTGTCATGATGGATGTGTCATAATATGCAGGATCCCAATAGTCCCCGAGGGTTCCGTACCACCGGAGATGTTTGCTATGAAGAGGCAATTAAGGTGGTGTCAGCCATAACTCCTGTGCCAGGAGGAGTTGGACCTGTTGTAATCTCAATGCTCCTCTGCAACACCCTTGACTCTGCAAAGCGAGCTTACGGATTCACTTGATATTTTCTCCTAAGAAGGGAATGTATATGTGACTGGTCGGGACATGACTTGCGGGGTTTAAAATTGGAAATACATAGATTGAGAGCAATTTAACTTTAATTCTATTGCTTTTGTTTACGTTTTTACTAGTAGTTTGGCACATGTTATGGTATGCATGTGAGAGTTATTGCTTGGAAAGTCGAGAAGAAAGGCAAGATGGATTAGTGGGAGAAAAATATGAGAGTATTTTATTTATTTATTTAGTAGTTATTAGTCACTATGTTGCTCTTACTATATTACCTTCTTTTTATTGAGTGTAATTTAAATATTTGTTTGGCTACTTAAAATTGAGGAGGAGTTCCTCCGCACAACAATGGAACTTCGACATTTGTCAGCTCCTTTAACTGTTTTATTTGGAATTTGATTTGGTGTGAGGAGGAGCTCCATCTCATTTGTAAGGAGTTAAGCAATAGGGCATTGTTCTTTCTTAATTAATACTAAAGATTACCACTTTATGTTCAGTTAGGTTTTACCAAAAATCATGAAGAAAATCAAATGGAACTAAACCACTATTGTTTTTTTTCATGGAACTAAACCACTATTGGGTTTAGGCAGTTTCAGCCTAAGCGTGATTTCTGTAAAATAAAATATAAACAAAAATATATAAATGGCTAGTCTGCTTCAATATAGGGCCTGTTTGGGTGTGCTTTTGGAAGAGCCAAAAGCGCTTCTAGTTATCAGAAAGCGCTTCTGACAGCATTTGGCAGAAAAGTTTAGAAGCGCTTCTGGGTCATAGAAGCGCTTCCTGGAGAAGAACCTACTATGTGCTTCTTCAGGAAGCACTAGGTTCTTCTCCAGGAAGCACTCCCAAGTGCTTTTCCACAAAGCACTTTAATTTTTTATGAAAATTTTAAATTTTTATAATAAAAGCACTTTTGTTAGAAGCGCTTATGAGTAGAAGTACTTCCTAGAGAAGTAGTCCCAAACGAGCCCTTAGGGCAGTTTACGAAAGCTTAAACCCGCAACCAAACTAAACAATTACAATCGGATTTGATTTTTTTTATTATTGTCAAAACCAAAAAACAAAAACAAAAAAAACAAGTGAATATGGCAAAACATAGAAACTCTATGAATATGACAAAACATAGAAACCCCGTGAACATAGAAAGGCAAGGCAAAGAATATAGAAACCATGTGAACACGACAATGGCAAGGCAAAACAAAACCCTAAAAAGAGGGTAAGGCAAGCACACGTCATAAGAAACCCAAGGCTCTTATACAACATTAAATTTCAGAGAGACGGGTCTTTGATGTATGATTTACATATGTACCTGAAAGGTAATGATGATCATTATCAATTTGCACGTCTTGCTCAGTTTGCACAAATGAGAAAAAAGAAAGATATAGTTGAAATAAAAAGTGAAGTTGATAAGTATTTGCTAGATCGTGCTAAAAATATTGAAAGTGAACAAAAGTTTGACACACTTAATTGGTAGAGGGTAAATTCCACTAGATATCATGTTTTATCTCTTCTTGCTGTAGATGTGTTTGCTGTTCCAGTTTCAACAGTGGCCTCCGAGTCTGCTTTTAGCATTGGAGGTAGAATCATAGATCATTTCAGGAGTTCCTTGACTCCTAAGATGGTTGAGGCACTTACTTGTGGGCAAAATTGGCTGCGATCTTTTCCTATATCATTGGACAGTGAACTATTTGCTGAAGAGATGGAATTTTATGAGCAAGTCGAGTCAGGTATGCCATCTATATTATATTGGTTTTCTTATTGAAATTAGAGGATCAGGTGCAGTTCTTGACTTAGTTATTTTGAGGAGATGAAGACATGTATATGATGTGTTATGCTAAACATCATCATACTTTAACTATTGAAGGAGGTTGCAAAGTTAGACTAGGCCTTCAAATATTTTAGAACAATGACTTATGTATTTGGATAATGTTTCAAGGTCTGTCATACTCTTATATTTTGATTTATTTTGCTAGCAGCTTGGCCTTTTATCTTGATTTATTTTGCTGGAATTTTATACATTGAAATTGCAATTTGTATGAACACCTTTGAGAAGCCAGAAGCGAATTAACTCAAAAGGTTGAAATCAAGCCTAAATAGATCAGCCACTGCCTTACTGAGTTCTCAATTTTGTCAAGTATAGTAGGCATGGTATCAGTGCCACTACTTGCTGCTGAGTTCTTAATTGAATTCATGGCCACAATTACTGATGAATACAAGAACTCATTGAGTGAGCCAAGAACTCAGCGGGCCCACGCGAGAGTCTCAAGTAAGGTCCCATGTTGTAGACTTAGGCTTGGACGCATCATGAGTAAGAGAAAAGCTCCAAATTTTCACTGTGAATCGTTGAAGCTTTGCAGGAAAAATAGGAAATTCAATTGAGGGTGTGGGTGTTGTTTATGCCTTAGCAGAGTAATAGTGGGGTTTCTAAAATTTCATTGATGCTTTTTTACTTCAACTTTGATTTAGATATAATTTTCGTTGAGTTTTGAACTAAATATAGAGACTCGGGATGAAGCGAAATACAGGCAATGCGTAGACTCTTGTAAACCGTGACTCCTTCTCCGAAAGAAGATCTGCACACTTCGAATGATATCAGAATTAGGGCAGACTAGGGTTGATTCCAGCCTAACCCTCTCCGATGGTTAAGTCAGGAACTAACTTTTGCTAAAGAGAATGGAGGTAGGGTTTGTATTCTGTGTAGAGTTATTTATTATGTTTAGAGATAGGTGAGGGGTATTTATAGGAGGGAGAAAGGGAGGTCAAGATATTTTTGGAAGAGATCTTTTCCCTATCTTGAGTTGCATTTAATGTTCTGTTCCAGACCACCATACTGCTTTGACAGGAGTCAAAAAGAGAAGTGACAAGTGTACATGGATGGAAAATATAATAAATGATCCATCTCCATCACCAGCCTGTCCATTTAGAAATATCAAGGTAAGACGACATCTGGTCAATGATGGGACGTGCATCCAACTGATCCCCTTTACTTGCTAGCTTTATTTATCGCAGAGGTAGAGTGGTCATCTTGGCGAAAGTTTGATCGAGTTTGTTGGTCGCCCATGCACCTCCATTTACCCATGATTTGATACGTGCCTACACATCAGATCACTAGTTCGACACCGTACTCGACTGGTCGGTACACAGGTGATATGGTCTGTTGTAGTCATAATGGAACTTCTGATGGGCTCGGCTCATAGAGATGGTATGAGATATCAATAACTCTAAATATAGAGACTCGGGATCCTTAATATATGAGAACTTGAATTTTAAAGTTTTTTTTTCTTATCCACAATTTTTTTCTTAATTCTTTTTGAACATGGAAAATGCTAGATGCACCAACTTTGGGCACCAACTCTCTAATAGAGCGTGGGACCCGGTGTATTGGCGGGCTCCACCTCTATTAGAGAGTTGGTGCTCAAGTTGGTGCCCAAAGTTGGTGCCTCTAGCACCACCCTTTGAACATACTCAGCTCCACAAAACCAACCGAGTCAACTCGATCAAAAGAGGGTTGAGCTGAGTTGGATTGGTCTAATAATAAGCGGGTCTTGGGTTAAAAAATTGGTAAACCGCATACAGGAGCGAGGCAAGAATAAAGCAAAGTTAGTGTGGATAGAGAGAGGGAAAAAGGAATGGCAACGAACCTTTTCAAATGCAGTACTGGCATCGGCGTCCGCCTGCTATTCCCCTTTTCCCATTCTGAGCTTCCTCTTAATTTCCATCAAATTAATTCTGCCATTAAGGGTAACTATCATCATCTTCGTCTTCACAACAAAAAACCCAAACTACCTTCTGCAAGAAGTCTGCTCTGGCACTCATCTTCTTCCTTTTGCACCGCCGCCTCGGCCACCGATGCTTCTGCCACAGGTGCTTCTGGGGCAGTGAGCGATGCTTCTATTGATGAGGCGGTGCCGCCGGTGAGCGACGTCGAGGACCAAAAACGGAAGATAAGGGATGCAGCCGACGTGCTCGACATAAGGGTTGGCCGAGTTCTCAAGGCATGGAGGCATGAGGAGGCTGATTCTCTTTATGTCGAAGAGGTCGACATCGGCGAGCCTGAACCCAGAACCATCTGCAGTGGCCTTGTCAAATATGTTCCTCTTGATCACCTTCAGGTACCCAAAATACTTAAATTTAAGTCCTTTAGCTTATATGTAGCCAATTGGGATTGCAAAGGGTAATGTAGAATTGGAGTAGGTGGAGATTATTCTTGTGTTAGAGAATGGAGAATGATCACTTTGAAAATTGTATTCAATGTGATTTTGTTTGGTTTGATGCAGGATAGAAATGTAGTTGTGCTTGCTAATCTGAAGCCCAGGAACATGCGTGGTGTTAAGTCTAGTGGAATGCTTTTGGCAGCTTCTGATGCTTCCCATGAGAATGTTGAGCTTCTTGTGCCTCCTGAGGGTTCACTACCGGGCCAAAGAGTATGGTTTGGATCTGAAGATGATCATCAAAATCAGCCTCCTCCTGCCACAGCTAACCAGGTACTCCCCGTGTCCAATTCTCAAATGCTGAATTTATCATTTCCAAGCTGCAAAAATGCTAATATCATTCAAAAGCTAGTCACCCTTCATGAAAAATTCAAATCAATGTTTGAGCTCAAGCAAATACATGCTCTGCTCCTCACTTGTGGCCTCTCCCAAGAACAGTCTTTGACGTCCAAAATCCTTTCTTTCTCGGCGCTGTCCGATTTGGGTAACATCGACTACTCATATCGGGTTTTGTCACAACTCCCCAACCCAACAATTTTTGACTGGAACACCGTTATTAGAGGTTACTCCAAGAGCAAAAACCCAAACCGTTCCATATCTGTCTTTGTCAAAATGTTGCGTGATGGGGTCTCACCAGACTACTTAACGTACCCTTTTCTTGCAAAGGCATCAGCCCGCTTATTGAAGCGAGAACTTGGTGTGGCTGTGCATGCCCACATTGCTAAAAATGGTTTTGAGTTTGATAGGTTCATAAGTAATTCCTTGATTCATATGTACGCTGCCTGTGGGGATATCACATATGCACGTAAGGTGTTCGATGGAATTTTTGTGAAAAACTCAGTTTCTTGGAATTCCATGTTGGATGGGTATGCAAAGTGTGGAGATGTGATTTCAGCACGAGAAGTGTTTGATTTGATGCCAAAGCGTGATGTTGTGTCATGGAGTTCTTTGATTGATGGGTATGTTAAGGCTGGGGACTATAGGGAGGCCTTGGTAGTATTTGATAGAATGCGGGTTGTGGGGCCTAAAGCAAATGAGGTGACTATGGTGAGTGTTTTGTGTGCATGTACACACTTAGGCGCTCTTGAGGAAGGGAAGGTCATGCATCGCTATATGGTTGATAATAAGTTGCCGTTAACTTTGGTGTTGCAAACATCGCTTGTGGACATGTATGCAAAATGTGGGGCGATAGAGGATGCTTTAGGTGTGTTTCGTGGGGGTTCGCTGCACCGATCTGATGTGTTGATGTGGAATGCAATGATTGGAGGACTTGCAATACATGGATTAGTTCAACAGGCACTTGAAATTTTTTCGGAAATGCAAATAATTGGGATTGTCCCAGATGAGATAACGTACTTGTGCTTGTTGAGTGCTTGTGCCCATGGGGGATTAGTAAAGGAAGCATGGCATTTCTTTGAATGTCTTGGTAAACATGGTATGAAACCCAAGTGCGAGCACTATGCTTGCATGGTGGATGTTTTAGCACGTGGAGGCCAGGTAACAGAGGCACACCAATTTATTTGTCAAATGCCCAGGGAGCCAACAGCTTCAATGCTAGGTGCTTTACTTAGTGGGTGTGTGAACCATGGAAAATTAGATCTTGCAGAAATTGTTGGAAGGAAGCTTATAGAGATAGAGCCAGGTCATGATGGTAGATATGTTGGTTTGTCAAATGTTTATGCTCTTTCCAAACGCTGGGATGATGCGAGAAGCCTGAGAGAAGCCATGGAAAGGAGAGGGGTGAAGAAGTCCCCTGGGTTTAGTATTGTGGAGATATTTGGAACCCTTCACAAATTTATAGCTCACGATAAATCATATCCTGAATCGGATGAAATTTATATGACGCTGAGTTCTATTGTGAATGAAATTAAGTTTGATATGGATTATAGAAATCAAGATTATTTGTTGTATGCAATGGAAAATTTCTAGTTTCATTGAGTTTTTTGGAACTCAAACCTGGGTGTTGAGGCCTTTTAAGGAGTATATTTCTCGGGAAAAGTCTGAGGATAATCAATCTATTCCTTCAGATTGGTGTAGTCATCACAAAGCTCATGCTGGACCGATAAGAAAATCCCTGCAATTCTCACATCAAGTGGACACAAGGCTGGAAAGTTGATACCGTTTCTAGATTCGTCAATTTCTATGGAGAAGCTGTACTAATTCCATCCATCTGCACTACTTCTATATGTCCTGTCTCCAATGAGTATCCATAGACATTTGAACATATCTTACTACTCTGTCCTTGGACTGTGGGGTTTTGGTTTGGGGTACCTTTTGGCTACAAAGTGGATTGATCAACTATTCCTACCATGGATGACTGGCTGCTCCAAGTTTTACTCACCCATATGTGAATATATTTGCAAGAAAAGAATTACAGAGTTGGATTCCTTTTACCTTGTGGCATATATGGAAACCCAGGTGTGACTGCCTCTTACAAAGTGTGTGCTGTTGTCAAGGAACGGCTGATCATGTAAGGTCAAAAAGTGAGCAATGTAGTACGCATGTTTCAACAGCAACCCATCCTTCTAGTTGGTGGGAACCTCCGAATGAATAAGAGGTTAAAATCTACTTTGATGGTGCTTGTGAACCAGGAGGGTTGGCAGGATCAGCTGCTGTTTCCAGGGAGTCTTTAGGACGGTTACATGGTGGAAAGTCAATAGCCTTCTTTTCATCATGAGTGCTATGAGCTGAGACTGTAGCTGCGCGGAAGGGATTGACTTGGGCAAAGTCAGAGATCAAATATGGAAACAAAAATGAGCAACTGTTCAAGTCTATCACAAAGGAAAAAAGACAGCCAAGGGAAATTTACCCTTTGATGAAAGAGATCTTGCATGTTCATGCAGTGTGCAGCTTGGTCGGGCAGAAGAAAATTCTGCAGTTGATTGGGCTGCTAGGCAAGCAGAACAGGGGATGTGCACAGAAAATTGGGTTTAGCAGGCCCCCATCCTCTCTCCTGATTTTGATAAGACATGGTTTACTATGATCTTTACTGTCGATTGGGGGTTCTTAGTTTCTTTCTAGGGCTTTGTGTTTTCTTCTGTTATTTTTTCTGGTTGTCGTTAGTTTTCTCCTTTTTCTGGTTTGGATTTGTCTCTTGCCATCTGTTTAATGGAATATCAATTGGACCAAAAAAATAAAAAGAATATGCCTTCAGGCCAGAGGCACTGGATTGTATGGAATAGTTGGGAGCATTTTTCTCCATCTATGATATACTTTGTTTTTCATTTATGGTTCTTGCATATCACGATCTGCAGATTCAAAAGAAAAAGATATGGGAATTGGTGCAACCTCATCTGAAGACCGATGATTCTTGTATTGCTATACTTGGGGAGCATGTAATGCGGACATCTGCAGGTGTGGTAATCTCAAGTTCTCTGAAAAACGCAAATATCTCCTAATTGGACTTGGAACTTCATGCTATTAGTCAGTCTCTCCCGCGTTCTTGATACCAATTTGTCATTACTGCCATGTGATGATTTCTTAACTGATTTGTAGAAATTTGGTGCCATATGTTTTCTTTAGTTTGTGACGGTTTCCGAATTTGTCTATTGTCTTATGTATGCCTGTTACCATAACATCTGATTTTGAGGTTTTGTTGTGCATAGTTTTTGTTCTTTTAATGAGAATGAGGCTGTGTTTTCCCATTCCAAATCTGTTATCTTGATTGGATTTCTGAACCTACAGCCTTGGCACGAACATTGCAACGATTCAAGGGTAATCTAGTGAACTTGTGGATTGTTCTCTATTGAAATTGAATGGATAGGTCTTGAGATTTGTGATCCATAATTCAAGTACTCATCCGGAACTTCATTTTCACCTAAGTTTTTTGTGCTTTAATCTGTTTGTGAAAAATGTACCAAAAAACTAATTTGGTCTTACAATCAACCAAACAATTCCACTTACTAGATTTGATTAGATTGCTCCACTGTTATTCAATCTATTATCAAAACTATTAGCAGCGGCTCGAATTTAGAATGGCATGTGCTACGCCTTCCTCAGGAAATTATTGAAAGATTCACCCCACAATAGAGAATAAACTTATCTACATGGGGCTTTCTCCATAAAGTCTGCTTATCCAACCCTTTTTTTCTTTGAATGAGGTGTTGGCGTTGGGAGTTTATTTGGTACTTTCCCTTGCCTCCCAAGTTACATATTTACTTCTACCCTACTTGTTTTACTAGAAGTGGAGATGCAGTATATTCTCAAAGATGGGTTTAAACCTCAACTTTAGGCTAGTTTGAACTACAAGGGGAGCGGGGCTTCTCACACACCCACACTACCAAGTTATCATGGAGGTTCGAATATAAGACCACTGGCCTGCAAGTCAAGATCTTTTTCCACTGAACTAGACCCTGTTGGTGGATCCCTATAATTTTATATGAAAAAGAATGGTTGCCTGGTATTTTGGTCTAATTTTCCATAAATTGTACTGAAGCATGTTAAACACGTTGTGGCCTTGAGTTGAAATTTGCTTTATGTCTCGCTCTATCTAAAATCCAAAATAATTCATTGACTTTTGTTACTATTGTCTGTTGTGTTGAAGGCCCTCCACCGAAGAGTCTTTAAACCAGTATGGTAATGGCCCTAATAGGCCGCATTACTTAAAATAACTCTCTTGGTGTTTTGACTAGGCTGTCCTTTTCTTGATTTCCACTTTGAGATTTAAAAGGTCAAAACCAAATATGAATTCAGTACAACATTGGGCGCCCAAAATTCTCTTATCACATGTTTATAATCTATGTTACAAGTTACAACAGGATACGTATAACCTGGACTGAATTGAAATTGAGTTCAAACGACGTCACTGCTTAATAATTGTACAAATTCTCTCCACGTTCACTTACGCTAGTAGGTTAGGTCAAATATTTCAATCTAATTGACTTAATTAGCAGACATTGAAATCAATTTAATAGTCCAAATTCAAGCAGCCAAGTCAGAAGAGCAAATGACGATGTTAAAGTGGTTGAGTTAATTACAATGTTATAGCACACGCCCCGAGTAGCAACACAAGATCACATGAGAAATGAGGCAGAGAGATGCTTGAAGACATTGTTGGTGGTTTGATCAATTTAATAATCCAATTCAGAAGAGAAAAATTAATGGTGTTTAAGTGCTTCAGTTAATTAATATATATAGTAATTAAATTAACAATAATGCCATGCTTTTCCATGCTTTGTGCTTGATTGATTGATGGTGTTGAACTGAAAACAACATCCAAGTTCTGTTTCACGCCTTCTACCTAATATTTCTATATAAACAATTCATAATCATTGCAAATTCAAAACATGGGAAATGTTTCATTCATATTGTTTCATATTTTGTTTTACAAATTATTATTATATCGAGAAAACGTTCTTTGGCTAAATTATTTAATTCGTGTGAAAAGTGTTCTTGATCCGTACCAGAGAAAGTTTTTTTTTTTTTTTTTTTTTGTTTGGTCATTTTGAGTACAAAAAAAAAGTGGAATAATTGAGATACAGAATCCATATCAAATCTATAATCAGCATTATTATCAATTTGCTATAATTGCTTCACTTCAACTTTCTATGAGTGCAAATGATATCATGTGTGCCATGGCAATTAACAATGAGAATAATTTTCATAATTTAATCTCTGATATCCAAATTAACTTTTCTATCCTTTTGTTTTTGTCAAGGATAATGCCACTGACTGCATATCTCTCTTGAAATAAATGGATTCTCCGGAAAGGCTTTTTTATATTCTATTTTAATCTAATTTAAATTATGGGAACGGAAATTCAAATTCAGGTGTAGAATGGGGAGCACGTCCACTCTAGTTAACTTGGCTAAGCCCAAGTCTGCCCAAGAATGCTATTTTTAAACACTTAAATTGAGAATCATGAATGTAATTATTTGATCATAAGTTGGAATTAAAAACAAATGAACAGTTTATTATTTCCTTAACCAGCCAATGATCAATATATATCTGTATTAATCGACTGTCGTTTCAGTGAAGAAAGAAACAAAATCCCACTGCAGAGCCTTGCGCCTTTAGGCAAAAGATTAATTTGGCGTCTGGTTCAGAACTAGACAGTTATGAGAAGACAACATATTTCCTGTCACGAGGAATCCATGAATTTATTAATTATATGCTCTCAATGTAGCTTTTGGTTAGCACAAGGGAAAAACCTCTTCAACATCTATAGTAGGTGAGCTCCTCCAACTGCTGCATTGGGGCTCACATGGCATGCTTATATTTTGGCAAAGCAAAGCTCTTGACAAATGCGTGTGGTCCTGGCTACAGAAGTAGCTCAGTGCCACATGTAAAGTGCAAGAAAAGATCATACTAAGAGGATATGTAAGAAAGGAAAAGACTCACTCCAATTTTCTTCTCATATATCATGCAACATGAAACCAAAAATTTGTTTAATTATTATTGTGCGAAAACACTCCAAGATTTTACATATCATGCATAATAATAAAGGACACACTAAAAATGTAAAGCAAATACACACAGAGAACATAAAAATTTATAAAAATTCGGCATTACACCTACGGGCCCTTGGTCTAACTAGCTAATCGGTATATAGTTACGATTAAGTCTCTTCTAATTTTCTTCTGACCGTAATTAATTAAGCACTTGACTCTATTAAAAAGACAAAAACAAAAGCCACTAGGGCATAAAATAGGTGGGACATAGCTTGCTTTCAGGCCAACATCCAGGTGCTGCACAGATACTTATCAGATAGCAGTTGGCCTAGAGCCATTAATTATTATTAGGTAAGAGTGAACTGCTAGATTATCATCTGGTTTGGCCCAATAGAATAAACGAAGTTGCATCATGACCAGTAGTTGAATGTCAAAATCAAACGCCGAAGCATGCAACTCATCACCTACACTACAATTGAGACATCAAATCTCACTAATTTGCCTGCAACAGCTCAATAAAATAGATCTGGAACCTCAATTGGAGGGAGCAATTTGAGGTGGGATTGTATTTATGTATGGATTCATAGAATCCAATATTCTGATGGGGAAATAGAAGTTGGAATATTTATGTATAGATTCATAGAATCCACCACCAAATTATATGTGTGGATAGATCATGCTTCAAGCGCAGAGAAAATAATATGTTACTGTTCACCCCCAAAAAAATATATATATGTTACTTCAACACTTATAACGCATGCATGAGACTTGTCGAAGGAATATTGATTTAATAATGCAAATCATGGGGCGGTAGCCCACCTTATCCATGGCCTATTGGAAAATGAAACCTCTGATCTTGCTTCGATGCATAGTCTGAGAGCTGAACATGTTGTCAGTCTGATCCTACATTCTAAATGTAACCGTTAATTTTTTTATAAAAGAAGGCATTACATGCTTTTCAAATTTTTAATAGTTAGTGGTTATGTTTGGCATCGACGGATACAATTACGTGTCTATCTCTCTCGTGCTATCCCACGTTAAATCACATAGACACCAAACATAACCACTAACTAAAATTAACCATGGATGAATAATCCGAGAATAGTTTGACTTCCTGCACACAACGTTTATATACAAAAGCAAAACAAAGTACTGAATTACTCTGCAGATGGTAGGCTGCTGTAGCCTTATGCATACATATATACTCACATAGTTCATGCTTAAAACAACCTAAAAGGAGGGGGCGGAAAACCCCTTTCAGAAGCAAGTCATCTACTTTATTATTTACAGTAGGATAAAGTGACCGACTCATGAGAAAACTATGACATTAATTACTTGATCACAAACCCTTTTGAGCCTTTAATCGCGATTTAACCACACGGGTTAGGGTAATAAGCTAGCATTCTTCTACTGCCAACTAATGCTAATTAACATGCCCCCTTGAAAGGCAAACTAAACTAGCTAGCTAGGGACTTTTACAAGACTATACATCAAAAACATATATAATATTGCTGCATGATCCATAATGTTGGGCTGCTCAGCCTTTTCTTTCCTGAATTCGAACGGGCAGGCCGCCCCTCACAGTGGCGGTGAGGCCAGGGGCGAACCGCGGTGTGCGATCAGGTTCGGAAACCTGAATATCAAACCTCCGAACAAGCGCCACCGCGACACTTTTCATTTCCAAGAGCGCCAATTCCTTGCCCAAGCAAACCCTCTCCCCGCCTTGGAAAACCGGATAATTAAAGGGGCTCTCGGGCGTGAAGAGTCCATTCTTCAGCCACCTCTCGGGCTTGAATTCGAGACAATCAGAACCCCAAACCCGCTCCATCCTGCCCATGGCGTACTGATGGTACGTAACTCTGGTCCCACTCTGTACAAAAGTACCATCTGGCAGCACATCATCCTCTTGGCAATACTTGGAGTCGAATTGTATTGGCGGGTACAGCCTCATGGTCTCATAAATCACCGCATGCAAGTAGGGCATTTCCCTCATTTGCTCAAAACTCGCAACCCAAGATCTAGATCCGGATCCACTCCGACCCATGATCCGATCCGACTCCTCTAGAATGGCCCGTTTGACTTCCGGGTGCTGAGAGAGCAAATAAAACAAACTGGTCAACCCGGAAGCGATGGTGTCCCGACCCGCCAACAGAAAGCTCACGACAATGTCCCGGAGATACTGATCGTCGTCAATGTTGGCCATAAACCGAGAGAGAAGATCCTTTTGTGTCGAAAAATTACCCATTTCGCGGCGCTGCTCGATCATGCTCTTGGCCAAGCTGTCCACCATCTTGACGGCGTCCCTCAGCTGCCTCTCCGAGCCAATGTTGAAGAATCTCTTGATCTTCCACACGATCGGTGATGACGTCATCGCCCGCTCCGCGGAGAGCTTCGACGCGGTGTCGAATGCCACGGCGAAGTCCGAAATGGGCAGCGACAGCTGGAGACAGCCCGGGTCCAGCCCGAAGGAGAATTTACAAATATTATCGAACGAAAACCGCCGAAAGAGGTCCTGCAAGTCAACGGCGCTGTTTCGGTCTTCGGCAAATGAGGCCAGCAGCGGAATTAGCCTTGATTGGATTTGGGAGCTCACGATCTCGAGCGCGTAGGAGCGGACGGAGACGCTGCCGAGCTCCAGGCTTGCCATTTTGCGCTGGAACAACCACGCGTTGCCGTCGACGTTGAAGATGCCGCGGCCCAGAAGATCGCCGAGGATTGTGGTGAATGGCTTGCCTTTGGGGTAGTTGTGAAACTTGGTTTTGAGGATGTGCTCCACGTTCTCGGGGTCGGCGGTGATGACGTTGCCGAGGACGTGGAGGTGGATGGTTCCGGTGGGCGATTTTCTGAGGAGATGCGTGTACCAATCGCAGAGGTTGTCGAAGTCCTTGGACCAGCTGGAGGTGAGGAAGCTCCGGCACACGTGGCAGTTGCAGCATGGGCGGAGCCGGATGATGAAGACAAGTACGGAGAAGAGAGAAAACAGAGCGGTGAAGGAGAAGAAGAAGAGGCAGAAGGCGCTGCCAATGGAGTCCAAAGCAGCCATATTTTTAAGAGAGAGGAGAGAGGAAACTGGTTGGGGATGGATGGTGAAGAGGAAGGTGAGCAAGAAGAAGGTGTTTTTATATTGAAGGAGTGTGGTGGGTGAGGTGATTAAATATCGGGGTGTCTCTCGTGCTGTTTTGGGGATTTGACAAAGTGACAGGCAGTAGCGCAGAAGAAGAAGGGAGGAAAAAACGGCATGAGAAACGCGTGCGCAAAATAACAATTGCGTGATGTCACGCTCGTAGTCACTCGTTTTATTTTTATAGCCCACGTGCTTGTATTTCTTTCTAGATGTAGACTCTCTACTGCATGCGTTACAGTCTCTCTCTCTCTCTCTCTCTCTCTCTTTCTCTCTCCATACAGCTCTCTCTGTTTGTGCCTTTGATGTCGCTTGCGTGGCTTTTTTTGAACTTTTATAATTTTGGTTTTCCTTTTTGGGCCAACGTAACATCTGATGTTGACTTGATGAGAAGGGCCTTGGCTGGCACGAGCTTTGCTACTTGCTGCCTAGTGATTGTTACTACTAAAGCCTCTGCATTTTTTGTTTTCTTATTTTTGTGTGGCTATATACTAGTACTAGACTACTAGCCTATTTAACTTAAACTAAACTCGATCTTTCTTTTGGGAAAAAAACCTAAAACAATAAGGGAACAATAAAATACTTACGCTCATACGCACTTCTAACAAAAGTAATTTTATTATAATAAAAAATCTTGAATTTTTATTAAACAAATTCAATTGCTTACTGAAAAAGCAACTGGGAGTGCTTTTTGAAAAAGCAAATGCTATGTGCTTCTCTCTATGACTTAGAAGCACTTCTAAACTTCTTTGTCAAATATTACCAAAAGCGCTTTTAATTATTATAAAGCACTTTTAACTATTTTAAAAGCACCCTTAAACCGATCCTAAATCAATTATTAATTACTATTAAGGGTTTGACAATTCTTAAAGTTGTTTAATAGTAGTCAGTATCTTTTTGGACAAGTAAGGACAGAGCCCATGTGAACTGTCTTATCCCCTTGCTCTTCAGATTTCCCTCCACTGTATTTTGGGTTGAATTGCAGTGGGTGTTGCAACAACCGAAAAGTGCCTGCGGACTTATTGTACAGTAGTAAAGGTGCGGTAATAGTAAGAGTGAGGTGTTTTTGTACTTTGTTCTGGTCAAAATGTGCTTTTGTACTTGGTGGTCTTTATTGCGCAGTGACAGAAAGTAAAACGTTTCGGCATTCAGTAGTCTGTATTGTACAGTAGCAGCGAAGTATTTCTGGACACAATATTCCCCTAGCACTAAATTGTTGTCCTTGCTTGTTTAAAAAATTATGTTGGACGTCATTGGTAGTTAAAAAATATATATGTGAGAGTTTGTGTGGCATTTAAAAAGTTGTCATGAACCTCTATATCACCAACCCTTGAATTAAAGGGAAAGAAATAAATTGCGAAGATGAGACATACAATATAAATAAATTGAATTAATTAAACAAAAACAATTAGTTCTTAATCTAATAGAATTTCATTTTTAAAATGAAAAGTATTTGAAGTTTTTTTTTAGCGAGATTTGAAGTTTAAATACCCACACCCATGATAATATATATATATATAAAGCAAAAGGCAGACAATGGTAAAACATTCAAAATACCAGAAAATACCATTGGTTAATGCAAACATTAAGAATTGAAATTATTAATTAAATGAGGATAATATGGTAAATTCATATTTTTTTAATATTAAAAAAATAAAAATAAAAACAAAATCATATAATATGTCATACTTTTATGGAATATAACTACCAATGATATCTTTTCTTAATTTTAAAAATAAAATAAAAAGAACAAAAGAAAACCAATTGGCATGTGCCAAGGGACTAGTATATATATATATAAAAAAACAAATTTATTGTATTTGTGGATAAAACATGAGTATAAGACTAGAGGTTAAAATGTTGTAAGAGATTAAATTAGAGCTGTTTAGTCCTTAAAAGGAAGTAATCTACATATATATAATAGTTAAATTTTCATATAACCCAAAATTGTCCTCATAAAAATTTCAAAACACAACTACTTCATTTTGACCAAAAAATAGGTTAAAAAAAATTGTCTATTCAAATGAAAATAATAAAAATAAAAAATGAAATAAGAGTATATGTAAAAAAGAAAATATTCTTTAAGTATTAAAAAACATCCAATGGTCTAGCCTAGTAAAAAATGACATTGATTTGCAGTTGCAAACCAGTAGTCCAAGGTGAAATTAGCCCAAGGGTTGCCCTGGGCCGTAGCCTAGGGAAGGTTTTGGGGAAAAAATAATTAAACATATAGCCTAATATTTTAAACTAAAAATTTAAAAATATATATATACAATTGCATATCCTGCCACAATAATAGGCATAATCAAAGGTCTTCCACATTCGTATTTGGTGTCAAAGTTTGTCCCAAACATCAATATTTAATCATTTTCCATTAACGTATCTCCAAAAGAGAAGCTTTTTCTAAATAAAATTCACTCTTTAGTGAATAATATAGCTTTAATTCCACTTTTTTTTTCTTATGTTTACAACTAGCGTGATTTATATATTCTAATGTATAATTTTATTTCTAGAAAAATTATAGAAACTATTAATACAAAAAAAAATTATCATTAAAAATTAAGTTAATAACTTTAACTAGCCCACCCATTGAAAAATTCATAGTTCCACTCTTATAATGATCTCAAGTTTGAACCCCAATAACAGCTTTGCAGTGTGTATGTGAGAAAACCCGTTATGAATATGAGAGAAAATCTTAGAAGAATATGATTGATTTCTGATTTTTTATTATTATTGATTTACTCATATTACATTCCTTCTTTCTCTCGCAGCTAAACAACCCTCCAACAGTCTGAATAAACTATTACAGACTCAGTCTGAATAAAATTCTCTATAAATACATATAAAATAAAGAATGAAAAAAAAACCACGAATCGACAATTGACACACGCTTCGAGAAGCTAATTTTAATAAATATACTTTTGTCGAACAAAAAATAAAGAGGCTGCTATTTTTTGCACCTCGATTTAAATGATGTCGAAAGACAAAAGTTTCCATTTACCCACAATGGATCTTGTCTTGATAACATAAAGCGTAGAGATAATCTTTTAAAAAGAAGAAGAAGAAGAAGATTTCAATTCGAAGTAGAACAAAGGTATACTAATTGTCTTTTATTTCTATTTAACAGATTAAAAAATTTAAATTGACCTCATGGAAAAAGGATGGTTTGCAGCAGACTTAGACAACCCAACCTTAGAACCCCACAATAATTTTTCCACAAAAAGGACGTTGAATTTAGTGCATGGAAAATCACCAAAAGATACTAATTTTCCATAGCCGAAAAGTCTTAGCGACCAATAAATCAACATCATCAAGTCGCCGATTCTGGAATAATCTAATAAATCTCTAATGCCCCAATAACAAGGAAATTGCTGTTAACTTTATCAGTGTGAACATATAACTTAAGGGGGTGTATTCGATTGATATTTGTAGGGGATTTTTTCTTCCGGCAGTTGTAAATGGGCTGGGCTGCCGTAAAAGGCAGATTGATGAAATTATCCCCTTTGTCTGAGTTCGAAAATCAAGCCCCAAAATGCTTCGAAAGGGCAGTAGAGCCTTAGGAAGCATCTTGGTTATCTTCACCAACCAAAACAACAACTTACAGATAAATTCTTGGCTTGACATGAGAAGCTTGTGGCATGGGAGCAAAATTGTCATGAATTTAGCACTGAAGAGAAAACTAAGTGTTCCTAGGGGAAAGATGGGGTATTAAGGTTGGAGAGAAAGGATTTTGCAGAGAGGTTTGGTTGAGCATGAGGAAAAAGAGAGAAAAATGTGGCTTGAGTGTTTTTCCGGCAGCTTGACAGAGACTCTGTCAAGTGTCAGAATAGCTTGCCAAGAGGGAAAACTAAGGGAAAATGATGGGCTGAGCACGAAATTGCTGGGTTTTGGGAGTAAGAGAGGAAGCTTGCTCCCTGATGTGGTTGATGCTTGTTGGGTAGAAGAGGTCCCTTTTTATAGCCGCTGGAAGCTGGCATTTTCCAAGAAACCCTAATGGTTTCTATTCAATTTGGCCAAGTCTTTCCCTTTCTTTCTCCCTTCATCTCTTCAATAATCATTTTTTGGTGAAATCCACTTTGCCCATTTGCACAAAATCAGGGATTTTTGGGAGCTCAAGGCCCCCTTTCTCGCGGCTGCCTCAGAACTCCCATTTTCAGCTATTTCCTTCCTTTCCTTTCTTCCTTTTTTTATGGCCAGGTCTGATGAGGGAAAGAGAATGGGTATGCATGTTGGTTCAAAGGGTGATCTGCGCTCCAATATCCCCTGATCATTTGGAAGTTTTTGCTTGAAACTTGTTCCTCTCATGTGTTAGAGCTTCCCAACAACTTTTCAGACTTTCCTTCGTGGCTTTATTCTTCAGCCAAGTGCTGGAGCTTTGCAACTCTTCTATTGTAATTGTATGGGCCAAGTTGATTTATTGAGTAAGTGGGCTTTCTTTATCAAATGTTTGGGCTTTTTGGTTGAGTCAATAGGCTATTTTGGTTAGGCTATTTTTCTTTGGAGTGATGGACTATTCTTTTCTCTCTTGTGTTTACCCACATGTTTGGGCCTATGAAATGGGCTTGAGTCCCGAGGCTCCCAAGCAACCCAGGACTTCCATTTCTCGGCCCATCAATGGGCCTCATGACAATTTATTATCATCCATACCACAATCCACTCAAACAAGCCCCAGGAATCTTGCGTGGCTTGGACCCACTTAAGCTTGTGGCGTGATTAGGTGCGGAATAATAATTCCTTGCTTGGCGTGGCGTGTCTCTTGGCGTGGCATGTATGCAAGCGCATATGATGAACTTTTACGTGCCCAAATCAGGTTTCTTCTCGATAAGGTATCGCATTGGGCCGAGAAATTTATTTGGGCCGAAGCGTGGATTTTTTTGGGCCTCAACAATATTTTAACAGATTGTAATTATATGATTTTAATTTAATGGATTTCAATCGGATTTGTAATTATATGATTTTACTTATGATTTTAATATATTGCAATTACATGATTTTACTTATGATTTTAATAGATCAGTTCAGATCTCTTGGACTACAGGGGTCCAAGAGATTTTTGGTCACTCACCGTTGGATGTAAATTCAACGATTCACTCAACCACATTAATCAGAGGTGTATGCTCACTACCACCCTTAAAAGGTGCTTGCCTCATCCTTCTCAAAATCTCTTCTTCTGCAGTACTAGTAACCAACCAGCCACACCAATCAAAAATCAAAGATGCAAGCTATGAGTTTTGAAATTGGGAGTAAGACTAAGAGCAAGCAATTTCGTATTTTCTTTTGTCAGATTTTGATTGATTCATAATTTGGTGGTTTATTGGATTTGGAATATTTTAGTTTTGGGTTTAGGGGTAGCCAAATCCTATAGAGAAAGATGAGATGGATTCGTTGTTTGAAGGGATGGTGTTGTTTACCCCTAACAATACCAATAATAATCACTCTGCCGTCTTAAGAAAAGAGGTGGTTGTTTTTCTGGGGAAAAAATGGTGGTTGTTTGCTGTACACTGAGGAGAGAAGAGAGTGCGGGAAAGAGAAGAAAGAGGGGTCAGGGAAGGGAGGAGGAAAGAAAGGAAAAAAAAAGAAAGGAAGAAGGAAAGGAGGAAAAAGGGGGAGTGTGCTATGATGTGGGCCCCTTATCGTCTCCCTTATGATTTTATTTTTTTTAATTTTTTTTTAATTTTACAATAAAAAGCATGAAAAAATAGTTGGGAGAAAAAAGTATGAGAGCATATATGAGAATCATGCATAGGAGGGTGTGATTTTGTTATGTAATTTGGTATGTATATCACACACTCAAAAGTCTACAATACGCCATTTAATAAAATATATTAAAATCAGTAAGTTTTTTAATACCACAATACTTTTTCTTATCTTTTAAAAATCCTAATTGAATACTACCAGACTTGTATTGATTATTTAAAAATCCTAATTGAATATCATCCGACTTTTACTGATTACTTAAAAATCCTAATTGAATACCGTTGTACTTTTAAGCTTCAAAACAATCCTTTAAAATCTCAGTTGAATACACCCTCCTTAGAGAATTTTTTTTACAAACGAGAAAGGGGTCTTTCAATTCAAAGTAGAACAAATGTATACTAATTGTCTTTTATTTCTATTTAACAGACTAAAAAATTTAAATTGACCTCATGAAAAAGGGTGGTTTGCAGCAGACTTCGACCTAACCTTAGAACCCCACAATAATTTTTCCACAAAAAGGACATTGAATTTATTGCATGGAAAATCACCAAAAGATACTAATTTTCCGTAGCCAAAAGGTCTTAGCGACGAATAAATCAACATCATATTGGGTCATTCACTCACTCCCGCTTAGTCTTCCTTCCCCCCTCTGCTTTTATGGTCAAATCACCAATTCTAGAATAATCCAATAAATCTCTAATGCCCTAATAACAAGGAAATTATTGTTAACTTTATCAGTGTGAACATATCTAACTTAGAGAATTTTTTTACAAATGAGAAAGGAGTCTTTCTCTCGCACGAAAGGAGAGCCAGGCAAAACGGCTAGGGTTTCTTGTCCTTCTCTTCTATCCTTTCCCTATAGTCGGTGTCGTTACATGGGTTGTGGTCTACTGCGTGGATGCCTTCTCCTCTCTTCACAATGCATCTTTTTCTGTGGTTCCCTCTCTGTGGAGATCTAGTTCTGTTAGGGTTCTGTTGTAAAAAATATAGTTTTCCTCTTTTCGTAAAGCTAAATACAAAAACCTTTATATTATAAATAACTTATATACAAATTGGAAAGCATTGAAGGTATAATGAAATTGAAGAAAACAAAATAATAGGTAAGTAAAAGGAAAATAAATAATAAGTAAGAAGGTGAGTTCTATATGGTGAAGCACGTCAAAGACGCTGTCCTAAAGCCTTTGTAGCCTCCCTACGTGCAGGTACTGACGATCTACAAGACTCCAAGATACGACCCCTTGTACACAAACTCAAGATCCGCTATGAGCACGTTCATAGACAGATATAGGTATCCAAGTCACATAACCATTGCCCAAAATAATAATATAAAGTAGATAATATATATATATATAAGTAGAAAAGGGAAGAATTAGAATGTGGTATGTGATATTCTAATAGTGTGTTATGTGTATCTCAAATGTGAAGGAGGAGTGGCCTTTTATAGGCATCCAAAAACATGTAACCTTCACCAACCATAAAAGTTCACCAACCAAAAAATTAAGGCATTCACCAACCAGAAATAAAACCTGAATATTAAATATTTATAACCCCCACAATAAATAAAATAAAACAGCCAAAATAATTAAATAAATAAAACGGTTAAATTTTTAAAACCTTTTAAAATTCCAACAGGTTCTTTTGTTGATCTTTGACATCTTCTTAGTCAGGTCATGACATGAAACTTTCACGAGAGGGAAGCTTTCCTCGCATGTTGATATTTTCGGTGGCTTGGTGGTGAGGGTTGTGACAGGGAAGGTTTCGCGAGGTGCTGGTGGTGCAAGCTGGGGGTTTATAGGTTGGTTGGCATCTAGCTTTTTTTGTTTGGCTGAATGGATTTGGTGCGTTCTAGGATCCTCGGTGTTGGTCACGATTTTCTACGGATATGGCAGTTGGTTGCCATTTCTATTCTCATCTCTCAGGTTCTTTTGTGATGGGGGCATGGTGATAGAGCCTTTACTGTTTTTGAGCAATTTTTCGGGTGACACCCTGTGCTCACAAATTCTTCTGGTGAGTGTAGAATTTGCATCAGCGAGTTTGCTGATTAGGGGACAAAGGCCAACCTTGAGGGGTTTCCCAATTCTCCCTGATGTGTTCGCGGGAACATTTATAGGCTTGTCATCTGATAAACATTCCTGTTACGATGATCTTCTGTTGGAAGTTCGTCAAGCTAAGATGGCAATCTTGTTACCCCCTACCTTGTCAATTAGGGGTCTAGATTAAGAATCAATGAGTTGGTATTTGGTATTAGTTCACCTTTTCTCACATTTTCTCATGTAGGCATCACCTGCAAGGGATGTAAAAAAGGATGTACATATGTATCTAAATTTGCATCTTACGGTTGTGATGCAAATTTACAATCGTTTACACCGCTCAATTGTAGGTGATTCCGATCACAAATGATATACATTTAACATACACCTCATTGTATAACCCCCACTGGAGATGCTCTTAAGAAACTTTGAGGTTTTCTTGTTCTAAGGCTGTCGTTTGATTGTCTTCAATTGTTACGCTGCATCATTTAGTGATGTTGGGACCTAGTGGTGGTTTAGAGGTGTGGTGATACTCATTTTGGTGACCCGAGGTTGTTGAGTGCCAGTGTCATTCCTTCTTGGCGTTTCCATCCCCTTGTATGTCTCAAATGCGAGTTTGCATTTGCATCGAATCTTGCAAGGTAGGCCCTTCGTTGGTGCTCGAATGAAATTTAATGCTTTGATTGAAAAAAGAAATGAAATTAAGGAATCAAATATTTGTTCAATTCATAAGATATTCTTATTTAAATAGCCTTGATCCGAAAGGGTTGGTTGAATTGAATTCATGGAACCCAAATCCTACACGCTTTATCCCTTGCAACCCAAAACTAGGCCAGGCATGAGTTGGATTCGATACATATGGCTGCCTATAGATAAGTTCTATTGCTGGCTACAGCAAATGGGTGCGTGTTTTCTTTTGTTTCTTTCCATGCTGGAAACTTTATGCTTCTGGACTTCTTCATATTTTTCAGTACTAATGTGGATA